GGTACGTGTTTCCGATACACATACATTATGCTCATCATCATTGTCATCAGGCACGACATCAAGATCGTACTTCTCGTGGTGACCGGCCCTGAGAAACACGCCCAGGCTGCTCATAATATTCTCCAGCTGAATTATACAGTCTTTGTGATCAAAGCTGAATGTCTGGAATGTTTCTTTAGCAATATTTAGCCGTAAATCAGAACATTTGACTGTTATCTTGTTGCCCAACATGGCAACCACGATACTGGCAGGCTCAAACAACAGCTCATATTCCAAGATCTTCGGATTAAAAATATATCCTGAGAATCTAAGACTGCCAGTGGTTGGCGAGAAAAATATCAGTTTTTCGATTTGAAACATAAGCAACGGCATAGTCTCCACAAAGTAACTTGTGTCTTCATCCTGTGGCTTGCTTCTGTTGAGATACAGTTCGCTCTCTTTGACTATCAAATTAACCTGGGTGTACCTGCCACTCGTAAAGTTGGTATTAGACTCATCGAGGAGGGTCTGAAGAAGCTTGTGATACATTTCATAATCTTCAACCTCATTTTTTACGATAACGTTATTTGTCGAGATCTTCAAAGTATTGACCACATCGTATGTTGTCTTTATATTAATCCGTGCATCAATACCTCCATACTCCACATCGAACTTCGTAGTATCGTTTTCAATGCATAGACTGGTGATATCCAACTTGACTCGGGAATTATATGACAGGTCACATCGAATCTTTCCAATTTTTATCGTGTAATTGAGACGCAGTGCTGTACCGATAATACCCAACTGCGGAAGTAGATAATACTCCTTCAAGATAAGAACCTGGTGCAAGAGAATCGAATTGTGTATTTCTGAAACAGATACATCCAAATTCATTCCGTACTCTATTTTCTTAATCTTCACCTTAAGGTCATTCACTACAACTTCGTGCTCTAATAATCCTGTGCTTTCTCCAATAATGCTGTTATTTTTATCAAACGACTTATTTAAAATAGACAACGTGTCAGAATGTCCCGTACTCTGATTTATAGCTGTTAAAAAACCCTTTTCAACTGTTACAGTGATATTTTCTCCTAAAATAACAACGCTTGCACTGGTAGTGAGCCGATAGCATTCCTCAGCACAATGGGCTGACCTTGCGCACACAACTCCCCTCAACAGCATCTTTGCATCGGCATTTATTAGAACCATCTTCGATTTTGTTTTTCCCTCGTACGAATTATCTAGAATTGTTATGAGTATGTCAATAAATTCAATAATGCAATATAAAATGCTGTTATATTCCGCAGTGTCTACGGCTCCCTCAACTTTTAAATCAACTTTGACCTCTGTATCGCTTATTCCTAGATTTATATGAACGGCAAGACCACCGCTGAGAACCCTCAAAGTAAGCGTATCATTTTTAAATAGCAAACATTCTATTTCGAACATGCTTTTATGGTAGTATGTGATCTTTTTGATACAAATTTCAACATCTTTTCCTGGGTCTTTTGTTGGGCTACTGAACTGATCCGTAATAAATGAGTAAACAACATTTTTGATGCCGTAAATAGTTTGCACGAGATCATATTCATTGTGAATAACAATTTTATCGATTTCTACCTTAATTATATCCTCAAAGGTTATCACAAAGTTGTCCAACTGTGTCTTTTTGTATTGAACACGTCCTACACAATAACCATTTGTGCATTTTTTGATCTCGTCAATGGTGAAATTTCCGAAATGAAACCGTGATATTGGTACTGCACTATCGACTAATGTAACGCAGATGTCATGTTTCTCGTGCTCATACCAGCGGATAGTATCCGATTTGATCACGTATCCTTGCGTATCATCTGAAATTAGCTGTTTACCCCCTGTTGCCAACTGCTCTAGCTCCTCAATGTTCTTATCAATACAACCCGGTATAACTGAGAAGTTGCCAACGAATAGGGATGTATTCATGATACAGCTTTGGAGACAGAAAATAACCCAAGGCATCTTTGTATCTGATCGTGTACCCAATCTGTTAGTAATTTTTTTCAAAAATCTGTTTCCCTTTGTCAATTCGATATGCGTCTTCACGAACATAAGCAATTTGCAAACATCAGCGCTAATATTAATTTCAGATATTTTTGTGAAAATCAGCTCTGCGGCGCTGTGCATCCAGAAAAATGGGATTTCAAAGCAAACGTCTTTGCCTTTCAACCTAAACCCTTTCAACGCACATCTTTTCTTATCTATTCCTATTTCACTGCATGAAACGGTCAAGTCTAGCTTGTTCCTCAGACGATAACCAAGCCGTTTCATTATTTTTATGGTATTGACATATATCTCAGAAACAGTAATACGATCATTTTCCATGTTATAAAAAAGCCTTACTGTGCTTGAATCTAGCCTAAAGTTCAAGTTTGTACTGTTTCGGTGTTCCAATTTCAAGTCCAGTATTCGATATTTAAGAACCTTGATCAGACCCTTTCTAGTTTCTTTTATGATCTTTAATTTGAGCTTATCCATCACTAAACATATTTTAATCTCCTCATCCAAGTTGATGATGCGCTTCGTATCTCCTTCAAGCTCCTGTTCGATTTTATTTTCGCCATCAATTTTAGGCAGAAGATGATCACCGTGCAACTCTTTCTCTGAGGCATTGACATCTCGTTTTGAGGATGCTACCTTGTACATTTCATCATGTTCTTCCGATACTTGCAAAATTTCCTTGTACAAATCCAACATATCGCACGTGATTTCAACTATATCTCTTCTCCTGACCAGGACATCAACACAATCTACGTATGCGTTGATGCTGTTGTCCGAAATCTTACCTCGGAAATCGAAAGGCATAATTTTCTTTATATATGTTTCATTGCTATTCATTTCTAGTGATATACTCTCAATGTTGATTTCTTTTTTGTCGTTAATCGATATCATATTCACTTTTAATCGATATTTCCTGTAGTAAATTGTCAAATTTTCTACCTTAATAAGTAGTTTTTCGAGTAGCTTCCTCAGAAAAAAACTCATTTTCTTCTTCTCTTTTTTGTCGTCACTGCTTATCGACTCGCTGTTATTTACCGCCAACTTGCTCAAGTTTTGTTGAATATCATAGCTTTCTATGTAAATATCAACATTGCTTGCCTCTATCGTCACATAACCATTCAAAAAATTCTTCCACGGGATTACCAAACGCAAATCCTCAATCATCCCCCGCACGCTAAAATTATGGTAGTATTTTTGCACCAGTTCAATCTTCTTGAGATTCACATTGCCGTTCCATGACTGGACGAGTAAATTCTTATCTTCGTCGATTATTATATACTCTTTCAAAAACTTATTGATGAGTTTGGTCGTAATACTTTTCAACATCAAGAATAATGGGGGGTTTAGTTTTACAAGCCCTTAAACCAGAATGAAACAACAACGCCACAGTTTTAAAAGGTAGCAAAAGGGGGTAGAAATCCAGAATGTGCTGTTCTTTCGTAATTGATTAGAAGATTCGGCTACCACACAGCATAGTGTTATAATAAGAAATAATCCATATTGTTGTTTCAGCATCAAAAGCCATATCTTCGTATTTTTTTGACTCTACAGGCAAAAAAATCTGGATAGAGGTTAAGTGGCTGTCTTTATCATAACAGTATAATTTTCTACATTCTTTTGAACTTTTTCCACTGGCACCAGGGAATATTGTTAAAGCAAATAAATATGGATACATAACAAGATCATGAACTAGCAAGTCTTTAGGCAAATAGTACGCTAACAAACATAAAGATGATTGATTGTTATACTACTTAGATAACCGACGATTTATCTCTGGCCTCAGACCGCTGCTTAGTCAAAGAAATAAATGAAAATTTTTCAATTGTATGCGAAATGATTGTGTATTATCACCGAGGCGATACATGGATTAGAAGCTTTGATTTTAGATCGTGTGATACTCCAAATTTTTTCTACAAGAATAATGAAGTACGTTATTCATAGCACAAATATTTTATACAGAACAGTAAATTGTTGCTCCGCTGAAATCTCACAAGTGAATATGATGTGGGTGATTAAATGCTCTAATTTACATGTTGTTGCACGAGTAGCAACTTGTTAAACATTGATCTGGCCAAATTGTAATCGAAAAACTCACACGATAATATTGTGACGACAGGTAATAAATAATAAACATGTTTATCTTTCAGTTATAACACCTTAATAGTAACAATCATATTATTAAGGAAATAATACCAAGGTGAGTAAACATCAGAAATTGAACAAATGGTGCATAAAACATTCATTTGAATCCTGCTTCATGTGTACAAAGACTATTCTTAAAACGTTTTAATCGGGGTTGATCCTATGTAGATGGTAATGCCTTTTATATAAAATAGATATTACTTTTGAAGGCCTATTCAAGATGTTCTTATTCGTTACTATTGCTCTTCGAGATCGTACCTGTAAGTTTGTATGATTCATCTGAATATGTGTCTTAGGTATGTACTAGAACTTTTCGGTAATTCAATTCACATGCAGTGTTCATTAATCATTTCAACTTTGACACAATGTTTTTATCAATTATTTGATTGATGTTTTTCTTTGATAGGTTACAAGCAGCTTGTACCGCGATTTTTAGCTATTATTTGTAGTAAATTTTTATTCAATCTTAAAGAATGAAGTTTACTAGCTGAGGGTTGCGCCAAAGACCGTATTATCTATCTTCACACGATAATTCATAGCAAAGAGCTAAATCTCTTGACTAAGTGGTGAATATAATTAACTTATTGGAAGATTTGTAATCACATCCTAGCTGTGGCTAAGAGTGGAAGCATCTACTGTGTATGTTGAAAATTAAGAGTGTGTGCCCGGTTATCACATTTGTTCGTGTGTTCACTCAAGTTGCTCAGTGCACTCACACAATCATATTTTATCGTGCGGTACTTTAGGGTTAAGTTTTTTATCGTTTAAACACGGCCTTTTGAATTGCCAACCATCACAATAATGTACTACAGGCCAATAGAAATGTAATTGCAATGTTAAATAAATACTAGATGCATTTACCACAGAGCCATGTATTTTTGTAGAATATCAAAAAATTTTTGATCTATCCACTCATCAATCGGATCTACGAGCTTAAAGGGCCTAATCTGTATGTTAATGTTGCTCACATATAAAAACAAATACATCGGGTAATAAATGAATGACAAATGATTAAAATTGTACTGATACATGATGGTAACGTATGATCATATCGGTCCAGGTATGATTTCTGTTAGCGCAAATAATAGATATATAGCTTGCATTATTATTTAATTGCAGGAATCACCTAAATCCATAAAAATTATGGAAAAACGAACATTGAAATCGTATCAAAGTATCAATCAAGATGGGCGTTGGTTACATAATACACATTAGGCTAAAAGAGGGTTTCCTTTTTTCTCGTAAATAAGGCGGGAAAAATATTTTCTATCACCACCACTGATCGCATGTAGATTGCCATGTTTGCGATGAAAATTTCGATGTAACTCATATTCAGGACATTTAGTGCTCATGTTCCGGTAATTACGATGTACACAAGACTAAATGTGCAATATGCATTCAAATCTTTGTCAATCAAACCATAACTGTATATATATAGAACGAATTTGATGCGCTATGTGATTAATTGTCAAAACATATAACGAACATTACATGTAGAACTGCATAGAATTATATGCAACAACTAGCTCCTGTATCGCTATTAAATATTGTATTTCTACCATGTATTGATTTCATACGCTGTTAAACTATCGTATGGATAGTCATTTTAGTAGACCACCATTAACCATTTTTAGAAGTACTCAAGGTTGGATATGTGTATCGTATTGCAGGCATATTTAGTAATACACGTCATATATGTGAATATTTGAGTGCATAGGACCTATAGTAAGGATATGTGTCATATAATCGAAATATTCAACAAATATAACATCAAAGTGTGTATGAATCTGACATACAATGCTAAAAATAGATGATTTTGTTCATTGAAACTCGTTTACTAGTAAAATATGGATGACAAACCATTTTAATGATTTGTAGAACGCTGTTCTGGCCCAACAGAGTGCATGTGCGATATAAATACTTAAATAGTGTTCATTGATTGTTTTTACCATGCAAATGAGAATATTGCTCGCAGTGCAAGAAAATGTCACTCAAATAATTTAAATTAAAAAATTTTATTCTCTCGTCTCAGCCAGATAGCTCATTCATTGTGTTGTAATGATCTATAACCCGAACAGCAGTTTATGATCGCAGTGACAATTCAGTCATCCGTGTTACTCCTTTTTCACAGTTACTTAGTAGCGTAAAAACCTCTTTTGGTTTATAACCAAACTTGCCCTCTATTGATATTGTCTATTTTCATCCATGAGTGATTTGGGAAAATTACCGACTCTACAACAAAATTTATTTTGTGTTATGTACATCCGTATGACTCGTAGCCTGGCATGAATAACCTCTATCTGGTCTTTAAGAACATGTTTGTGTGGAAGGATTTGCTATAAGTTAGTTGCTTCTCCTCACTTCCGCAGTAGAAACACAATTAAAATATTAACACAGCCAACCATATATGCACACGCATCAAATAGTGATACTACCGTATATTAATCATGACATGCGCAATGTAGCCACATGCTCTTCTTTTATATATTTACATTTTATCGTGTTTGTTGTATGCCTGATCATCGAATAAAAGATATCGAACATTAATCCGGTCCTGAATTTACAAAATTAAATTTTTATTAAATTTAGTGACTTTGATTTTTTCCAAATATAGATCATTTAATGAAATCATAATTGCACGAAATTCTCATGCAGCTGGACTTATTAGCCGGTCTCTGTTGCCATGATGTCTATTAGCACGTGGTATCTACGACACGGGGTGATATGTTTATTACCGTTTACCATCTCGCAAAAATGCACGAGCATCACTGGCACAAGAAAAACGATAATTAAACAAAATCTACCATTTTATACACCAATATTTATTAACAAAAGAAATTATTTGGATCAAACGAAATTGTATTATCAGCAATTCCGTCGTTGTTCTCATAATGCGGTCGCATGTCGATCCAGCTAGTATCTAGCGTATCTACAGGTGGATATTCCATTTTATTATCATTCTTCTGTGAGATTTCCGTTCTATTAGCGCCCTGATCGTTTTGAGTCATCTTTTTGAGCGCTTTGTCGTGGACAGGCGAAATTGGGTATCTGTCATTGCAAAACGTGGTGGTCTTTTCCAAAGGCGCGATCGGCATAAACATCATAGATTCGTCCGGAGGAGGCATCATGCAGTTTATGTAGTCGTATTTCGGACCATTTCCATTTTGGCCATGGTTTTCCCGGCTGTCGTTCTTGCTCCTGTTCTTTGCTTTCTTCTGCTTGGCCCTTCTATTCTGGAACCATACCTGAACTGACCTGGGCGTCATTCCAAGCTGCTCACTCAGCTGATTCCTCAGCACGGCATCAGGCTTGATATTGACCTCGAACGTCTTTTCCAAAATCTTTAGCTGTGTTTTGCTTGTTCGTTTTCTATGTTTAACTACAAACGGATCAAAGAAGGTGCTTTTAAGTTCACCGTGCGAATTTCGATGAAAACTATTAAAGTAACTCGACTTATCCATGCCCCTAGATATTTTTCATTTGTTTATATTTATTTTAAACATCCTATCATCTTCCCATTTCGGTTTAATTAGAGATTTAATTAATTTTACTGATAGATTAAATAAATTTATCTCAAAACGTAACATTGATAAATTGCTTTGTGCTGCTTCTTAATCAAGAAAGCCTCCTTCGGGAATTTTCCGACCTATTTTTTTGAAATTTGTTAAAAATGGAGAAATATCATGTAAGGTACCAAACAAACAAATATTTGCGACCGAAAAAATTCCCGCTTTTTTCCACAAACCTATCAAAAATTAAAAAATTCACAACAACTATAGACACTTTGATATATGCGATACTAGATGTCATCTTTGGTGGCAATTCGAAGGGACAGGTCCACCTGACCGTATCAAACTCTAACTATGTTTCATGGTCGACGTATATGATCAAATTTAAATAAACAGGGGATAATCTGCACCTAAAAGTATTAATTATCAAATTTGTCCTTAAAGAGGAATATTTAGTAAAGTGCGTGTTGTTGAAAACAGGTAAATAAGCACCCTCTGTGTTTTCTTTTATTAGTTGAAAAAAGTCATTACCGGTGCATCTGTCAACTCGCGCTTGAGAATAAAAGTCAAACGTTCCAGATCTTACCATATATTTGAATGATGATGTGTTATGATAGATTGAAAATCGCAACATCAACCTATGACTTTAATTAAAACAGCTTGTCCACATCAAGGAAGGCGGCGAGGTGGTCTTTATCGGCATCATCATATCATCTTCAGTTTGTCCAACATTATTCCAAAATATGTGACCCAGCATTTTCTGATAAGAAAATCTTTGTATCAAATATTGTGTACTTGTCTAAACCATGGAAACAAGGCCGCATTTCTTTTATTATTTGGCTTGAATAAGATGTTTTTGCGCTATTTATTGTTTTTATTACCTTGAATACACCATTTTGTTCTCTGCCGCAAAAATATTTTGTCAAAGTGAATAAATGACACACCCAGTATCAGCATCTGCTAAATGTAACAAAAAAACCAATGTATTAGACATATGTGGAAGCTCATGTTGCCGGACCAGTGATTGCACGTTCGAAAATTTCGATTACAAACACGCTATCTTTCGCCTTTAAACTTTTTTCGATTTCCAACTCTCATCTGTCACCTTGACATCTAGTAAGAGTGACAGAGGAATCCAAACAAATAATTTATACACCTATCAAGCACATTCGAGCCATTTTTCTCGTCAGAGATTAGAAATGAGAATTTTCGATTATATTATTGCAGAGGGGCGATGTTCCATGCTTGAAGCTCATGAAACTACATTCTTGCCCGACCAGTTCATAATTTCACGACACTAACATTTGCGCACGATATTTTTATAGAAATTGCCATTTTTATAATTCAAGATACTTTTGTGCTAAGCAGACCATGTTATATTCTGTTACGTTATGTAACTGCAGTAGTTGTTTCTTTTAAAACCCGGATACATCCACTCAGAAGTGCATATCAAATCAAACATTTCAAGGAATTTAGGAAACCTTAAAGGTTCTGTATATTATCAATTTCTTGATGGAAGAACACTGTAATAAACTATTTCAAGCCGCAATATATGTTAATGCTGGACGAGAGATAATTTATCTTTGATTCGCATTTTTAGGGTTTTACGATCTTGACATTGACATTCGAAATACAGAGAAATTCCTCCGCAAAATGTTCACAATGTCTTATGCGCTCAAAATGTACAGAGCCTGAGTTTTACCGGTCTTCGCATACGGGATATGATTTATTGTTTGTGTGATTTAGGTCAAGCAACTGGTGTGGAGTCGTAAAAGGTGCAGTTCATGGTATGACACTCACTCCAGTTTGAGATGTGCAAAGCGCTTGATGCGCAGAAATTTTCTAGTCATCTTCGCAGCAGCGCAAAATAAGCATGTCGTTGCGGTGTGAGGAGCAACTCGAGATGAAAATAAACATAGTCATTATTTTTACACTACACTTTCTAGTATTCGCCAATAGAACACAAACAATGTATTTCTTTGCGTGTGGTATACATTCACTAACTCGCCTGTTTTACTGCGCAGTGTTATGGAATTATAATTTGTTTAGAGAGTCGCTCATGTCAATTGTTTTGTTATTCATAAAATACGTCTTTGGCAGCAACTTAATTTGCATACCACCGCATTGTTGCATTTTGCAGGAACACTGCTATTCATAGCCTTGGTGACCACAGAGAGTCTTTCATAAAAAATAATAGTTGCTATACTCACTCATTACTGCATTTATAGGATGTTTTTAATTTTCAAAAACGATTTCATCAAAGAAGTGCGGATCGCACCCCCAATGGATTTTAAAAAATTAACAGTAGTCCAGCTGCGTGAGGAGTGCAGAAAAAGAAACATAAACTCCGTCAACATAAAAAAGTCTGATCTCATCGACCTCCTTTTAAGATACGAGGATGAGAACAAAGCTGTTTACAGGGACGAAGCTGGTGAGTCATCATCAGTTCCTTTGGAATCAAGGTCTTTTGATGAATTGTCTGAGTCCGAAAAGATTCAAGCAAGAATTCGAAGATTTGCGTGCAATAAATCCGGGAAGGATTCGGAGGGGGCTAATGCACTCGATGCCGTATATGCGGAGGAGTTGCAGAAACAGGAGGAACGTCGGCGCAGATTTGCTAGACCGGCTGATAAATAAAAATGTGCAAATTTACTTGTTTAGTCCGTTTTCTCTCCTCATGTCGGTATCATGTGCAAAAATGTATAGTCCGTTTTCTCTTCTCGTGTCGGTATCATGTGCAAAAATGTTTAGTCCGTTTTCTCTCCTCATGTCGGTATCATGAGCAAAAATTTTTGGTGCTGTTATATGGTCTCTACGTGTTATCATCAAGTTTAGGTGATTTCGCATCGATGCAAATAATGCGTGCGTCTGAATATGTCACATGATCATATCTTTATAGTATAACACAAGGTTATTGTCTCTAGCACATACTGAATTGTTACACTCTCATATTTGCGTGGTATGTCCAGGCCTGTATATTAATTTCTATTTGATCTGCGCTCATCAGCATGGGGCGGCACGTTCTGCAGAATATATAGGCACGGTGTCATTAACGCTTCTCATGAATAAACTTAATAATGACTCATTAGCAAGAAATGCATCGTCTATTGATAACCGGTTGTGGTTCTTGATAACACCAAGACCGATAGTGTCGAGTTGATTTTTTATAGAAAGAACCGGAAATAAGAGAATATAACGGTTATTTGTCGATATTACCATCGTGAGGGCTGTATCATACTTCCTGACATCGAAATGTGCGAATCATATCATCTTCAAACCAAGATTACAAAGTTTGTTTCTTATGGTGAAGGTACCAGACAAAATGATTTGTACGTTCTAATAGCACATTTCATATTTATACGTATAATTGACTGATAATCGCACCATTTTACGTGCTAAAGCCAAATATCTACGTGGACAAATAAAATTACGAATATTAATTACTTGCATCTACAAAACACAGGCTTGGCTATTAATATTTATCTACTAAGCATTTGGCATAAAACAACTGGTATATCAAACGACAGTGGAGAGTACTGGTGCTCAAAATAGGAACATATCCTTAATATAGCGACATTCCCTAGATTTGAGTTCATTAGAGGAAAGCTGTACACACGATTTCAGAATAGTGCTAGGCCAAGAATTTACAATATAGCATAGTTATAATTTCATTAATACGAGTAAACATCTGCACGCCTGCTTATCATAGCAATTGTCTCTTTTGAGTTCAGTCCTATTGTACATGATTTACCAACCATATAAACCGTATATTCGGTGCACTCGTATGCGAACCAAGAATCTAAAAATACAACCATACCACGGTAAATCCGACTAAGTTATGTATTGTTGAGTAGTCAGAAGTATAATAAGCAATACAGAATCATTTATAATGAAATAAACGGTTTAGCTGCGGTACTTCACGTACACCCAAACAAATTTTTTTTCTGACGTATTTCAACATTGTTCATTGTAAGAACGTGACTCTTTCAATGTTGAAATGGGTAAGGCATTATTTAATAATAACTTTTGTTTGTAAAGGAAGTTGCATGTTACAGCAACGTGAAAAGACCATTCCAGCAACTATCACCGCTACACCTGCCTACCACAAACTAAATTAAATGCCGCCACCCCTCAGAAAACGATGAAATTATCGGTGCCGCTCAAACTTTTGTACGAATGCGAAAACTTCCAGCTCACGGTGGAATTGGACAATGGAGTAAAAGTGACCGGAAAGCTGATGCAGATGGACGACCTCATGAATTTAACTCTGGATGACGTGGTATTAACAGAGGCAAATGGACATAACATCAAGGTAGAACGAATGATGGTACGTGGATCCTTGATCCAGTTTATTGTACTTCCTCCAATTTTGCGGCACAGTCCGTTTTTGAAAGCTGATGAAACGAGAGCCTAATTAGGTCATCGCCAATTTTGGCAGGAAAGAAGAAATGTTCACATGTGGTCTTCTGTACAAAGTTATGCCAAATATTTTGCTAATATGATTCAGAAGATGGTCTGTTAGCAGCTGTCGAAATTGTATTTTTCAGATTTTAATCGCTAGAATGAAACACATATCAAATATTTATTTGCCAAATAGCACAATAACGCAGCATAAAACAAGTAAAGAACAGTATTTAGCGAAACTACTTCTATATCAACCATCAAGGTTGCACATTTTATGTTTGATACCTTGAGTTCCATTTTGATTTGACTTGAGCACCTGTTTCCTCACATCGAACTATCTATAAGAACATAAATAAATGAACGCAGAATGAATTAGATAATAATATCCAGTTTGAAGAATGAAATATTTCGGAGTGTATACTATTATATGGAATTCCTGTATTATTAACACAATGAAGTATGTCCATTATAGGTATACACTCTGTACTACTACCCATTTCTTGATGGAGCGGAAGGTTGAAACCGAACTATCTTTCGTATGAAGTCTTATCATTATAAATACACGCTTCTCGACAGTTTTTTCTCCATGAACCGAACAGTAGTGTTCATGGTCGGTCTTGGTGGATCAAAAAATAAGTTATTTAGACACTGTAGCGTATGAAGTGATAAAACAATACATTTTCGGTGAAAAGCATGCACGTTTTTGTCTAATAATAAGTACTTAAACATGCTACTTCATCACTGTATGGTACATTTGGCAAAGATATTGAACGATACAACGCTCCATCACATCACAGTGAAAGATGGCTTCCCGGTATTGGGATAGCGACGAAGTCAGTCCGATATTTAAAAAAGCATTTAATGAAGAGACGATGCGCTACTTCTCGGTACTATTTTTTGTTTTGAAAGTGCAAATCATCGATTAATTTGAACTGACCCTTTTCTACGATAACTACCAGAATTGAAACCACACAGAGGATTAAAACCAGTGTCATGAAGATAGAAAACATCTTTTTCCTGCTGATAGCGTGCATTTTTTTCTTCTTGTTGAACTTGAAACTGACCGACAGCGCATCAAGAGGATCCTCCTTGTGGAATATTTTGGTTCTGAAGCAGTTGCTGTCCAGAAAATCCCTGTATGATCCCATATACTCTGCCTTTAAGGGTGTTTCGGAATCATAGCAGAGCCTGAAAAAGCTCAGTTCTGTAATAGTTCGTTTGTAAATCGGGTCCTTGAAATTCTTAATCTGTATTTTCCGGCCCTTTGGCCCAATTACCATCTCAAATACGTATTTGCACAGCTGCCTTGCATCGTAGCAGAAATATATACCACTTACGTTCACACCCTTGTCCTTTCTCATGCCCACACACCGTACGCGTGCCAGATAATAGTCCTGCGACTGCGAATGGGCCTCACTTATCAGGTCAATAAATCGTTTTTGCGTGAATATTTCTGTCTGGCCTCCTTCAAGTGCACAACGTCTCGTACCCTCTTTTTCAAGAATCAGTGCCATTGCTGTTCTGATAGGCGAAGTATTTTATCTTTGTCTGCAACTTTGTGTAACAAAGTATGAATGAATCGACACATTTATGTTTCACTGATTACAAGCGATTGGTTCTTTGCGTGAGTGAAAAATGATCTTCTAAGAACAAATTATATGCTAAGAAATGAGGCAAAGAACTGCTTTTTTATAGTGTTCATGTGGCGCAACATGCACTTCATTATGGCTCTTCAGAATGATTCTGCCAGTTGTAACAACTTGTTTAAAAGAAAAAACATAAAGTATCACACGAAACACCGACCTGTAACAGAGATAAATACCTAAAATATATACATGTACATATTATGAACGAACTTAATGCTCATTTAATACTGATCGTAAAACAACACAGCTTACATAACTTTGTTTGATTTACATGTTTTAACTCACCGTGTTACAAAACTCTAGTTATCATGATCTACTCTCAAAAATATGTTTATCTTCATAAAAGTGCTAAATAACACTGTTGCTCTTCGTTAACAAAGAGTATAATTAATAACCTTACAAGCTGCGAAAAGACAAATGTCACAACGGAGCCACATCTACGAAAGATAGAATCGAAAGATTTGGATGGTTCCCGTGAACAGTACTGACACAAAAGCCAATGTGCTAGTCGTTAAAACTGATCTGATAAAAGCGCCATAGGCAGGTATCTTGGAAATGTTGGTCAACACTAGCAAATTCACAGCAATATTCACCATATGATCGTTTGATCGCCGCTGTTCATGTCATCTCATAAAAGTTCGTATAGACTTAACAACCGAATGCACTCACAATATAAACAGGAAATGATTTCAGGTGATAAAGGAGTTAAAAAATAGTTTGGTTATGTTTAATAGTGCATATCAGACCTAAGAGCCTTTAATTATCCTGTAAGAATACCTAATATGGTCAAATTTCATCTTGTAGGTTACACCCTTTAGCGATGCGCTCCTAAAACTGAATTATTCCACCATATTACAATTTTTATCTCAGCCATGCATGTCACATATTTGTTTTTCTTATTTTTGTCAGCAGTATAATTTGTAACAGCGCTGTATTGATACCTGTGCTCTAGAGAGAAATAATGACCTAAGGCAGTGACCGTGGTCAGTTCTAGCGGACATAGAAATGTATTTTAAGTCAGTAATGCGTATGATTGGCAAAAAGACAATTTTTAATAGATAAGGTGTTCTTGCACTCTTTTACTGCGCAAGGTAAAAATTTTTTTAGTTGTTGTGTAGGGAATACACGCATACAAAGGTATCAAAAAATGGTATATCATCAACGTTTTCTTAAATTCAGCAGTAAATCCGCAGCTTTCCTATGTTTCCAGAAGTATCATTCACCAAAATGAAGTTTTTAACAAAAAATGCACAATGCGAATAAATCGTCTGGCAATTTCATATAATACCTGATAAAGACTTGTGTATAACTGACAAATAACGAATCGCTCAATTTCGCCACCAAACAAGATGTGTACGTTCTTTACAGCGCATTTTTACATCAACAGATAATACAGACAAACCATAAAAACCAAATTTATTTATTTCTTGGCTGTTCGCCATGATTCCCCCTTTCTAATTTCTTTTTCAGGTTTTTCATCTGGGCTGCTCAAATTTGATGCACTGTGTAAACCTACGTTCTTGCTCTGAGAAGTCTGGTCCACAGCACCTGCATCTACAAAATCTTTTCTAACAAATTTGTACACCTTGCTCTCATCAGCGGTGCTAACATCTTTGCTGGCAGGCTTTCTTATCTTAGATGGTTCGTAAAAAGCTGATCGAGATGTGTCCTTTGACTCAAAAGACAAGGACTGCGGTTTCTTAGATGGCTCGTAAAAAGTCGATCGAGACGTGTCCTTTGACTCAAAAGATGTAGGCATTGGCTTTCTTATACTCGACGGATCATATATATTCGGATTGACCGCTTCTTTTGGTTCAAAAGCTGGGGTCTCGCGCGTAAACTTAGGTGGCTGATATACGCTGCCCTCAGCTGGCTTACTATACCCCACACTAGGCTTATAAACACTCTCTGTTTTGAATGATTCGGGAGTAGCAGTTCGCCATGAGCCTTTAATCACCCTAGCTTCGTCCTGTCTGGCAGCGACCGGTTGATAACTCTTTTGTTTTCTTTCTTCATATTTCTTAAGCACCTCAACTATCTCATCTTTTCTTTGCTCATACAATCCCCTCAGTCTTTCCTTCTTTTCAAAGTCTCTCTGAAAATCCATGTCAAGCTGGCACTGCCGCAATTCTAAATCATTAGGATCATCAACCAGCTGTGTTTTTATTTGGTAAATGCGAAAAAGATTGAAATTCTTCGTAAATCGATCCTCCCAGATCTTCTTCTCTTCCTTTACCATTTCACCACGATTTTCTTCCCTATCACTTGCCACAAGCGTCTCTTTTATCATCTTTTCTCGCTTTAGGTTCTCTTTAATTCTGATCGCTTCAACATTCCGCGTCACCACAGAGTCTTTTTGATCCTTCATTCCCTTTAAAATTTCGAATACCTTCGCTGAATTACTTTTCTTGCTGTAAGTTCCGTCAAATATCAAAATTCCATCGTCAAGCGAAAAGTTAAAATTGTTGAGCCTGAGGAAAGAGATAAATATGAGCATTTCATTGTCGCATTCAAATGTTTTTTTGGCATTCTCTCGGTAAAACACGAAATTGTCTAAACATTCTTCATTTAGCTGGAGCAATACGTCCTGCTCGTATTCAATATTCTTAGCTTCCTGCTGGAATGTACGCGAGTTAACGCTAGGAAGACCGCAGAACATCTTGCTGTGCTCTTCTTCGCAGTCTTTCAAATGCATAAGATCTGCAAGCGCCTGCACATACTTTTCCCTTAAATTTACCTTTTTGTCGATACAAATCAGCCGATAAAGGGCGTTCACGGCAGAGAATATGCATCCTCTGCTCAAAAATATATTAAAAAGCATTGAAAAGTACAAAATGGTGTTCTTCTTGAACGGAAACTTGTTCACAATGGCTATCAGATCGGCCACAATGTCCAGCAACGTAAAACACTCATATAACGCGTCAGCATCGTAAAGCTTGTAACTTAGCTCAACCAGATTGTTTATCTCGTCCAGCAGGTCATTTGAATTGTATTTCTGCACCTTCTTTCTGAAGAACAGCAACTGCTGATAAATCTGACCAAGTGCTTCTCTCTGTAAAAAAATGTAGTTATCAAACGAGTTCGCGCTGTCAAATATCTGCCTAAACACCGTATTGAATGTTTTGTTGGCGCCTCGTAGCAGAAAATTGAACGATATGAAGAATTTCAGATGGTCCATATCGTTAAACTGCGCCACTATCTCCTCAATCAAGAAATGAAACTCTCGATTTGTCAACGAGTTTGATTCTCTAAGCATCTGCTCTCTCAAGCCATTGGCCGCTCTCTTGTCGTTTAAATCTACTTTTCTAAGCAGTTCAACGTATTTATCGCTATTTCTCATCAAATCTACTGCGGCGTCTAGCTCTTCGTGTTTTGTGCCCTTCCAAGATTTTTTTAATAAATTTTATTTTTCAGACCAAACTTTTGCGTAACAGCTGCCGATTATGGAGCAAAGAACGACATAAACAGCTTGGTTTGTCGCGGTAAGTTATCATGTCTAGCCTTGCAACCGCTCTGAGTGTCTAAACGGTATCATAAACAACTCCATCTCATCAGCAACACATTTACAAAACAAATGTCATTGATAGCAGTGACAACATTTTCGCAAAACGAAGATCAAAGCGCAGTTTAATTTTATAGGTCAAATAAAGAATTATCATTGCTGGGCACGCGGTAGGGTAGTTTGTCTTTTAATACGATATTCTAAAACACCTTTGTACCTGTGTTAGGTCTGATATGTTCCGTTTGTGGACTAATAATGAGCTATGACGCGTTAAAACATCGTACTTGCATCTTAAGCAAATTTCTGGTCAGTTAAATCACCGTATCGATGGTGTGATGTGCATAACGAGTATTTTGCAGCGATAATCATGTCTTCATACCATTTCACTGTGCAAAGAGCCTTTCAGCGTGAGATGCTATCCGATGATAGCTTTTAACACACACCACCCAGAACTGAGCATTTTTTCGCAAATTTTACCGATCCCTCAATGCTTAATCAATTCTTCTTGGAATACACAGAAGCACTGGGAAAATCCTTCATTCTCGCAACAACTACGACCTTTCTTAGGAACGTTATCAGTTTAAAAAATCGTAAGTGTAACTCTTTAATTATGGCGGCATACCAGGGATATTCATCCAATCTGTGCGTTCAAGTAATTTACAGACATCTACATTTATGATCAATTCGATGTTCTCCTGCATTTTTCTTCATTATTACAAGGTGCGGTACCCGTACTTTTGTGCGTATTTGCTTGGTGAAATTGTGAACCACCTGAGGTACGGTTTGAGATATGCGTTGAAGACCGGCATTTACAGTGCTTTTGTTTCTTCAGTAAGTGATAAGCTATTGAATTAGAAAGCTCTGGTAGGAGAAATAACGGAAAAGCTCGAGCAGAATAAAAATAGTTTTACCTTTGTATTGCATCATGAATATTTTGTTGTTCCGTTGATTGCATGTTCATTGATTTTTACCATGAGAAGAAAAACATCTGCGTTTTATTACGGCATCGTTTTCGTTGCACATTCCGCTGTGCATTTTTGTGCACGGACAGGAGCGTTGTTGCCTGTCACGATAAGACCATTTCATTTTTGTACACGGACAGGAGCGTTGTTGCCTGCCACGATAAGACCATTTCATTTTTGTACACGGACAGGAGCGTTGTTGCCTGCCACAATAAGACCATTTCATTTTTGTGTACGGACAGGAGCGTTGTTGCCTGCCACAATAAGACCATTTCATTTTTGTGTACGGACAGGAGCGTTGTTGCCTGCCACAATAAGACCATTTCATTTTTGTACACGGACAGGAGCGTTGTTGCCTGCCACGATAAGACCATTTCATTTTTGTACACGGACAGGAGCGTTGTTGCCTGCCATAATAAGACCATTTCATTTTTGTGTACGGACAGGAGCGTTGTTGCCTACTAACATAAAATACCTTTTTCCACACTTGCCATGGCCTGCATGTAGTATGTCAAGAACCGAAGTATCGTAAATAATATTCCTGTTTTGAATAAATCTAACAAATTACTCACTTGGTAGCAAAAACAATTTCACCTAAACATAAGCACTTCGCTACAAAATCCGGTCTACCCAGTTTGTACAGTTGATGCAGCAGCTAACAGACACGTATAAAATCACACATACGACATTTCATACGAACAATCATTTGGAACGTAGTATCTGCTGCTATGTAGTGATATATTGAATGCTTTTCCGCTATGCATTCTATCCGCATTTAACGATTCGCTACATTAACCCCATGAACAGAACAGGGGAGTATCTGAATTTCACACGGACAAGCAGTTATGATGGGAGTGATACCAAGAATAGATATGGCGAGCGTGAACAGGGAAAAAAAGACGGTGAACAAAAGAATTTTTACGACAGCGTGTACCAAAATATACAAAACTTCAATACAAATGTTGCAACATACACAAGTCTGCTCAAGAAGGAGCAGGAGTTCAACAAACTGCAAAGAGAAACGATTGATCTGTTCAAGATGATTGAGCTAGAATCTAACAATGATTTGAAGATGCACTTCGAGGGAATTAAAAAAATTATTATGACAAAACTTGCTGACAAAAATGCTGAGATACAGAGCAAAAAAAGACGATTTATTAATAAGAACATACATTTGGAACCTGAAAAGCCTTTTGTGTATCTGAACGCGCACCAAGATAGGAATTTGGAAATGGAAAATAAGATGATAATGAAGGAGACTCAGTCTCTTGACTACCAAATGAAACAGACTAGGAAGTCTCTGCAAGAGATCAAACATATACAAGATCAGATAAATCTGAACTTGAATGTACAGAACGAAAGCATCGACCAGATATTCAATAAGTCTAAGTCTATCAGTGAAAACGTAAAGGGTGGCAACAAGTACCTGAAGATGGGAAAAGAGAAAAGAAGACTGATGAGGCGGGCCCTATTCATATGGTTGTTATGTATATCATTCATTTTATTGTTTTTGCATTGGCACTACTGAGCTTTTATCCGTGCTGATCTTGTTAACACGACATCTGCCATTTCTATATTAAAGATTTGTTAGAAAAGACAAGATTTTCGGTTTACTAGCTGGAGTCGACATGAGTTAACTCCTGAACCCGTTGATCTTCAGAGGTTACTCTTTCAACATGACGATGCCTTCGGTTCATAGTAGGACATTTCCATTTCCGACGTTAAGATTTACTGGCAATCAGAGATTTACCAAGAGTTATGTTATGAAATACCTTTTTGCGATAAAGAATCGCACCATTGTGGATACCATTTCGAATTGACGATTCTCATCCCTGGACCATGCTTTCCATCAGGATGCCTTCGTTGTTTTATAACTTGCGTCTCGAACATTTCCACGAACTTGCCTGTTAGGACGAATTTGGGTCCGAGCTTACAAGCAGAGAGGCCAGTTTCTTTGCTCGGCCCGGACCTTACAAGCAGAAAAGCCAGTTTCTCCGCTCGGCCCGGACCTTACAAGCAGAAAGGCCAGTTTCTCCGCTCGGCCCGGACCTTACAAGCAGAAACAAGGTTGCACCGGTCTTGATTTTGACATGATTTCAATACCGAAGTGAAAACAAGCACAGTTTGACATGGACTGACAATTTAGAATGATATAATCTTAGCTAACCTAGGCTATTGCAGTGGTACGAATGATCATTTCAGGTTACATTCATAATTAAAAATTGCTACGTTGTGTAATCTATCTAAACAACAAAAGTTCCTAATTGTTGTAGAAGAACATATGTGTAATTTATTGTTGCTTTCTTTTTTTATCTTTTACAAATGGTACGTGGTGAACCGATCATTTCAAGGATACGCACAAAAGAGCATCATTTGCTGCGCCACAGGTACACAACCTTAACATTGCTTTAATACGTCCATATGCGCAGTAGATAACGAAGATGGTTTGTTACACTAAAAGTCGTTGGTTAGTACCTCATCAATCCCGAACAAACACATTTTTCTGATCAAGCACACAAAATTAACTTAACACGCAACCAACAGATAAACACAACTTACGTCGTGGAATGTGGTGTAACTCAGCCGGTGAGTAAATTTGCAAACCAGTTTCGCACATAAGATAATCTGGTTCATTAAACACTCGCTACCACGAATCGATAGACATTGCAACGTTCGCGTCTTTTCAAATTATACCGATCATAAGGCTGAGGAGCAAGCGCAACATCAATAACAAACCCTAAACGGCTCATAACACGTTTTACCAGGAATCAGAGATACTTTGGAACAGAACACTACAACAATATACGAGAGCAGAAGATTAAGAAAATTTTATAAACCAAGAAATCGCACAAGCTGCCAATACTGGCAGATAATTCACACGATCTGTACGACAGAAAAAGAAGGATTTATCAAATTATAGAAACTACGCGTACAACCGCTTTATCGTATGGATCAATAGATGCAACAAACAATTGTGAGATCGCTGGCGCTATACTCATTCGTTCTTCTTTTCCAAGAAGTACTCAAGAACTTTCTTGTCATTTAAAACGTCGTTAACAGTGTATTTAACCTCATCATCAGCACAAACTATCTTAGTATAATCTAATTTTGGTAAAATATTTGACACGTTTAGATCAAAAATAGAAATCTCAACAGGCTTGGTTGTGGCTGAAGTTTTTTCTCGCTTTGCACTCTCATCGCTGGGCACAAAGTTTTCGCTATCTAAATTGGTGATTCTTACTGTGGTTGTTTCTCTGATCCTCTGCACCTCGACCTCTTCGCTTCTTGTTTTATATTCTATGCATGTCCTAAGCTTGATAGGCACAATCCACGGCATGTTCTTAAGAATTGCAGCCTCCTCTCTGTCTTTATCTCTGTAATTTCCGTGTTTCATGTCTGTCTTCTCGACCAAAAACAGCTTTGTCATGTTCTTCTCCAACGAAAAAGATACTCTTTTGGCTTTTTTCTTTCTCTTTGACGGGTTTTCGTCATCAACCATAGCAACAGCATCCACCTTCTTCCTTGCTTCCGCACATTCAGCCATAAATTCGTTCATTTCATGTTTTTCCAGAGTTTGGTCGTCAATCTCCAAGTTCCTGACAAAATCGAGAAACTCCCTGTCGTTCTTCAGTATCAAAAATGCGTCCTTCAAGAAAATGAAGAAGTTCTTGTTCGCAAAAAACATGGCTAGTTCATCCCTGGTCATCTGCTTAAATCTAACGAAAGCGGTCTGCAGCATTTCCATCGATTTGATCGGATCCTCGACAGATTTAAACTCCAGAAAATTAAAATCTTCCTTCTCATTGACCGTCATCCCGCAGGGGCAAGAGAATGAAAATTTTAAAGGATGTGCGATTTGTCATCAACACGCCAAAACAGCGAAATGCACATGCAACGAAGAATAGAAACACAATAAATGCTATTTATGTGCTATAGTACATTTTTAATGGAAATGGCATACGAAGAAATGGTTTGTTTATCGAATTGTTAGTGTCAACGATCATAAATTTATGTTATAAAGAAGAACGCTATAAGGCGATTCAAGGAGCGCAACCGGCTCAATCACCCATTTATGTGCACGCAAACAGAAATTGATCACATGCACGAGCAGCAACAGATACCTGTCGTGTGAGCAACGTATCGAATGAGCAAATTGTTCTGTACGTCAAGTCTATAATATCAAACCTATCATGTGCGAGTGATTGCAGCAGGTCAACCGCTAAACATACATATAATCGACACGTTCACCGATATTCGGGCACCGCCCAACGATAAACTATCACATGCCCACATCTCCTGTGCAGAGGTCACGCACCGTGGAGCATAACACTTTGCAGTGCCAAACACGGTACACATCTGATGCTAGCCAAGTTACGCAGACTCACGATAACAGACATACCACATGATGATAGAAAAAATTTTCTAGTTGTTGCTGTTATTACGCTCTAACAGAAATGAAAATTGGACCGTAACCATCAATCGCAGCTTCCTTAATCCTTGATATGCACAGATACAGCACCTGGTGATCTCGAAACAAAAGTGATTGTGAAGCATTTGTTGAGAGCTTGAAAGACAAGTGGCTAAAACTGTGCACAATAAAGGACTGCCACATGCCCAACACGCAAATAATGTACCACTTTTACACGGTATTATCGTGCACTTGACATGAAACGGCTATTGAACGGTTATAAACGTATTCCATTCGAAGCAGGAGTATAAAAGGAACAGAGCAGAAAGGCCCGATTGAAATAGTGTTTGACGTAACATATGACAGCGTTCACGATAAACATGTAATAACAGCAGATTTAGCGTGCATGTTACGATTACCAGGTGCTTTGCTCTGTGTGATGCACAGCAGCATTACCAACACGTGCACCTTTTACAATTTCCGTTCATAATACCAACGGTACTTCATTTCAATATTACACGCTAAATTGAAGCGCTGCTCCTTTCTATTCGCAGCTTACGTATTTTTTGCGTAATCGATTGGTGTTGTGTCTTCTTCTAAGCTGGTTGATTACTCCGCAATGATTGTTCACATGATGATTAACCAAAATAGCTAAAAGTAGCACAAAATGCAGTGAACACCGATCAAGAATAAATGGCAGATTTGCTTGCTATTTCATTCTCATTGAGCATGAATCGTGTTAAATTACGTGTAAGCAAAAGAAAATGGGGTAAATGCCTTAACTGAACCAAGTTTGGAGAAGTTAGCAAGGTACAGGAGCAAATTAAACTTACTTTATCACGGCAAAGTAGCCAATCTACCAATTTATGACAGAACAAGTAAATATTGCAAGTAATGGACCAATACGATTTATTATAGGTTGAGACGGTGAGGCAGAGAATTTATGGTGGTGCAGATTAAAAACCACGGTTGTAAATCGAGTGATTGACGTGTTAAGCACAGTGCTATGCACGACAAGATGCGTATCGCTTGATGTACGGGCACAAGATTACCTTTTCTGCTCATGTGAACTATTCCTGCTCAAATGCTTTGACAGCGATTGCATTATCGCCTATAACACGGTAACAATTCGTAAAAAATTGCAATGTCTCGCTCTTTTTTATTCCTACAGCAGTGCATAAAAATTATTTATGCGAGGCCTCGAATGAATAAAAAGATAAATCCATGCATAAAAGGAGATAAGCCTTTTGAGCTCACGCTCAATGACTGCCTGGCATGCAGCGGCTGTCTGTCGATAGAAGAGAACAAAATTACGTTGTCCGACCTGCAACACGTCCCTATCAACATGATAATGAGCCATTACAGCGTGTTGAACTTGTATAACGAGATGAAAAAGCAACGCTGTGAACAAAAAAACAATCTGCACGGTATAACAATCAAAGAGTGGTATGTGTGTTTACAGCGAGCACTGATGAAGACGTTCAACGTAAAACGATTCATAAACACGTATGATTACCAGCAAATGAGCAATCACTTGGTGTATAACGAGTGGCTGGCCAGCAACAAACTTATACTAAGTGAATGTCCGGGTGTAGTAGCGTATATAGAACGAAGAAAACCAGAGTTGATACGGTATTTGAGTGAGGTACCATCTTTACAGCAAATATGTGCGTATTTGTGTGAGGAGGAAGGTGTTTTGACAGTAAGCGTGATGCAGTGCTATGATAAGAGATTGGAGGGTGATGTGAGGATTGATTATGTACTGAGCAGCAGGGATGTGTACGAAGTGGTGAGAAGCATGGGTTTTGATGTGGGTGCGGATGAGCAGGAGAAGATGATCGGGGATGTATATGGAGGTGCGGGTGCGGATGAGCAGGAGAGGATGATCGGGGATGTATGTGTGGGTGCGGATGAGCAGGAGAAGATGATCAGGGATGCATATGGAGGTGTCGATAGAAACACAGGATCAAGCGAAAGAGCGAATACAAATTTGGACAGAGAAGAGTACAAGAAGAACCGAAAGGTCGATGAAGATTGCACCATACACGCTGGTGATAGGTTCGAAGAAGTACATTCGAGCCACGCAATAGAATCGCTTCCTAGGAATGGAATAGCAGACCATGATATAGAAACAAAAAATGATATAAGAGAGGTATTTACGGATGAAAAAGAATTCGTAACAAGTGTAACACCGTACATGATAAAAAAACTTAACCTGGAAATAGAAAGAATAGAACACATCAGCAAGTCGTACAGAGTACTTCACTTTAAGCACAGCAATTTGATGTTTGCGCACATCACAGGCCTTAAAAGCCTGCTAAACTTTCTGAACGAGAAGGAGATGCGCTACAATTTTGTTGATGTTTTTTTGTGCGATAATCGATGCTTCGGTGGACCTGGACAGATTGAGAATAATGTTCAGGATGATTATCACGAATACTTTAACATGGTCAGCAACGATGTGACAAAAGAACCTGAAGTAGCACCGGTACTACAAGATAAGAAGAGGAAATTTGAAAACAGAAAGGTCTATAAAAGCAATTTTCAGGTGGAATGGTGAATATCAAGGAATGCTCCAGTTATAAAGAGAATACACTAGCTGTGTAAGCTGAACACGAAGCACATTTCTCAAAACGTTCTATCTAAAAACTTATCATTTCAGAGGCATATAATGATTAGAGGGGCTGCCATACAAAATGAGTGTATTAGATTTACAGGTCATAAGACGGGGATGTAACAAACGCACCGATAATTTACAACAGCATTTATGGTGCTAGAGAATAATATTTAAACGGAATTGTAAGTTGTTCATTGCATGGAGACGTACCCTGTTGGATCAGAACCATGCCTCGATGTTCAGTCTGTAAAATCACCGAGCAAACGATTACTTTGTTACCAACGGTACGTTTATTTACTGCTCATACACCAGAAGAACATCTAAAACGATACAAACTCGTGGTCACCAACGCATTGTCATTACGCTGTATTTGTCGTATTCTCTTAAGTCAATCACATTTTAACCTATCAGTATGCCTTCATTGCTACATCCAATTACCAGGCAAACCCTCCGAGCGCAGATACGTGAAATATGCCTGTGATGTAACACAATCTTTCATGAACATAAAACCAGCATTAGCATGCACTGCTCCGCACAAAAGGTAACAATCGTTGCACCGCTAACAACAATGATAATCTATCACACATATACAAACCGTTCCCTCCACACACTACAACCACAATACGTTAAAACTCTTTAATAAATTACTCCTCTCCAATAAATAAGAACTCTATTAAATCGATTGCATATGCTGCTCTAGCTCGGTGGCAGACCCTGAAGCAACAACCATTCTCATTATTCTATCACACAGTTCTTCGCCAAGGCCTTTGTCCTTCAGTTTGTTGACCAGGTATTTAATCCATAACACGTTGGTGAACGGGTTGAACTTGGACCACTCGTTGCAACATATCTTCTTCATCAGCCTGTAAACATCGTACTGCTCGTCGCCTGTGCCCTCAAACAGCTCTTTTTCGGGTGATAGGTCCTTGTACACAAGACCGTGATCGGTTGAAAGGCGCGAAAGCCCAAAATCTATTATACTCACTTTGAACGGTGCACTATCCTCAGTCACGAAGCGGCTGCTCAAATTAAAATTGCGCAGATTCTCGCTGAACGTACACAAACTGTCGTTCCGCATGCTGTTGTCCTGGATCAGGATATTACCCCAGTGGAGGTCCCGGTGTTCGAACTGGTACTTAAACTCAAGCACTGAGAGACACTCAATAATGATTTTGAGGAAGAACAGAATGTCGCTTATCTTCTTGAACTGGTAGTTCTCAAGATCAGTGCCTGCATCTTCCATCACTAAACAGCCGTAATCTTCACCTTTTCCACAACCACTCGGTCTCTTATTCTCCGATTTGTGCTTTTTGGCATACGCATCCCATGCGGTGTACAAATGCTGGTTGTACGCGCCCTTGCACAGGAAGAAATTCCGCATTTTTATCACGTATTTCTCGTTCTGCAGTGTCTTAAGCACGTACACTTCCCTAAGAAACTCCTCCTTCGTGTAATATTCGGTGAACGGTATGATTTTGTAAATCTTGTCCTTGAATTTGTACACATCAGAGAACGATGCCTCAGCGACCTTCTTTACGCCTTTTAGGTTCATCGTTGAAAAGTACCGCGTTTTTGGCTTGAGAATGCTCACCAGTTCAGCCTCTGAGAGCATCTGCTCAGCCACCTCCCTATTGCACGAAATGTTTTCGTCCGGAGGGCACTTATCGTTCGAACTCAACACGCTGCTGTCATCCTTAAATTCTATTTTGTATTTCTTTCTGTTCTTCTTTATGTTTATTTTCAGGGATTTCCTGCGCATCGGCTTGTTCTCCTTTAAGAATATTCCCTGTTTCTTGAAAATACGTGATCGTGTACCAAACAAGTCGCACGATACAGCACTGTTTTGGGCGGCGTTCACGTCTGTTACACGGTTCAAGGTCAACTTTCTGTTCAAGAACAGTTCTTCTCTTTTCAGATCGAGTAATTTGCTTTTGAGCGTGTTGTGCTCATCGTACTCGTTGACCGCGGCACACATTCCGTGTGATTTATCTTCATTCCGCATGTCACGCTCATTCGCCACAGCACACACCCCGTGCGAGTCGCCACCAAGCAGCAACGACCGATCCGCCTCAGAGAGCAACATTTTGGCACCTTCCGATATTCTGAGCTTTCTCTTCAAATTTCTTGTATTTTCGATCCTTAGCACACTCTTGCCCACACATTCCTTGTCACCGTTTACACACTCTCTTACCGTTGATGCCACAACATCTCCACCGCTTACCTTTTCTCCAACTGTTGCATTGTCCAATTTCCTCACTGCGCTCAAACGCATCTTTTTGTTTTTATACACCTTGACAGAACTGTCATCACTCCTGGCACCCCTTTTGAGACGTATGTTGATGACCTTGTTTGCATAAATGTTCGTGCCATGCATCGTGCTTTTTACAGTTTCATGCACGTATTTGGTTTGTTTTATGCTTCGTTCGGCTGAGCATTGGCCTGATTTGAAGAAACTGGTGTTGCAGTTTTGATTGGTGATGCATCTAGCGTAAGAGCTGGTGCGGTGTTTTGTAACATTTTTGTTCACATGCACGGGAGTGCCATCTCCTCCATTCATTGAAATGCAATGCCTTCCCTCTACATCTGTGGAAGTGCTGCATTTTGCCCCCTCATTCATAGCAATGCAATGCCTTCCCTCTACATCTGTGGAAGTGCTGCATTTTGCCCCCTCATTCATAGCAATGCAATGCTTTTCCTCACTTTCAAAACTACCGCCGCAATTCACCCCAATTTGTCCAAAATCGCTGCCACGCGTAAATTTCAGTTTTCTAATGTCCCTCACGTCGCGATGCGAATGCTCACACCCCATCTTGCCGCCCATAAACTCATTCCAATCAGAGTTTCTTTTCATGTCTTCTTCACGGCAAGGCTCCGCCTTATCCCTGTGTGCCAGATCAGCAGAGCAGTCATCCGCATGATCATCGGCACCGATTCCACTATGCACAACCACGCTCTTCTCAAAACCGGCTGTTTCTTCGATGAGCTCGTCTGCACTTTCGAGCACCACGCTCTTCTCAAAGCTCAACGAGTCAAAAAAGTCCCCATCCTTTCCCTTTTCACCCCTGAACTGTTTTTTAAAATGGTCATACGAGCAAAACACGCAATTATCTCCACTGCTCTCCTCATCATCCTCCCTTTCCTTATTATCACTTATAATGCTCAGCAACAGCTGCTGTATCCCCTCGCTGAACAGCGTGCTCTGTATGTACGACTTGTCCTTTTTCTTATGCTGGTAATCGGTCTTAATCTTCTCAAATAAACAGCTCGTGTTGTCAATTTTGTTGTGCACCATTTTTCTAATTTTGTCAAAAGAAGGGTATTTTTCCATTTTATCAAAAATTATTGAATAATTCCCTTTGATAAATTAAAACATATTCAATTTAAATAAAATTGTGATAGCATTATCAATTTGCGGCTATGGTGACGTTTCCATTTTATTTAGTGATGAACGAAAAGAGCAAATTACTTTATTAATTTGGAAAATTACCAAAAACAAAGAACAATGAGAATGTGGAGAAGAAGAAAAAACGCGTGATATCGGAGGAATACCGCAGTTGAACGAAGAAAGACGTGTAGATAAAAATTAATGGTGCTATTTGCATATGCTGCTGCGAAAGAATACACAAAATAGAGTGTGTGTTTGATGCAGCCAAAATGGTAAATGTGAAAAAAAAGAAGAAATGATAGTAAAGTAACGAATGGCACGTGAAAATGGCAAAAATGGTGACATAAAAGGGTAGCACGAGATTACATGCCAGGACGAGAAAAGACTGAGCATGGAGTGCGGGTGCATTCAACATTGTAGAAAATACAAAAAAACATTTTACGGAAATGGAGTAGAAAGTGTTTGTTTGTCTATGGAAAGAAAATGACGAAAATGCAGGCGTAATTATTGGGAAGGAGTGCCTTTGCCTGGTAAAATTTTTTATGGCACAATACAAAGAATTTTTAACATGCCCATTAAACGGTTTTGTGCGCGCTATCCGCAGTGATGAATTTTCAGTGCATTAATGAAAGCATTGATGTGCAATTTTGAGGTTAATTTTTGTGTTTGTTTTAGTTTTTGATTTACCCTTTCAGCTAATATAGCACAATTATACAAACCGAGCAGAGACCATAAATTAATTCTTTCGTGCAGGGAATATTTTGTATTAAGATGATAATTTAATGCAAAATACGCTGCCATGTTTGTTGCGACCGCTCCCATAGGTGCATTTAAAGCGTGCTCATCGCTCTCATTCTCATTAAACAACACTTCTCGCACGATTTATTCCCCACGCTGCGCTATCACTGCTTACACCATAGGTTCAGAAGTGTTCCTATCACACGCTATCATCACTGCCTGTCATTCTCATATTAACTATTTTTGTGGAAAAATCGTGCCAACCGTATTGAGACGCTCTTCCTCAGAGCTGTTACCGCTCCTTTCATCCTTTCCTCTGCTGAACAACGAAAGAAATGCTTAAAACCGTTCATATGACCATTTGCTGAGCAATGATGTGGCTCAGGAGACCAGAAGTGCACTAAAACACCATTTTGTTTTGCTGGCACCAAAATTCTTGGCAAAGAGGAAAGTTAACAATCGGCACAAAGCGTGTGCTCCAAGCGATTAACTAGTGGTTTGCTGTTCATGGTTCCACCAAATGTGCTGTGCACACGTAAACAATAAAATATGCTGTTGGTATTTTCTATTTCTGGTAGCTGTGATTAGCCAATCAGAAAAATACATTTGTAAAAAAATAAACAGGGCGATGTCCGTGCCCTATTGACCTGGCAGAAAGGTGTGTTCGGCAGGAGCAGCCGATTGATCGTTAGAGTGAACATGCGTGACTGGTGGCACAAAATGCTTGGCACGCGGGTTCAGGTAAACCATGCAGCTGCATGCCATGGTGTGCATTACCTAGTTATCCGGATGGTTAGCGAAGATGAACATGCACGGATGCGCAGCAGCCTCTAGGTGGTTCCGGACGGCAACTTGCAGCAGAAAAGATGCTCTGCAAGGCCGAGGACTGCACAGGCCGGCTGGTCACCGGCACAGAGCCGGTTGTACCGGCCAGCAATGCCGCGAGCATGCGATTACTTAGCGCAAGGGACCACACAAGCAGTGGACACAAGCATGCCACCCCTTTGCCAATGGTGGCTCAGAACACCTCAAGAACGGGTGAGAGTGGTCCAACGATGAACTAAAACCGTGGGTAGAACCGATTTTCTTCTCGTACACTGATGAAAAGCAAAGGCTGCGCGATGTACGGCATAGATGTACGCTATAATTCATGGCGCAAACACAGGTTTGCAGTGTGGCACCGATGTCCTCCATTTCACACAGTGCCTTGATCCGGACAAAGCGACCATTCTGTCACACAAGAGATCGAAAGCGAGAAGGAATGCATTTGCAGGCTAGTGCAACATGAGGAGGTGGCAATGAAGTATGGGAGTAACAGTATGTTCTTCGGTATGTGAGCATCCCAAGTTGAGGGAGTATCCGTAATGGGATATGCAATCACATATTTTGAACTGGGTTGTCAACTCGTGGTTGGTACGGGAGCGGTATTTTATCCACGTATTGATTGGAGAGCAACTAAAAAATGTTATTATTATTTATTTTTCACGTTTTCCTTTGCTGATCAGATTTACCGGTTGTATGATCGGTTTATGAGTTTAAGTTCGTGATGCGGTGAGAAGGTGCACAATTTTGATCAGTTCTGTGGATTGTGTTTAGTTGTAAGGATCGGTCCGGTTGTCAAAGTCTGACTGTCCTGTTGTCGTTCATAAAAGATGCGAATAGCTGTAAATCATGGATGAGATTAAGGTAACTCGTGTTTTTTGTTGTATGATCTTTCTATGAACGAAGGTGGTCCGTAATTTGATCCTACGAAGCAAATGCCTTTGGATCATGGATGAGTGCTTGGTTGGATGGTATTGAGCGTCAATCTAATGTACGGCTGTTGATGTGTGTGGAGGACATGACTTACTCCATCATTGTACATGATAAACCGCGATAACAGGTCAAAACAGGACCGTTCATTAGAGCGGTACCGCAGAAAGGTGTTTATTTGGAGCAGTGTGGGATGGTAAATGAACCGCTTCTGGTGAAAGGTGTGTTGTTCGATGTGAAGAGGAATGAACCGCTTCTGGTGAAAGGTGTGTACTTATGCTACGAGAATGTGCATGCCACACAGATGAGGTGAAGAAAAACTCAATCGATTCGGCTGCTTTTATCACCCAAAGGAACAAAATGATAATCAAACACACTTCCAGTAAAAATAGCAGTTCTAACGTAAATACCGTTGGGGTATTTTTTTCAGGTGGTATCTTTTACCAGAGCTTGGTCCCTCTGCCCTTTATCGCATAATCTGGCCGGTACTAATTAAAAACGTGCCCTTCATTTATGCTTCTTTAATTTTACCCCTGCAATGATTCAAAACTTGCAAAAGTCTAAGCTTGCTGCGCTCCTCAGCACCGACACATGGACGGTTCTCATACTCGACGATGCCACATTCCCCATAATTAACACGCTGTTTCGTCTCATAGAGCTACGCAGGTTCAACATAACAACCATTTTCAAGCTGGAGAACGACAGGGAGCAGGTAAATGCGAATGCAATCTATTTCGTGCACAGCAGCAGCATATCTGCCATCGTGTCAGATGTTACAGGCAAGATGTACAGCACGTACCACCTGAACTTTATCGATTCTGTGAGTCGGGACAGTCTGGAAATGCTGGCAGCCACGCTGTCTGAAAAAAGACTGGCGTTGAAGGTGGAGAGCGTGTGGGACAGGCACCTTAATTTCTTGGCCCTCGATAACAACCTGTTTGTGGTGAATGGGAGCAACCGGGATATGGCGGCCGGTCTGTTTTCACTTTTTTTCAACCTGGACAATGAGCCGTTCATCGTGTCTGGCGATGAAAACGTTTCTGAGCTGCTCTACAAGAAAATGAAGAACAATCTGGTAAAGAGAAAGGACAGGAGGCCCCTGCTCATCTTCTTCAAACGCGAAAACGACATAATCACGCCCCTTGAGCACAACTGGACGTATTCCGGTTTGATTAACGATATTCTTTCGTTTGATATCAACAAGGTGGCGTATTCCAAGGAGAAGGACACGTGCACGTACAGCATCACGCCCGATGACACGTTCTACGCCACCAACAAATACGAAAAGTTTCCGTTGGTAACCGAGCGGATAGAAAAGGAGCATATGAACTACAAGAAGGAGATCGGCAAGAAGAACTACAACATTGCCGAACTTAACAGGGCCAACGAAATGATTGATGCACACATGTCAATTTGCCTGAACCTGATCAACGAGATCAGTGACCGGGGATACGACGAGTACCATGAGATGGAGCAGCGTAATGCATCGGACGAGCAGATCTACAAAATGGTTGAGAAGGGCTCGGCAGAGGACGTGAAACGGTTCGTGTGCACGTTGTTGAAGAAGGGAGCACGACCTGAGGTGGTTCAGTACATAATGAACAAGCGGGGAATAACACAGCAGTTCGTTGAGAACGTGGTACAGCGCATCCAAATTGAGGAGAGCTCGCTGTTTAAACGGGCCACAAACATTCTGTCCAAAATAATTAACGTGGAGACGAGCACTCCGTTGAGTGCGTATGTTGGTGAGGTTGTAGCGAAGGCAAAGAGGGGAGAACTGAAGGTGATGGGCAACAGGAAGGTGTATTACGAGGAGGTGTCTGGTATTTACGTGTTTGTGGTTGGTGGCGGGTGTTACAAAGAGATTGATAGCCTGAGACGAATGGATGGCGGCATTGTGTACGGATGCGATGTGGTTTTGAACGGAAGAATGGCATTGGAGAGAATTGAGGGGGGGATGAAATAACACATGGTAAATTTGCAGTATGGTGTTCATTTACGATGCAGGGGTTGCTGCTCGGTACCTGCTGTTGATCCTGAATTACCATGATCGGCAGCATTCCTGCTACATGATCTGACCGTTACAATCAGAACATGGTGATTATGATGGGATGTGAACCGTTAGATTGAACACGCCGTTTGATTTGTGCACCTGAACACCCTCTGCAGTGCTAATGCGTGTCTTAAATTGTTGTTTAAACTGCACCAGGTGCTTAAAACCGTGCTTCACCGTGAAACGGTCATGTACTTGTAGCGATTGTGTGGTACAACCATGTAATTTCTGAGGTGAAGGGAAGGGTTGTACTGGAAGGGAAAGGATGTGTATGATTGACACGCAGCTCTAAAAAGATATGGGTGCTAAAATGGCACGGGCACTGCTCTTTGTGATTGATGCTGAATGAATCACGGGAATGTTTGGTGTTGCATTGGCCCAGATGATTATGGTGTGCTAAACATGCGTGAGGGCAGGAATGCGGTTAATGATGAACTGATGTGAAATAGTAGCGGTATAAAACAAAAGTATAGGAGCAACGTGATTTATTCGTTATTCTGTGCTTTTACACCTGATCATTCCTCTGCTGCTCCATTTCATGCTGACTATAAGTTTGTCCTTCTCCCTCGCTTGTTCCCGCTCGTCTGAGCAGCCTGGCAATTGGCCCTAGCGCGCCGGTGTCAAGCACAGACGGCCATATGTGAGCATCATGAGTTGGTGACTCTTGGTATCTGAGCGAGTTCTTCTTGTATCGGTCAAAGTTGGTATCAATAATTGGGTCATTTGGGCCTTGCATGGGCCACTCGGATGTGAAATAATGCTGCATCGGTATTGGATCGCACACATTGTATGAATCGACTGGATGCACGCCCATTTGCACCAGTGCCGGTTCATAATATGATTCGATAGGGCAAGCGTCCTGAAGAAAGCCTCCGTTGGTGTAGGGCATGTTGGTATAGGGGCCGTTGGCAGACACACACCTACAATCGTCGGTGGCAAACTCGTCGTGGGCATCTCCGAGACCCTGTCTAATTCTTTCATTAGCCGCATTCACTTCACCATCGGTGCCGTAGCACCCGCACGTATCGCTGCACTTCGTTCGCGCAACTGCCCGGCCAAGAATAGGATCCTCCAGATAGTCCATCTCGTATCCCATAGCCTCCATACTGTCGTACTGCCCTGCATTATCCGCAGTTGTGCACACACTCTCAAGGCTGCTGCTTGGGTGATCGGACCACCTACTCTCTGAGCTGTGGTAACGGTCAGACCCTTCCAGAGCAGAAGGAGGATGCACATGGACTGTGCCTGTCTTTTTGCCGATCCTGCACATCTCTCTGAACTCCCTCTCTAGCTTTAGCTGCATTACACGCTCGTATCCCTCCACACCCTCCTCTGCTATGAGGTCCATTCCACGCCGTGCCATGTTGCGCACGCTCTCCTCGTCTTCATCCACACGTGTGTAGATTCTGCCTATTTTCTTCTTTTCAGGCTTGTCAGTACTGATTGATGTCTTTCTGAACATAACGAGAACGATTCAGATGTATTTATAGTTTTATATGTTTTTTTATCACAATCAAGTATTTGTTCGTTTCAGTGATTGGTTTCGATTTTGTTTGGTGGTCGGTTGAGAGATAAACAGCAAAATTGATCAAAAAAGGAATTTTTGTGTAATATATTGGTCAATGATGCAATGATCGTGTTATATTAGCAATATCAGAAGCGGTAATTGTGAGTAGATCACATTTTATGCACCAGAGCACTCAAAGTAGGCTTAAATAAAATTGAAGCTGTTGTTTACTTTAACATGGATGAACGCTGCAGATTGAAGACCAACTTTTATGTTCGGATCAGCAAGTATTTCTGTGCCTTAGGTGCTCTGCGCGCGTCCATCAAGACTGAAGCAGGCTCAAAACGATGCGATGATATCGCACAGTGTGAGAATGACGTATGAAACAGTGTTCTGACGCAAAACTGTGATATTTGCCGTAAATAACCTCTTCATAACGTGATCAGTCTGAAACGCTAAGGTTGTTTCCAAATAGATGAAGAAATAAACGCAGTCATACTTCGCTATTAACAGCGGTAGCACGTCCGTTCTGTCAGTCATACGTTGAGTCTTTTCTTTCATCGATCTGGTGCCACTCATTCATTTTCTTCCTTTTTTTCGGTTGTTTGTTTAACGTTCAATCAGCGATGAAACGGCATTACACGCAATGATTCAGGCAATAAATCATCAACTGAAAGCTTTCATCAAGAATGTGGAGTGAGCGAGCGCATGTGCTGTGCTAGCAACGTATTTGTTGCGTATACCGGTAATATCGTACGATATATTTGAATCATTGCTACTTCGTAAATAAATAGAACAAAAGATTGGGATAAACGATAAATCTGTCCTAGTGCAAGAACGATAGCATGCTTTCTTCTGCCAAGCGAGTACAAGGCGAATTAAACAAAAGCATTGGTTGCTACTCGTTGTGAGAGTCATTGTAAATTTCTTATCATAATTAGTGCGCAGCACGTCATCCTTAATTCGAGTGCGTTCAGCTATTCGGCCCTTTTCTATCCTGGGGAATTGAAGTAGCAATTTTTAATCACAAGTCCTTTCCAGTGGTGTGTTATTCCACGTTAAGAGTGCGGATACGGTGTAGTACATCAAACTATATGGAGAGTTATACCATTGTAGGCTGTGTTTGTTGATTTGATGGTTATTTCTACCTTATGTGTATTCTAAAGGCATCATCAACCAATGAGTTTTTTACATCATAGCCGGTACAAAAACAAGAAAATAAGCGTAACATTCCACAGCGTGGTATCCTTAACATACTCTACACGCTATTTTTGCAGTGGAAATTGGTAAAATACATGCTTACCGTATTTTCAGGTGCTCCAGTTGCTCTGCTTGGAAGGAAATCAAAAATCTTAAAATGATGAATGAACCAAGCAATAAACAACATAACGTACTTTTAGCGACAGGCAAGAATGGCAATCTAAACATTACCAGAACAACAAACCATCATGGAACATGCAAAACAATCTATCAAATGGTATTATTAGAGCATAAATTCGTGCGGAGTGAATGATATGGCATTCTTAAACGTAATTTTTGCAAAATATACTTTAATATGCTAACCTGAAGAGATACCAAACCAAATGTGGATCATAAATGGAATGTTGTAAAATCAAAAATGGTAAAGAGCTGTATGCCAGTAGATATGGATAATCAATTAAATCGTTACACGCTCCCAGATTAGAAGACGGTCAGACCTACGTTGCGGAGTGTGCACAACGCACCGTGGGGTGTTTGATGAAACGGTGTTTTAGTTGGGCCTACACCTCTTTGATCATGTGTTACGGCCAGAAAAGGACTGATATACAAGAAAGTGATCAAGTATCAGAAAAAAAGTGATTTATCCTATCAATCATTACTTTATCAGCTGATGTTGTCTTCTTTTGCTGTTCACGTGCTGATACAGGGTGCTCTACCGCTAATGTTAAGGATTCGACATGTCCTGGACATAAAAGTGTTCGGTAATTTGCCTACAGGTTGGTATGAGAAGCAGCAGGAAAGACGGTAAGTTTGGTTTGAAACGGTGTAACCGATTTTGTTTGGTATTGCACGACGTATCAGAGCGTTCTTCACACGTTTTTTGATAGGTGGCAAGTACAGCACCATTTCTGCAACAACCTCATGCTGTGATACGTACGTAGGCACAGCACCATTTCTGCAACAACCTCATGCTGTGATACGTACGTAGGCACAGCACCATTTCTGCAACAACCCCATGCTGTGATACGTACGTAGGCACAGCACCATTTCTGCAACAACCTCATGCTGTGATACGTACGTAGGCACAGCACCATTTCTGCAACAACCTCATTCAGTGATATGTACGTGTGCTTATCAATTATCACACAAAACATGAAATAGCCTGTCAGCACACAATCACCACGCTCCGTGATTTGTTTCTTTTTTAATTTTCTTTTCATTGGCTGTTACCGCACAATCAGCAACAAAACGTGTCTCAGTTGGTGGTTCTCCTTTTTCTTTTCTTTCTTCTTTTTTTCCATCCTTACCACAAAAAACTGATGAATGATTTTTCAGACATCCAGATCACCCACAAACTCGGAACAGGCACATTCGGCGACGTGTACGCATTCTTGGACTGCAAAACGAACCGCAAGATGGCCCTTAAAATTGAAAAAAAGAACTGCGATCTTCTGCGCAACGAGTACAAGATTTATGTGCGGTTGAACCGCACAACAAACGATTACGTGTGCCGTACGTATTTTTATGGCAAGGTCAAGCTCAATAACACGCTCAACAACGCGATGGTGATGGACCTTCTCGGTCTTTCGCTCCAGAAACTTTTTATCAGACAGGACAAGCATTTCTCGGCGGCCACCATACTGAAGATGGGGATTATGATGATAAGATGTGTGGAGTTCTTGCACGTGCGGCATTTTGTGCACAGAGACATCAAGCCCGACAATTTTGTGTTCGGGATGGGAGAAAACTGCGACAAGCTGTATTTGATCGATCTGGGCCTTGCAAAGAGGTACAGGAGCTCGAAAACGCACACACACATACCACACAAGAAGGGAAAGATGCTTGTTGGGACGGCACGGTACGCATCCGTAAATGTGCATCGCGGCGAGGAGCAGAGCAGACGCGACGACCTGGAGAGCCTGGGATACTGCCTGATATTCTTTGCTAAGGGAAAGCTGCCGTGGCAGGGCCTTAAGGCGAGCACCAAACAGGAGAAGCACATGCTGATAAGAGAGGTAAAGGAGAGCGTGAGCCTGATGGAGCTGTGCGATGGCCTGCACACGTGCTTTTACGAGTATATGAAATATGTGAGGAACCTTAAGTTCAAGACCATGCCTGATTACGGTTACTTAAAACAGCTGTTCGATAATGCTCTGTACGAAATTGGGGAGGAGTGTGATAAGCGGTTTGACTGGAGCGACAGTGAATGAACGGCGGGTGCATTGAACGATGGGAACGGCTCAGATTGTTTGTGAGGTGCCAGCAGATTGCCGACACAGCCATGGCGATTTCCACCGTAGAAAACCTCAGATAAGGAGATCGGTGCACGCGGTGTAATGCGGTGTTCGCGCGGATCAAGCACTGTTTGTGATCAGCATCTCGTTCTAAGGCACTAACAGCATTTAAATACGCTTTTCATCGCTGCTGCCACCCATCGTCTTGATTGCAGGGATAGTGTGCAGGTCCCGCTGCTTGAACAGAAAGAAATAGGCCTTTATACAAAATAAAAAGCTTACAAAGAACCTTTTCGTGCAGTAGCACACTCTCAGCACATTCATCCGCAATACACCAATTCTACCTTTTCACGCCGTTCAATACCTCTGAAGTACCTGTGCGGTAGTATAAAAATGAGAACTGCTCAACACACCATGCCTGTCCTCACAACAAATTCTTCTATTTCTATCGTAGCCTTGATGATCCCCGGTCCAGGGTTTGCTGTGTAGTGCCGTGGTGTAGAACATGTCTGGTCCAGGGTTTGCTGCGTAGTGCCGTGGTGTAGAACATGCCTGGTCCAGGGTTTGCTGTGTAGTGCCGTGGTGTAGAACATGCCTGGTCCAGGGTTTGCTGTGTAGTGCCGTGGTGTAGAACATGTCTGGTCCAGGGTTTGCTGCGTAGTGACGTGGTGTAGAACATGCCTGGTCGCATCGTATCAAAAACGTGTGCTTGCTAGGCGCTGTTGCGGAAGTGGCAATTAATGCACGCTTTATAAGTAAAGTAAACGTGCTTGGTAGACATGCATGCACGAACCGTTCTCACTTCGTATTGGAAAGGCTCTGTTAGCAAATTACAACGTAAAATGGTAATTCATGCACAAATATAACAAAGTAATTGTTGGGACCGCACCACAATACCGTTCTTATTTGTTTGTCAATCAATCGCTTGAACACCGAAGAAATACCAGGCGGTCAGAACGCGCAGCTATTGGATTGTGCCAAGGTTCTGCCTATCTCTTTGTAAATTTTGTTCATGCAAAAAGCCTTGTGTGCCAGGTCAATCTAAATTTACCTGTTACCCCAGTTACTCCTCGTACCACATTAAAAACGATTCCTTCATCTCAGTGATGAGTAAATCATCTTTTCAAATGTTATTAACTAAATTAAACTTAACGTGCATCAAATTGCAAACATGGATGAAACGCTGATCACCGCCACAGGACCGGTTTATTGGGAGAGAACGGCTGCTGAAGAGCACAATGCGCTTGTTTAAAGTGTATTTTAATTAAAGTATGGGAGAATGAAGCATGCCTGAAACTTCCACCCGTACTGGTTCTATGGCCGGTGCTCGCACATTCTTAGTTCCTGGGTCTTTCATCGCAAATTGTGTTTGTCTTGGGTAGGCTATGTCTGTGTTTGCCGTGTGTTTCTCTGTAACGGACGGACAAAATAACTCCACAAACCTTGTGCCTTATTTTTCAGCGTTGCTAAAAGCGAAATTGAGCTTCGTTTACACCAGCTCAGTCCATTCTTGCATTTCACAGCCAATGGCACCATGCGTTGTCCCGCAGACACCAGAAAATTGCCGAGGCGGCTGACATTGCTATTTCGCTTGATGAGATAGATCAGCAGGATAAAGCATGTTATGGTGATCGTGAGCGATGTGATAAAACACGACATTCTCGTGCATGCACGCCGGTATCTATCCGCTTTCTGGTGCCGAGGATTTGTTGCTGGCGTGCTCGGCAAAAAGAACATAAGAAAGAACGACGGTATGATCAGAAGCGGCAGAAGAATGCGCCAGTCATAGATCAACTCCTTCCGTACCACTGTCATGATCACGATGGTGAGCACGCTGCTAATTGCCTTGAAGATCACCGCGTGCTCCCTCTTGAGCACGGTCATAATGCCGAGATCAACGAACCCGGAGAACAGAATCGGCAGCAAATTGATGATGATTTTCTTTTCGAAGAGCTTTAGTGCAAGATCAATCAGCGGTTGGTACTGCGAGTTCATGGTTATGTTGAACAGGAACTGTGCGAGTATGCCCAGTCCGCAGCACAGCGTGATGATCTCACTGCTGTCGCGAATTACGGTCGACGACTTCTGGAACAGCAGGTTTATCGTGGACACGGCTATAATGCCCAACGAGAGCGGCAGGTTTATCTTCATGGATGAGCCCGTACTGTGTATGAAAATGGTGAGGAGCGAGGATAGAATGGGTATTGATGCGATGTACAGCTTGTGCAGGCTGAGGTTGAGTGTTGAGAGATAGTTGAACATAGAACGGGAACAACCTCATTTGCTATTATAGCGGCGATGTAAATTAATATGTTTGTTTTGAGGGATGCTCTGAATTTATACATTTACGGCAAATTGAACGAGGTATTGGAGATAGGGAGTGCAGCACTGTGAGGAGGCTTTATAATTGTGTTTGAACACAAAGGAAAGACGTATGGTCTTGCCAGGACAATGTTAGCACGAATACGGTGGTACCATTGTGAGAAATGGGAGATTCCGTGTGCAAAACAGAATTTACATCGGTGAACAAGTCTGATACTCCAAAAAAGTACCATAAAGGTATGCACAGACCGGCAAGGAGTTTAAGCTGTTGCATTTCTCTCTTAGTACCAGGTGATATGTAAGGCAATAAAAAATGAGTCCGTCTGTTTTCGGACTGTACCTGCTTCATAGGACTGTGCTCACACACCAAACATGTTATCTTACGGATTTTGTTCGTTTAACGCAGTAATATATTTGCGGGTGAATGTACGTCTTTTGATGCCATGAACTCAGTTCATGGCATGTAACACTCCGTATTCATACGATAAGCTCAATTCAATGGTTCTTCTCGTTATAATTCGTTTTCCACGTGAACTTGGAGGTACTTTTCGTCACCGTTGCAGAAGGTTACTTCCCTATGTTGCTCGGTCCACGGGCATTCGTATCATTCTTAGACCGAACAACCGTGCATATCACGGAAATACGCGGTTAGGTATCATAGCAAAGCAAGAACACTCTTATGTACTCTTCCGGTGCGCTGAGAAACGTGCAAAAACATAACGAGAATGTTTGTGAGGGAAGATGCCTTTTATATTGCTCCAACTCGTAATTATTCACTGACCCTGTATACGGTTCATGTTTTTAATACTTCCTTTTCAGGATTTGGTAGGGTGTAGGTATGCACGGAAATTAAACTTGCACATCGTGCACCAACTGCTCTTTACGCATCGTTTATGAAGCAAAATATGTGCAAAATGTGTTTCTTTACGATATGGTGCGCATCTCTATGTCCGTGTTTATCACAACAATGAGTTACAAAAAGGTTAATTTTTTGTACTCTCGATTCAAACAAAGAAATGCGCATTCCGAATGATACGCCCTTTTCTACCAACTTTACTGTTCAAACCATGTTTCTACCAAAAGATGTGTCCAAGTACTTGCAAATTGAGCATTCATGCCTATTGAATACGTGTTCTGTGAGAATGCAGCTATACATGGTGAACTAAAATTATATGTCATCTTTACATTCTCCAACATCTTGTTACACATGCTAAACGGTAGTAGCTGCCATTGTTTCGCTGCTCGTGGTGCGTGTTCTCCGTCAAAAGGTCCCATCAATTTTCGTATCAATCACTGCAATCTGCCGAGTAATTAAATTTGAGTGATTAAATTGATTGTTTGTGCAAATTACCAATTTACACTTCATATTTCTCCTTTTTACAACATCTTTTATTGGAATCACGTATTTAAGCGTAGACGTGAACTCATCACACCGCTCAAACATGTTATAACAAAATGCGGTGACACGTGCGTGTTGATGACCGTCAATTCATCGATAAATCAGAGTTTTCTTCTTTTGGAACTTACTAGGATTAGCAGACACGAAAGTCGGTGTTCCATATAACGAAGTTGCTGTTTATGTATTTACATATTGGTGGGATATGAACAATAAGGTAATCGCAGCGGTAATTTTGTTGGAACGATTCGTTACTTACCCATTCTCTCTTTGTCCTGCTCACTACGCATCATGTTGTGGTAGGTTTACAGATTAAGAAGGCTCGCACGCAGATAATTTCTGTACATGGCAATCTATCACTGCCATTTAAATTGATTAGGGGATGTTGACAGCCGCGATGAGCTGCTTAATAAATATTTCCGTGTTCAAGTGGTGAGTATTGCACCGAGACTGCCCTTGAAGTACGGTAGATTACTGCGGAACGTTGGGAATACGTCAATGATTCACCGCTGAAATGCTTTGTCAATTCGTACGAATGCACCAGCACCATAGTTAACGCACGGTAATCCCTTTTATGACATTCCTTTCAATATATAATTCATCTCCGAACTCAGTAATTAATCACTTGGCCATTAAAGCGTTTTTTCATTCAAAACTGGCGAGCAGGAAGTTGCACCATTCGCTAACGCTTCGTTTTATTTACCTTTAGCGAATAAATACGCAAAATTTTTTAGTGTACACGATTTCGATAAGGAATTTTACCAAATTGGCGTTTCAAACGATAAAATATGGATTTAGGGAATACTTTACATACTACTTTGCGAATTATCTGCCATTTTAGAGCGCTATTTTTATTTTTGAAAATAAAAGCACCTAAATGTAAATTACTGTTTCTACGGATAATATGTCAAGATGACACGTCATTAAATCGTTAATCTTGCTGGGAGTTCAAGTTGTGCGGGCATTTCATAAAATTGTTGAGTATGTCGGTTAACATTCAACACTTAATTTGGATGCTTGGCGAAAGAACTGTAAATGGATAGAACAAAGGATTGAAACATGTGCTTAGGCAACAACACGGTGCTGACCGCATTGAATCGTTCAACACGATAAGCAAATACGTGTGTTGTTCTGCAGTGCTCCCAAATACCGAGCAAATACGTGTGTTGTTCTGCAGTGCTCCCAAGTACCGAACAAATACGTGTGTTGTTCTGCAGTGCTCCCAAGTACCGAGCAAATACGTGTGTTGTTCTGCAGTGCTTCCCAAGTACCGTTATGATAATCACGGCTCTACAAACGAGTGGCAAGTGCAAGGCACTGGTAAAAACGATAAGACACAGAATATAACATCCAAGCAATATCAAGCGGTTCGATGAGCTGTCACTTCCACGGAACGGCTCAAACAAAGCAGAACGTGTCGTACCCGCATCTCGCACTGCATTTCATTAAAAATTAAATATTTTATTGCTTATGAAAATGTTCAAGGTGGTATTTCAAGCCATTCGAGTTCTTGTACCTCTTTCCACAATTAGAAAAGCTGCAAATATGCGGCTTGTTCGAATCGTCTTTCTGCACGTGTCCGTTTTCGATGTGGTATCTAAGGCCGTATGCCGATGTATACGCCTTTTTGCAACCTGTGATATCACACCGGTAGGGTTTGCACTTCTCCAACGGATCGGCCTGAACACCTTCGGTACCCACGCTTCGTGAAACGTTGAAATTGGCGATGCTGCTGGCATTGATAGTGTTGTGCATGTTACTGAACGTGCTGCCCGTGCCAACACATTCGCGCTCTCGGCCCGTGCCGGCCTCGTCCTGGGCGCTCTCCTCGTCATTGCTGTGCTCGAAGTTTCTATGCTGTGCAAAGCTGTTGAACGTGTCAAAGTAGTTGCCACAGCAGTCCAGGTTGTTCAAGAACCTTTTTTCAGTGCTCTCCAGCACCTCATCCATGCTTACCTCACCACGTCCCTTAAACAGCACGTCCTCTTCGATGTTGAGCAGCAAGTTCTCAAGCACTATCTGGTCCCTGTTCATCTTATACTGGTTGATTTCGTACAGTTTCTTGTTCCTGTAGAACTCGTTGCGGTAGTGCGCCAAAGAGTCAATGTCTGTAAGCTTTGCTTTTTTATTGTTCATTGGTTTGATTGTCTTTTGCATAGGGAGGACCGTTGATGTTTTTTCTATATACCCTTTTTTTGTGGGTTAATTTGTAATGATAAGATGGAATTGGTAAATTATAGAAAGTGGAGGTTTAGCGCACTTATTGCGGAGTTGAATACGGAAAGACCGGCACGGAAGTTTCAGCCGAATTAATTAATTTATTAATTTGAACGTTTATGCTGATAATGAAAAGGTACGCATTTGTGCACGGTTATAAGCAGTTGGGTGATGAGGATGATGCAAGACACCGTTTTTTAATTGTTTTTACATTCATGGCATATTTGTCTGCGTATGACACTCCTTCTTTTCTCCTTCCTTTTTTGTCCTTGATTCTCTAATCATTACGTTGTGTTTCTTTTACAGCACAGTTTCACACCATGCTAAACATCTTCAGATTCTGTGCATGGTCCTGTTCCCATGCCTCTGTCCCTCGGCATGTGCATTCCTCGCCCCATCGTTCATGCTTACACAGCTTCCCAGTCCTACCCAGTTTCGTCTCTCAACACCATCCTTATCTAACAGCAGACACGTCCCTCAAGTATTTTTGTCCTCTCCTCCTCACATTTCCATTTACACACCCATTATTCGTCCTTTCCGTTTCACACGCTCGTTCACTGCGCCATAGCATCGTTTAGATCATCGATCACCATTTCATACATGTGTGTTATATCATTGCTCGCTTTCCGTCACTCATACAGCACCAAATGTGTTTTACAGTATCTCCATGAGCGGAAGAGTATTATCATGTTTTCCTTCGATAGTGTATCAGTGCAACATAATGAGTTGATCTACGCCTCCAAGCCGTGCAGAACACGAATTAACGTTGTACCCATCCACCTCCACGTACATTGAGCCGATAGAGCTGTCATATGCGTTGCTATCAAAATATGATATTGGTTAAAGACAGCGTGTCCTGCTCATAGCGCGTTGCCGTTCACAATTTATCATTGTGCCTAAACGGTAATATTTTTTAATTTACTGCGGCATTAAGCTGTAACGATTTCATCTCGGATAAACTACAAAAAGGAACTGCGCTTGCCGGGAGAAATTCTAGAGATGGGCCGGCAGATGGTTTCATCGGTGTGAACTGCTGTTGTGGTTTCGTTGATTTCAATATCCTGTTGCTATGATTTTAATTGGTACGATTTGATGAGTCCTGAAATACAAATTAATAATCGAATGTACGCTCATTACGCAGTAATTGCGTAAACAGATAGCGCATTTACTGTGAGACGGCTGGTGTGTAAGCGATTGATTGTTGGTCACGATCACGTATTGCTGATCAATTGCGATCATGAATTGCCAGAATCTGAGATACCGATTTTTAACCGTAATTACGCGCCGAAACGCGAAAAGTTTTCTTGGATCAACACACACGGTACCGTGCAACGAACGATAAAAGTCATATTCAGCGGTAACAGTTGCTGTTGTGTGGTGGAACGCTTGCTCACGGGCACTCTGAGTTGCAGATAATTCGTGTGAAAATATGTTAAATTCGTTTGAAATTTGAACCAACCGCGAATACAATCCTATACACTATGAAGTACGTACTATGATTGTGGGTCGAGCGTTATGGAACAAGGATTGCCGCCGAACGTAAAATAAGCAGGTATAGTGATATCACCATGGTTCCGATATTTTATACGAAAAAGTGCCGTTCTCCAAATTATTTCAATGATCGTTCTGCCTGCGCACAACTATTTTTTGGCATTTTACCATTTTATGGCGAATGTTTCTGGAGGACGGGTCTTCTTGCACAGATAGCATCGTGTTGAAAATGTGCCAAGAAGATGTTACAGCACAAGCGCATAGCAATGTGCACGTTCACATGAATGTTTAATAAACCTTCAAATGGTGTATGTGCGGTATCTTCGGTTACAGTAATTTGGGTACAAAATACAATTTAAGTCACGCTATCAGAGTATAATACGCAGCAAGAAATGCATGCGTATGCAGCAGATTAATGGATTGCACGCCCTTGTGCAGTTTAGATACGATGATCTGCGGGTGTATGCTGAACATGGTATTCGTTCAATTTTACCGAAAATGTTTTTACAGTGTAATGCAAATTTGGATGGACATTGGCAAGGAGAGCAATGTAATTATGGCAATGGCACAACTTCAATCCATAAAAAGATTGTTTGCCATAATCTTTGAACAATCGTACAACTATAGCACGCTTCTTCAAACAGTTTCTGTTTTTGGAAGTATTGGTAAAAAGGGAAGTTAACTTATGAAGGATGATTTTTCAACACCAATGCTAACAAACTTGATAAACTTTATGTAATTCTGAGGATATTGCAATATTCCTTTTTAATACCTACCATGAAATGCAACTATGTAACGAAGGAGGTGAACACGTAATGTGGTGTTTCTGATGGAGTACCGGGTAAGTAGCTGTGCTTTTTGTGCTATATGCACTGTTTTATCCAAAAATATGTTAAAACTTGACTTACAGCTGTACTCCCGCAAAACCGGGGTATCTCCTGTGGTAAGGAGAAGGCTCCACATCATATCTTATGTTTTAATCACCGTAGCCGTAACAAGTCGCGATTAGTGTTCAAGAACTAATCTATTAATTGCTGCCAGGAAATACACTTAGCCGTTTTTAACGTATGTCGTTGATTCCCTCACATAGCAGCCGCATCAAACATAACACATTTTATGGACCGCAAAGACAGGTCATGGTCATTGATCCATGGGCGTACACTCACTGGTCACGAGCGCTATACACAGCTACCGAAATGTTACCATGAACAAAATGCTAAAGTGTTGGTACGAGTAAAATATAAATTTTTGGAAAGGGAAAGATGAGTAGGGCGTGTTACAACGGGTTTACGCACCGTTTTAAACTTAAGCAGTGTTGCTTCACGATGAACATCCCATCAATTTGTGCAAAAGTGTGTTTTAATCGGCCAATTAAACTGATGTACTGATATGAGCAGATGACAGCACAGCGCATTTGTGTGAATCAACGGGATTAAATTCTTTTTTTGCCGCCTGTGCGTGTGCTGGTCTGACATGTGGGTCAAGGAACCACTTCGTTGCAAAATATCCGTTTTTGAATGTATGAGCTGTGCACACCGCTTTTTCCAGCGTTCAGAATGTTCTGTTAACAGCAATGAACCACGGCCGAACCGTTTTATACCTAAAACATTGCACACGCCACTTTTTTTTATAAAAGAATGTTTTAGAGCTGTAAATTCGCCATCCACCTAAATTAAAGTGTGATATCCGTTGTAAGTGTTGCGCAGAGTGCCTTTTTGTTCTTCGTAATTTTGGCGGGTAACTAAACAAAGGAGTTGGTACCATGAAGCGGTACTAGAACGGATGCAGGCGGTAACAACGGCTATAGTACAGAGATTAGCAACGCATTGAGATGAAAGTACTCAATACCAGCTAATTGCTCGTGATCACTGTTGAACATTTTGGCAGTTAACCATAATTTAACTAATACAAATTGTTAGGTTGTATAATGATTTGTAGGGGAACGGCCATTTACATGGCATAGTATTTAATTTATTTAATGTTATGGAGCAGAGTTGATATTGCCTATTTTTTATGAAGGTTGTTTTACCAATGCTGACGCAAGAACAGCAACAATTTGCACCATTTATGAAGGTTGTTTTACCAATGCTGACGCAAGAACAGCAACAATTTGCACCATTTATGAAGGTTGTTTTGCCAATGCTGACGCAAGAACAGCAACAATTTGCACCATTTATGAAGGTTGTTTTGCCAATGCTGACGCAAGAACAGCAACAATTTGCACCATTGAAAATGTTTGAATGCAGAATAAAACTTGATCATGGTGCTGTGACGTACGGTCTAATATTGGTGTTTTATTTAAAAGATTGATTACATCGCGCTAAGACACCTCTGCGGTATTTTCATCGTAGGCTTGGAAAATAGGGGTTGCTCACCGATCCTAGAAGTGCCCAAAGAGCAAAAAATTGGCAACAATTTACTATGATGTACCAGGAAGAGATAGCTCGAGCAACTAAATACAACACTTGCTGTCTACCATGGCTGTGTTTGTTTTTCAACCCAAAGTATCGGAATATGATGGTGTTGATACGTTAAACTATATTTGCACACCTTTGCTGTTTCTTGCACGTAAACTGCTGTACCACCCGTATAGCGCGTATTTTACATCGCATTTCATCTTCTCGATCCGCATTGGAGACATGCTGTATTGCCGTAGACCGCGACTTAGCTAACTAATTTTACTCAGTGCACTCTCCACAGGGGATAATACGCTATGTGCATGTTTATTGTTTGTGTGAATCAAGCACACTTTTTCCTTTCATACTATTACCTTTTTGACCTGCAACATACCAAATATTGATATAACTGCTACGGTGCTATGCACCATACCATTCAGTCCTTCCGAACACCTCGCACCCACATGTTTACCAAAATGCCGTCATAACAAATTTGCACCATTACGCTTTTTCTTCGAATTTATTACTCATTAAAAAGCTGGGCTGTGCGCCAACACAGTCGTACAACCGGTTCATTACGCCTATATTCTATTCATTGTTGTTTCATGGATGACACTCGTTTCATTACCGAGTAAACTCTTGTAACGTATTTCGCCATGATTAAAGCGGCTGTTGGGTGCCCATTTGAAAGGTATCCATGGGATTAACAGGTTCTTTCTAACTTCTGTACGTAAGCCATGGTTAAACCAATCAACGACCACGCTAACGTGTACTAAAACGCTCGTAACATATTTTGAAAGCTTTCAGGATGACTTTTTTAGCATTTGCTATTCATAAAATGTACAATTCAACAAAACTCTCTTTCTACCTTCTCAACCTGCTGCCAACACCTCGCATCAAGCAAAAAATGGCAGAAGAGGAGTGACAGGGGGTGTTACGTGAAGTATTCTGCCAGTAAATGCACGTGATTTGGTAACTTTGACATGAATGCAATCTGATCTGAAATAAAGAACGTTTTGGATGGTTGGTACAAACTGCCCGTTAAGGCTATGAGTGTATTATACGACCGGTTCGTGATGGTTATTGAGGAATTACTTGGTGTGGACCTGCAGATATGCAAAATAATGTGCCAGTTTAGGGAGATAGCACCTACAAAGTGTCAAGAATATCAAAAAGATGAAATTGAGCAGTAAATAACGAATAACTTGGTGTCATTCGTTTCAACTATATCGATTAATGTACACAAAACGAAGAAAAACAACTTTTTTGTACTGAATGGCAATTTAAATGTGTTTTCACACGCAAATCAATGTTCACTACGTGTACGAATGCTCATGTTAAAGACGTATGTTCGTATGCGTACCGATGAGTCGAAATGCATTCTTTTGGTGGCTGTGATCACTCACTTTACAGGCAGTGTTGAAACGAATAATTTTATTGAGCAATTCAGAAGAACACCAATTATGGCCAAACCAACCGCAACGTGACCGGCATGTACTCAACAAACTGGCACATAGCGTGTTCATTTACTATTAATAACTCTTCTTTTGTTTATTATTAAGGAAACAGGGCTTCACCTTCTTTCCTGCCACAGATGCCATTATTATCACCGTTTAAGTGCCATCGACACGTGTGGTAGAACGAAAGGTGTTTAAGCCGCAAATGTAATGTGTGGAACACGGAATGACATGTTACAAGAATTTAGAAATCATCTTAGCGTTTGTAAACCGTTCATCGACGGTGAATCAGTTAACCGATAGATGCGGCAGAATGCAAATACAGGCACATTGTGTGATGGTACACAACGTAAAACCGATAAAAAGGAATTATTTACCGTTTTGATGGATGTGTGCAAAATGCGTGATGGATTAAATGGAAATTTTACAGAAAATGTGTTTGCACATGGTACAAGTAATTTTGGCAGTTTTTGACAGGTATAACACTTCTTTACAACAAAATAGACAAACATTGCCGTTATAACTCATTTTTAATCCGTTGTTCACTTCATATTCGTGCTATACGACTGTGTAACGGCTCGGTTCGTTTCATCCACTGCGCTCTGTTTTTGTTTGTCCCCCCAGAACAATTTCTACCTGAGGAGCAGTTTGCTGTATTCTGTGATAAATTCATCAAAAAACAGCTGTTTGATCCGCAGCACCATCTTGCTGTTGCATAACGCTGCTTTTTACGCTCCGCTTTTGCACAGCACTTTGTAAATAGCACGTTGTTGCCCCTCTCCGCCACGCTAGCCAATCAATATCTTCCTTACCCCGTTTTTCCTCACTTGTCATTTTCCCGTGTTTCAAATTAAATCTCTTTGTTTTCTTTTAATCCCTTTATCTGCGTATTTCCCCTAAAATTTTTTAATTAATTTTTTCATAGAAAAAAGAAAATGTTAAACAAAGAAGACAATTTTTATCCTACCAATAAAATAGAAGAATCCCTACAGTCAAAAATCGCCAGAGACATGCAAATAATTAAAAGGGAGATAAGAGAGGCCCTCAGCAGCCCGGCAAAGTTGCGCTATCTCGTTGATTTTGAGCACGGGGCTGTGGCTTATAATCCTCCAAAAATTTTCAAAAAAATTGTGATACAGAAGAAGTGGAGTTTGAAAGAGTGTGCGAGGAGAAGTGAGGAGTATTACAGAGAAATTGTAAATTTACCGATAAAGTTCGTGCTTGTCGGATCGGACAAGGTGGTGTTTACGGAGGAATGGATATACGCGATTGAGGAACGCAGGAATTTGAAGTTGCTGAGGAAGATAAATTTTTATAGAGCAAAGTTGTTCAGAGAGGAAGACGAGAATACGGGCAGAGAGGACGTGGTGATGAATGGAGGGTGGAGGAACTGTGACTACGAAAAAAAAATGCTGGATGGACTGGCTGGGACCGACCGTGCGATCACAATGAGCGATCAGCCAGGAATTACCGCCTTAGAGGGCTTTAGAACGGCAACCGATGAGAACATGGACACGAACCAGCTCATACACTCTCAGCGAGTGCTCGCTCGTAAGCTTGCACACGAAGCGAAAGAGTTCATCCAGAGGAACACGCTTTATGAGGACGATGAAATACGAATTTTGGATTTCCAAAACACCTACACATACCAGAAGGAGATGCCCAAGGAGCCACCGAAGGAGACCATTGATCACACCAAGGTGTTTGAGCTCATGAAAAGCGAAAATTCAAAAACAAATTTCAAAATTCCAAATATTAAGAAGAAGGGCACGTGCCACTCATCACATGCAGCCGCTCTTTCGAAGATTCCGTATGACCTGGGCAGAATGGCCACGCCGACCGAAATTTTGAGCTATAAAACGATGAGAAGCAGTAACAATATACGACAACAATAGAAATGTGTGACAGAATGTTAATAGAGGATGAGCAGATACAATTTATAGAGCATAGGCAAATAAATTATTTTTGGGGGTTGTAACACGTGGTTGAGCTGGTGGTTGTTTTGTAATATACTCAAGGTTTGAGAGACCGTGTCAGTTGCATATGCAGTGAATAAACGTGATTGTAAGAAACGTGCTCTTGGATCGAGAATTGCTTTTGTAGCTGTACATGAGCATTTTACTCGGCATTGTCTATATGTTACCATCCGTTTACTACTGTATGATTACAGATGGACAATTCTCAGTGCTATATGTCATGCTTGTGATGTACCATGGTCCATGGTGTTTTAGTTTTCCACCAAATTTGATTTGTTAACTGTAACGTTCCGTTATTTCCTCTTTCACGCGAAAATTTCGCTATTTTTAATAATCAGAAGAAACCGGCCAAGGACTAAATCGCGAATTAGTAATTTTGGTTGATGCAGATGCGTTACTTGGCGCTACACGGGAAATAACGGTTTCAACAGAAAATGTCACAAATTTTTAGAACTTAGTTCTGAGGACATCATAAATTGTGTACTTCAGGCTTTATCGCGATTTGGTAAATTAAAATTACGAAGTTCTCATCATTTTTCCTTTGTGTTAATACCATACCGGTACACGGTCACTGAACAGGTTATATTTAAGTACAACTCACAATTTCCGATCCTTTTTGTTAATACCATACAGGCATATGCTCTAATGAACGTGGCTGTTCATACTCCTCAGAGCCATTCTATTTACGGTGAGCACCTCTGGCAAAAATGGACCTAGAAGTGCTGTCCGAATAACTCAAATTGATACCACAAAAACTGCAACATGCAGGTACCAATTGCTTACAACGCTCTCGTTTGGCTATACAGTGAGAAGTGCTGAGACAGCATTTTTGTTATGTTCTGAACAGCATGTACCTCAGGTTCTTTATACAATCCTGTACTTCTTCTTACATTGGGGTATGATTGCATACTTCACACCATTTTGTTTTCTATTAGTTCCGCTAACAATGTAAGGCATCTCAAACTGTTGATTTACTTTCATGAACTCGTTTGTATGCTTAGTTCAAGATTTGTACACTTTTATAATGTGTAGTCAAAATCTGACATCACAAATGTTTTCATAACGATTTTCGCAGATATTTCTGTCTGGCTCTTGATGTCCCGATAGCTAAAGCCAGCACAGAATGAAAAAGGGGAACGCAGCAAATCCGAAACAAAACTTTGTTTTGCAAGTGAAGGCCTTGCACATTCTGTAAATTTATACTAAAAAACCCATCAATGATATGACATGCGATAAGAACTGCTTATTACTTCCCTAAAGGGTATATGGCCATAAAAGCGACGAATATTGTTCATATTTTGCATCAAAAAACTTACTTTAAAGGTATGGTACAGCAACAAATATATTTTTTACCTTTTCTTTTACTAAAATATCCTACCAGTCAACAATTTTATTTACTTGCCATGCAGGTTACTCAGCACTTATTGGTCTATGGTTAACCAAGGACGTACTTACGACTAATTTATTTTTAAACGACATAATTTTGATCATACGCATTGAATTATGACATGATCATGGAATGATCCGCTATCTGTGCGTTCTAAATGTTTTAAATCGATGTTTATTTTGCTATACATCCTCTAAATGCTTGTGTTGGGAAATGCCCACTCTGGAATAGTGCTAGGCTTGTGAGACAGGTTATTTCACGGTATGATGATTTGTTGGAATGAAGGCTGAGTTTGGTGAATAGTGTTCTCAGCTCCATTTTGATTTTGGCGTAAAATAATGTTCGTAGGACCAGGAGATGATAACACTTTTCAATTATGACGTGTAACGCTGCGTTTAAGCATCATTATTCGAATGCAGAGTTATGATGTGTCCTCATTTGCACGTAGTATCGATGGTAAATAGAACTGAACGAATGTACTGCCACCATTGTGTATGTTTGCTATAAATGCACGGTCTTAGAGTGCAAGAACACGTTAAATAGATATATCTCTGGTAATAGCGAAGAATTAACGCGCTATTTCTCGTAAATAAAATGTATGCTGCCAGATGAACCTACAGCAATTGATAACAGATCCTTTGCACGATTCTTCGAATGCTGCAGCCGTAGCAAAATTAGCAGCTGTCAACTCATGTCATAAGCCTATAGAAAATCAAAATGTGTTGCCTGTGCCTGCCATATCATCTCAGCCGATCAAGCACAAACGCTTTAAAAGTATGCCTTCTCCTGATCTCTCGGCATGTGCGGTTTTATCCGAAAACACCTGTCTAGATGGGCAATTCGCAAAACGTGCCACCGACCCTTCACACTGACATTCTGAGGATTCATCATTCTCCGTTTCATCGCTCTCAGCGCACAAAGCATTTCTAGCAATCCGTGACAGCGTTTTGATCCCAAAATATTTTGAATTTTTAAGCCGGAAAATAAAAGAGCCCTTTCAACAATGAGAGACGATTTGAACCTTGACCAATTGATTCTACGCGCAAGCCTTAGCGAGCGTGCCGAGCGGTACGAGGACATGATAAAAGACATGAAACGTGTGGTCAAGCTGCACTGGGAGGAAAAAATGGAGATAACACCCAAGGTACGCAACTACTTCTCGGTGGCATTCAAAAACCTGACAGGAACAAGACGAGCAGCGTGGCGCACGCTATGTATCGAGAAGGAGAAATACAAGGACACAAATTTAGACTACTATAACGTGATTGTAGACTATTTGGTGGAGGTGGAGAACGAGCTGAACACGATTTGCGACGATGTGATAGGTCATATAGACAAGCACATTCTTAAGGAAAATGAGACTGCACTTGATGTCGAATCGCAGGTATTCTTTTTGAAAATGAAGGGCGACTATTTCAGGTATAAGGCGGAGGTTGCCACCAGCCAAGACTTCTTGGCGTTCAAGACGGAGAGCAAGAACGCGTACGAAAAGGCAAGCGAGATTGCGAATGAGTTGGCACCGGTGAACTCGCTCAGACTTGGCCTGTGTCTTAATTATTCGGTGTTCTACTATGAAATTGAGAAGATGCCAGATAAGGCGTGCATGCTTGCCAAGCAGGCGTTCGACGACGCAATAAAAGATATTGATGTGTTGTCGGAAGAGCACTACAAGGACTCAACGCTCATCATGCAGTTGCTGAGAGACAACCTGTCTCTGTGGACGCATCGTGAGGAGAGCAACAAGGACTACATCGATGAAAGAGCTGATTAAATTTCTTAAGTAAAATTGTCTTTACGAATGAATTTTATGGCTGAATAGCACGTATGCACAGTTTCGTCTGTGATTGAACCGTTTCCGTTTGAGATCCTGATTTAGGTACGGAGATAAGGCAAACGTGGTCTGTTCGCGATGAAATGCGCCGTACGGTACTTTTAGCAGTGTTGAAGATAATGCGAGTTCAAGATGACAACAATGTTGGTTCGATGAGTTTTTACCAGAAACTGGATTTATAAGATGCAAAAACGGGTATGACCAATCCGAAGATTGTTGCTGAATCTGTTCATAAGCCGTTTTAGAACGAAGAATTGCACCACAGGACACAATAAAATAGCTAAGCATGCTTTCATGAAAGAGTTTGCAATCATTTTAACGCAAGGATTGTATTTCTAATGTAAAGCGTTGTACATAATACTGCTGCGGTTTATCTCCCACATTTCTTCAGCATTCAAGAGTAATTTCAACGTGCTATGCTTTCAACACTGCATACTTCTGCTGCAGCTGTTTGCAGGTTACCTCACATTTTACCTTTATAACGCTAAAATTACGTCTCTCAATGCCAACGTTAAGTAAAACACCCTTCTGCGGCAACACCAACACAAGCGCATGTTGAAGGTGCCAATACGAGTTGTTGCCAAAAATTCCTGATTTGTGCTTTACACTTCCTAAATTACCAAACCATCTCAGTGTTCGTGCCGTGTATACGGAGCAGGTAGATTTTATTACCTGCAGTACCAGTCGTGAAGGTAGTTTATAGCTGACGTACAGCACTTCGTGTTCCATAGAAACTTATAGTGGATGATCTAACATGGCATTTACGCTTGCGGCACAGCAATGCCTCGTAGCAACAGAACTGCTTTTTTTAGTTTGCTGCAATTTTATAAATTGAAAAAATTTGACCCCCTCAATTTCCGTCTTCAATCACACAAATATTCGTTTCCTTGTGTTTCATGCGGCGGAGACATTTTTAAATAAAATATTGTGATTTACGAGCGGTTTGAACGCACGTAATTAACCGTTGTGGACGGTCATGTCATGATGTGTTTGTAATGTGTCCGAGACATTTTGCTTGCTGCTTGTGTGGTATCTGAGATGTTTGCATTTAATGTTTTGCTCTCGGTAAATTTTTGTCTGATCGGTCTAATATGCTCGTTTTTATGCACTTCTTTTCCCGAGCACGATTTAATGTAAGGATTGCAGTTCTAGGTTTGTACGATCAAGCGTTAAAGTGCACATTGATTGGTTAAAAGGTTTTTGCGTACCAAGCAGCCGTGCAAAATATGTTGTACAACCAATTATGGTGGCGTATCTCCTTATTTTTGATCAGGGTTCTTCTCATGGCACTGATTCGTAAGCATGTCTCCAGGGTTGATGGTAGGTTTGCCGTTGGTAATGTTAGTTTGCTCGGTATTGATTCGATGAGCGCTCTCAAATGGCCTGTTCACAGTAAATCACCAGGTCAGCACTACGTGGAGTGCACCTTTAGACAGCACTTCCATCTTTTTCGCTTTTGCACCACTAAAATTAATTTATCTTTCTCCTCACGCCATACGAACAAACACACCTTCTGCTACGCTGCAGCATATTTTTAAAGTGCTTTAAACACGTTCTAAGCGGCATGATGAACGCGCCATGCTTTGACCCCTCATGGACGGGTCTCAGCAAACAACGGTTCAAGTCTTCTTTCTGTTTTGGATGAATAAGCAATAGCGGTTCAAATTTACCTCTCACGTGCATAAATTGCGCTGCGGTGCTCTAACCCACCTGCACAGGGTTAAAAGCTCCTTACATCAGTTTTTGGACGGGAGGGTCGGTGAAACACGTGCACTACAAAACAGATCACTCAGGAATTCTACATTTGAATAAAGCGAATGAGATCGACAGATCAGCGTAGCGTACTTGCCGTTTCAAGTGTGTTGCTGTATCTTACAGCGTATCGAGGTGGGCGTTCTCTGGCAGTGCTCTGATGTGACAGAGCAAGCTGTTTTTTGTTTATCTCCATACCGAAAGGGATTGTTCACCATAGGGCACCTCGTTTTCCATATCCAATGTACTATCCGTGTATGTGGCTTGTTCATTCCTACCCGTACGGATGGGGCATTCCATTGGTATCGGTTGATCAAAGAGCGGAATAAACAGGTGATTCGTGGTCAGGACTTGTATCCAGGTGCCATAAGCATTCCATGCTACCTATTCTCGATTCGATTGGTCGTAATCTCAGAGATAAGCACACGCATCGCTAAGCGGTAATCAAAGATGCTCATTGCGTCACGCCACCCCTCCTAGCACGCACATGGTGGTTTGTGTATTCTGGTTCAACCGGTCCATGGATTGGTGTTCACCCCTAGCACGATCAACACCCACACAATCAGTTTCACAATCCAAACTTGACATAAACACACGTCTCAAAACACAACAGAATGTTACCATTAATCGCCGTTGCACTGCACATACTCACTGTTTGCACGTCGTTGCTCACCATAACAAACACCTACCGCAAACAAAACGCACTTGTGCCGCTCACGGAGCATCCCAGTCTTGCGCGTGCTGCCGTTCAGCAGGCAAACGCCATGTGTGCACGCAAGTCGCTCGTGCACAACAATTTGAGCGACAGGCTTGCGGCTGTTGATTTTGTGGGTACCAGGATAGGTGAAAATATTGCGAGATCGATTGAAAATGATGAGCAGAGAGTGTTTGAGGTGTGGTTGAAGAGCGACATGCACAAGGACAATATTGCGGGTGACTATGAGTTTGTGGGTGTGGGGAAATGTGTGGATGTGGATGGTTACTTTTATTATGTGGAGATATTTGGAAAGAGGGCGCGTGATGATGTCTGTAAGACGAGTCCTGCAGACAAGCTTTGCGAACAGCGTATCGAGAAGGATGTCTGTAAGACGAGTCCTGCAGACAAGCTTTGCGAACAGCGTATCGAGAAGGATGTCTGTAAGACGAGTCCTGCAGACAAGCTTTGCGAACAGCGTATTGAGAAGGATGTCTGTAAGACGAGTCCTGCAGACAAGCTTTGCGAACGGCGTGTCGAGAAGGGCAATGAGAAGATAAAAACGAAGAGAACGATAAGATTGATAATAGACAGGAACGCAAGGGACAATACGCCTACAAAGGAAAACAATAGCGCAACTGCTACCGGGTACGGCATTAACTATGGCTACAACACCAATTCCATCTCTTATTCCGATTTCTTGGTGTATTACGATCAATTTCTTAAAAATTACCTGAGCAGTTTTCAGGCAAAGGACGATCGCACGGTGAACGAGATAAACGAAAAATTGAAAAGCATTGATGAACAGTTGAGCAAGTTGCTTGGGAAAGCAGATGAAAAAGAGACGAAGAATAGCGCGGAGGGTAGGAGTGACAGCAGCCATATGGAACATGGCAATGGCAAAAATATAATCAGCATTCATAACAGTAATGATAGCATGAGCTACAGTGGTGGTAACAACGATAGGAATAGGACCAATGATCGCGATAGCAAGGACAGCGGTGACGAAAACAATGGTAGTAATGATGGGAACGGTGGTAGTAACCACGAAACCAGGCAGGGCAATGAAAGTAACAGCCAGGGCAGTAACAACGGCCAAAGCAATGAAAGTAACAGCCAAGGCAATGAAAGTAACAGCCAAGGCAATGAAAGTAACAGGCAGGGCAATGAAAGTAACAGCCAAAGCAATGAAAGTAATAACAGGGACAGTAACGCTGTGAATGATGCAAGTACTGCAACCAAGGATAATAATTCTGGAAGTAGCGGGAATAGCGTCAAAGATAACACCGATAGTGGTAATGGCGGTAAAACCGTGGAAAGCGATCCTAGCAGCAGTATGAACAGCTCAGCTGCTGACAAACCAAAGAACAGTGTAAGAGTACCGATCGTGGTGAGTGATAAATCAAACGAAAAACGCAGAAATGTTCTGTTGATCGATTTGAAAGATTTGCTTGAGAGTATAGGAAACATAAAGAACGTGGAAGATAGCGGAGCAGGTAATGGTAAAGAAAGTGGTGCGGAGGAAAAGAAGAAAAATGGTGAGAAAGAGACGGATGCCCAGCAAAATAAGGTGCATGGCAACAAGAATGGCAAAGCGGATGATGACCCTCATAGCACGGACGCACGTGACGGTGCAAATGGCAGCAAAGCGGGTGATGGTGAGAGCACCGGAACGAATGACCAAAGAGGGAATGTTGATAAAAAGGACGGCAGTAGCGGTAGGAAGAACGGAAAAGAGAACAAAAATGATAGCGAGGGGCAGAAAGCGGACAAAAAGGAGGGGACTGAAACTGCCGAGAACAACAGTGAAATTAACTTAGGTAGTGATGTAAAGAGCCTGGTAGAAATTCTTAAGCAGCTGAAGGAGGGCAAGAACCCAAAGGTGGAAAAGGGCAACACGAATGCAAATACCAGAGAAAAAAATACAACAGAACAGACCGACAACCAACAGGACATGAATGGCAACACGAATGCAAATACCAGAGAAAAAAATACAACAGAACAGACCGACAACCAACAGGACATGAATGGCAACACGAATGCAAATACCAAAGAAAAAAATACAACAGAACAGACCGACAACCAACAGGACATGAATGGCGATTTACGATTTGTCATAAAAATAGGAAACAATGGAATAGAAAACGAGAACGAAATAGGCGAACTGATAGATGTTCTGAAAAAAATCACAAAGAGCAAGAAGGAGAAAGATTCTGATACGGATAAGGAGAGTGACAGCCCGAATGATGCGAACAAAAACAAACCAAAAGACGAGGGGCAAAGTCAGGAGGATGGTAGCGATGAAGGAGGAAACGAGCTGATTTTGAAGGAGTTGGTGAGCTTGATCGGAAAGTTAGAACGTATAAGGACTGGTGAGAGTGCAAAAGACCTAAGAAAGGAGGAAGAGGGTGGTGATAAGAAGGAGATGGCAAATTGGGTGAAAGGTTTGAAAAGTATCATAGAAGGATACAAAGAGGAAAATAAAGATAACGCTGGCAACAAACAGGATAATCACAGCAATGAAACGGATGATAAGAAGACAGATGGGAATAAGAATGGTAAAAATGCCAAAGATAGCGATAAGGAGAAGGATAGCGATAAGGAGAAGGATAGCGATAAGGAGAAGGATAGCGATAATGGAAAAGATAACAGCCATGATACGGATAGCGAAAAAGATTCAAACGGTAATCGAACCAAGAACACTGAAAAAAATGACAAAAAAATCAGAACCAGAGATAATGGCAAAGACAGCGATCCTAGTGCAGAAAAAGATACTAGCGATAAAGACACTAAGAACGAAAGGAACAGAAACAAAAAGAAGGATGGGGACGACAGCAATAATGAGGATAAAGATGATCGTAAAGACGGAAATGGCAGCGAAACTAAGGAGAGCGGCACTAACACCGGAAAGCGCAAACATGCAAATGTCGTCAGAGTACGAAGACGATACAACCCGTTCAACCTCAACCAAACAAAAATATCAACAAAGTTGGCCGAACTGTGCCGCTTACTCTCTGCATCCGATAACATGAACGGCTTAAATTACAAAAACGTGAGCAAACTCTGTATCGATAATGAAAATAGACTTGATGATGAGGTTTACGGTGATAGTGAACAAATAGAAATTGGTATACCACTGTATTACGGTGCACAATTAATCAATTGATGGCTGTTTGATAGATATAAATTAAATTTGTTATTTAATAAGGCTATTGTGAGTATCTGTGCTGATATGGGAGGTAGGCTGTTGGTTTCTTAAACATTTTTACTGCATTCTTATGTCTGTGTGCTTCTCATCCTCGAGTTCGATCCAACGTGTTTTTGCAATAATTCCTGATCAAAGACCACTTGGCGAAGATATTCGTTTCACAGTACTACAGAACAGGAGGTGCTCATGGGTATGCATTTGTGACATGCTGCTCATTGCAGTCCGCTCAAATGGTCTTACTCTCCGATGTGAACTGCAATTACATCTTTTGCCCGAACGTGTAAATCAGAGTTTACCTTGCTATATCATATTGGCAGCATATTACGTTTGACCACTCGTGACCACGGTTCGACACGGGTTGTAATTCGTAGGTGTTATTTACCGCAATTATTCATTCATAGGAAATGAAGAACAGCACGGTTTGAGTTCGATCAGTGTTAATATGGCAATTATCATTGCTCAGGAGGTATCACTACCCAACAATGACATGAGGATGTGTGAATCTCAACAGCTGTGTTGTAGAAGAAGCAATTTGTGGTAAATATTTGCTGATATGGGCGAGAACTTGAACGAAATAGTGGGGTGGTTTATCGAAAGGCATCATTAAGGAAGTACAAATACGGTGGTGCGAGCAGAGGAGCTAAAAATTATTAATGGCAAAGCAAGATCGTTGCTCACAATTCGACTACAGCCCAACTATGACATCATTAAGTTCACAAGTGTTGTGAAATGAAAGATTTATTTAATTAACAGAGATTGTTGATGGATAATGCACATTCCTTGTCTCAATCATTCGTTCACAACTTTTTCGTTGGTTCTACACGAATTAAACACCACACGGATGCTCCGTTGATTTATTGAAGCGGTTCGGCGTGCAATACGTAGGCAATAACTTTTTAAAAGGGATATAATTGTAAAGAAATCGCAGGTAGTACGCAAGCGAATGTGCTGCCAATCTCAGAGATGGTGTTCAATGCCTTGCCGTTGACCAGCCACAATCTTTAGCCTGCTACCCTCCACAGTCCTAATTTGTATTTTCATCCATGTGTCATTAAATTCACGTTTGAGCGTGCGATATGCCGAAGTATTCACACAGGCACGAGTTACTCTACGAGATTTCTCCGTCCAAATGTCTTTTCTCCCTGTCTGTGCATCCTCGCGCTTCATCGCCACGTGTTCAGTTTTCTCGGCTGCCCAGCACTTCTTTCAGCCACACGACCACGGTATCAAAGAGCTCTCTGCTCCCATGCTTTTTCCTCACACACACGTAGTGCTTCTTTATCACCACGTTGAAATAAAATGCAAGGCTAAACTCTACGTACATCCCCTCCATCTTCAGCAAACAGCTGTAATTGTCCTCACCAATCATCGTTTTGATATGGTGCAGCTTAAAGAACCTGTGTATTGCTTTGCCAAGCCTGTCTGAATTGTTAACGTTGTTGCAGCTTATACCGGTGAAAATGCCTTTCAACAGCGTATTTTGCACTTTTACCTTTGGCTGGACAATGTCCGTCATGGGAACGAGGTTTAGACGCGGACAGTCGTTCTGCAAGACCACAATAAGCCTATGCAGAGTTTCCTTCCGGCTGCTGGTGGCCACCGACCGCGATAATTCCTTGTTGGCAAAGTGGTTTTCCAACAAACGGTACATTTTGATGGTTGGACGAATGCACGAGAGCATCGAAACATCGTTAACACATGCCTGCATGTCCATCTCTGTGTTTTCGAAGGTCTTTCCGCCCACTTTGCGCAGAACATGAATGAACTCCGGGCTAAAGGAGTGTGGTACCCGTGTCTTGGCAGTCACGGACGTGACAGTAGGGTTTATGTATGGATGGCTGTGTGTATATTGAGAGTCGTTTTCGCTCTTCGCATCCTTCTTTACATCCCGATTGCTTTCATTCAGCCACTCGCTTTTGAGCACGTCCCTCATACGGTAACGCTTCCTTGCATCGTTCTCAATCAGTCCTCTGACCAATTTACGCGCGCTGCCGGACACCTCTCTGTGAAACATAAATCGCCCTTTCTTTATCTTGCTGTGCAGCACGCCGACGTCCTTGTCATCAAAAGGCAGTGTTCCCACGACCATTACATAGAGAACCACGCCAAGTGACCACATATCAACCTCTGGGCCCGTGTACACTTTGCCCCTAAGCAGCTCGGGCGCAGCAAACTGCAGTGATCCACAAAACGTGCCCAGAAACTGCTTTGAGTCGTAGAAGTTGCTCAGCCCAAAGTCAATGATTTTGATATTTCCTCCTTTATCGATCAGAATGTTCTCAATTTTTAGATCGCGGTGGACAATTGCGTTAGAATGCATGAAATTCACGGCATCAACGATCTGCACGAAAAACTTCCTGGCGAGCGGCTCGTCAAGCACGCCGTTCTCACGAATGCAGCTGAGCAATGACTTGCCACTCACGTATTCATACACCATGTAGAAGTGTAGATCGTTGTAGAAGAATGCATGTAGCTTTATTATGTGTGGATGAGAGGCGAGAGCTGTTATTATAGCCTCCCTGTAGATACGCTCTTCGCGTTTGCACCTGCTTTCCTTGTTGACAGAGTTGTATCGCAGGTTTCTGGGTATGATTTTGATGGCCACGTGCTGTCCCTCCTGTGATACAGCGAGTTTAACCTTTGAGAAACTGCCCTTTCCAAGCGTGCGCAGCAGCCTGTAGTTCTTGATACGCCGCTCGTTGAGCATCCTGTCCGCACACACGTAACCTCTCCTATGCGTCTCGTCTTGAGCCGCGCTGCTGTTCCATTCCAGGCTGGACATGCCACTCTTGCCACCCTTTCTCTGATCGATACCGTCAGATCCTTCGTTCCTCAGTTTAGAATCCATGGTCCGGCATCTTCCCGAACAGTACTCATCCACACACTCGCCCTTGTATCCGCTCAAACGCTGCTGCTCCGCGTCCTCATGCTCAGTGTCAAGCCCGTTCTCCGTCTTGAGATTTTCGCTGTTTGTATCGTCGTATATTTCGTCAAGACTTGACGACGAGTTCGTGTGCATCAAAGTGCGAGTGCCGATTTTTTCTATTTTTGTACGTGCGCGCCACCAATCGTTTTAAAGGGAAAAGAGAAGTCTAATTAAGGAGAAGAGGGCCATTTATAGTTTTTAGAACATGAGATAAATTATTTAGCACGTATTCTCGGTGAGAGCACGGATCACATTTTATTACCCGTAAATGGGGTGGCAGCAACCTTCCTCGCCAGCACGATCACACCAAGCGGTTGCCTTCCTGTGCCGTAATGATACCAACAGCTTTAAAGTATTTAAATTGCATGTACGACCGGTATTTCAGTCACACACCACTCTATTTGCGATACCGAGCCGTGTTTAACAGCTTATCACTCGGTTCTCATCCAATATTTTGTCTTATTAGCAAAATCCGGCATATTTCCCGCTCAGCGATTATTAGATCAGAACTGCGAAGCTGCGATCTTTTTCAAAACACGTGCTCGCAAAAGCACCACCGCTTGGTATGACAGAGAAGCGATGTGTCCATGTGAACGACGAAAAGAGCGTTGGATAAGATATAACAGACAAAACAGCGTATTTATTACGATCAGATGGAAAAGACAAATTGAATGTCTGTTGCTGGCAAATTACTGATTAGTTGGGGTCTGACCAATAAAAATACATAGGGAGGGACAAAAATGATTGGATAAAACGTATAGCAGACGCATTAGCTTTACTGGTACCACAGACGGATAACGCGCTCTATTTCCCGTTCTCGCTGCCCTCATTTTCTTGCCTTGCACCAAGTGCAGCTTGCCGTATCTGTCTCTGCTCGTTGTCCAAGTCTTCTCTTCCCGTGTCTGGCGCAGCCTGTTCGGTTGGCCTTGAATCATCGTGTTTATCGTTATCACGGTGCCCGCGTATCCTACGCACGATCGAGATAAAAATGTGCGATGCTGTGATACCTATCAACGTGTAAAAGAGGAAGTAAACCATTCTTACCGATGAACTCATATTATCTAGCATGGGATAGGGCCATACACCGTTAGACTTGGACAGATATGCTGCCCAGATGTAATACGAGATGGGAACCATTGCGAATGTACACGGAGACAGCTGAAATGCTGTCAAGTCAATATAGAATGCCTCGATGATGAGCGCAGCAAGCGGCAGAGCATGGTACACGACATCCATGTAGAACGGCAACAGCGCATCCACCTCAGGTATCGGGCGCATCAAACTCGCAGGATTTGTGAAGTAAAAGAACCAGAACGTGATGGATATTGTAAATTCGGTTGCAAGTGCAATGGGATAAAAGAAGTTATGTGCTCTCTTGTACTTGAGAATACCTAGAAGAAGAGTGAAAATGGTCAATTGAACACCGATGATGGTGAGGAACTGATTGCGCCCACCCTTCTGCGAGTTGAAATGATCTGCAAGAGCCTTTGGAATGGATGCATCGGTGAGCGAGTACAGGAGGAGCAGAATTGACAGCACGTGGAATGTCAGAACCAACATAGGGGCATGCTCATTTTAAAATTTTTGAGAACGTCTTGGGTATTTCCCAACGAATACCTTCGTATTAAGGAAAATGGGCATATATTCGATCAGATATCCTGAAAAGATCGTTGCATGAGATGCCCGACCATAGGGTGAAGGCCAAACATGTTGTTCCTGTGCTAGTAGACATTTCTGGCTGCAAACCTGCGCATATGTTTTTCACAAGAATGAGGCTATGCTCGTTGACCATATCAGGCTTAATTTTAGCAATTTGTTAATTTCATTTGATTAGCGTTATCAAGATGTTTAGGACAGTTTGATGAACAAATTTATCATTAGGCAGTGTACTATTCATGATTCCGACCTTTTGGAGCCCGAAGAAGCCGAAGCTATGTGTTTGCAGGTACGTGAATCAGAATCAAGTGTGTTGTGTTTAAAGTAACGAAATATGCCGAAATTATTTAATTATAAAAATAAAATCGGCTTTTTTTGGACGATCAAGCCGATATAAAAAGCAGCGTTTGTTTTTGTGCATTTTTCAAGCTCAAAAAATTTTTACCCCATGGCGAAGAACATTCCTCTGAACAGAGCAGGTAAAGTAAGAAATCAAACGGCAAAGGTGCCTAAAAAAGAGAAAGAGAGGGCAAAGACAGGAAGAGCAAGACGTCGAGAGATGTACAATAGGAGAATGGAGCAGGGATTGTTCAAGAATGGTACCATGAGGTTTAATCCGCAGTTTTAATAAATTTATTTGGTTTGAGCTGGAGATTGCAGGACGGCACAGCATTTTGTCTGAGCTGAGCCCTGCTCATGGTAAGCATTTGCTTTTACACATGGTATGTGTTTGCGCAGCATGTTATCTCGAACCTGTTCAAAGCATAATCAGGTGTGTCTTCCTGCTCAAAAATTGTAATGTACTCGCATACAGGAGTTTAAAAAAACTTTTGCTAAATCCCCAATAGTTTCTATGAGCAAGTTTTATGTGAGCCTTACAAGACGATTCTTACAGCTGAAAAATGCCACAGGGTCATGGCACGGATTACACATTAAAAATGCGGTTATCTATCTTCTCATGTTCAACATGCGCAAAGCACGCTTTTCTGCCCGCTGACCTGGTTCACGGTGGAAATTAGTGCGTCAACCCGTACAGAAATCTAAACCAGACACTACCACGAGTGATAATAGTTTGCAAAAGAAAGCGCTTCTGGCCCTGACACGGGACGAGTAAGCAAGCATCAATCACAAGGCAAGAGGGAACCTAAAACTGCATCGTACATTGATCGATAAATGACAATTACGGTACGATAAATCTACGAAATTAACTTTATTGCTACATCACGCATCTGTAAATCTCACCGCTTACCTAACCTGGCTTGACTGCTCAATATGTTTAAATATTTGATGAACAGCGCGACACATCATTTCCATAATTTTCAGTTGATCAGCGTTAATTTTATGGTAAAAGCTAATATCGCGATACGCGCTGAATGACCTTAGAAACTGATGTGCCGTAAGACTTTGGCAGTCACCTGCAAGACAAATTTCGATATATGTGACTCGGTCACCCACCTCTTCCACAAATTGGGTCATAAAACGGATAATTTTTATGAATTGACTAAGGTCTTCCATACGAATCTGATCCTTTAAGAGCAAACTCATCATTAAATACTGACCAACGCAAACCAAATCTTTCATCGCTTGGCAGTACTCCGGTGATAAAATCGTTGCACGATCTAACAGTCCGATGTTTTTGTTTGCTGACAAGTCTTCTAACACCAAACATCTTTTTTCTACCATTTTACTTCTCATCTTCTCGTATTCTGGGATGGCAGCCAGATCGCTATCAAGAACGTTCAACGAAATTGTCATCGCTGATAAGGCTTTCTCCTCATTTTCTACAAAACTACCGTAACTCATATTTTCCTCCGTATTTAGCATATTCCGAAGCAATGTGCAAACTTTAGTACTGAAAACACACTTTTCATTACTTAGCACGCAATCACATTCCATATTCAATATCCTTTGGTCATAGGCATCTAATAAATCTTCTAGATTCTGAGTCTGCGTCTTTGGATCACCAGGTGATTCCACAGTTGTGTACCTATCCCCTGGCATTGACTGAACAGCCAAGAGCGAATCGACATCAGGTTTTGTAAGGCTTTGCTGCCTGGAAAACAGCATTGGTTCCAAGCACTCAATCGTTTCCTGGCCACTCGTCAATACATCCTTTTCCGAAGCACATGTCACAGTTTTCTCCTCTTGCGCATGCGGGAATCGTCGTTGTTCTACCCCATCGTTGATTTCGTCACATCCACTCGTCATGTTATTCCATCGGAACAACGATTTTACTGGAATGGGTTTGATCCGTTGTTCAACACTCCTTGAGACTGCTCGTAATTTCTGTTTGAGAGGATGCTTTTCTATAGAAGGCAAAAGGGACGTACGCGCCCTGTTCATAACTCTCGATTGAGCAAATAAATTAGTACTCGATTCACGAGATATCGGTAACTTCACGAACTGCTGTCTTTTTTTGAGGGTGTTTTGCTCTGTGTCACGTGCCTCTACAATCATTCTCGCATTCAAACTTTCATAACTTGTGCCAGCACCAGTTTCGTGCCCATCCAATTTCGTGTATAATCCGGTCATCGGCAGCTTGCCATGATCGTACAAGAGCTGTATTAGCTTCTTTTCGCATACCTCTTCGTCAACCGAGCTATGTTCAGTTGCTTCGTCTGATGTTAACTCATTGTCCGCTGTGCACCACGATTCAGTGCTTGATGTACTATTGCTTGCCATAAATTGGCATTCAAATCGCTCCTTGATCACTTGCACTGGATCATCAACCACATGTTCCTTGTTTATGAACTTCTCGCCAAGTTCTTCAAATGTACCAGCACCACCTATTTCATTAGTTTCTTGTTGATGCTCAAGCACATCCTGCGACTTTGCTAGGTTCAAATCCATCGAATCACAGCTTTTTTTCGTTTCCGTGAAGTCTGTACGAGGACGTGTAGTACTAAATGCATCCTCTAACGCTGAATGGTTCAGTTTTAAGCATGGTTGCAATTTGTTTAGCGGAGAACCGCGATGAATCATCTTGTCTTGGCATTCAGCGTTCGCTATCTGGTTGAGATTACCGCTGCGTTCAATTTCTTGCCTCTTGTCCAACTCCTGTTTTCTTACCAAGGTTTCACTGGTGTCTGTCCCTGGCATAATTGGTAAAAACATCTGTGGACGAGCAAAATTTAGTGCTTGAACATAGCCACATGCAGCAGCGACCAAGTTTTCATAGGCAGAATTTATGTAAGGGAAGCACAAATTACCCAAAGGAACATGTTGCATTGCTGTTCTGTACGGTAACTCGACTACTATTCCATCACGGGTACGTATTCTAGTGGTCATCTCTACTGTCTCAAAGTCATCAGACAAGAGGGCAGCATTGGCCTCGTTGGGGTGCTGGTGATACGGAGCCGCACATAGAGAATGCATCATGTTGATGAACAAAGGAAACATGGCCATTTTGAGTGGTTAGTTTAAATAATTTAGTAATTTTCCTTTTACCGCAGTAATAATTAAATTTTTGAGGAAAAAGGCATGGCAACACGTCAGCGGGAATATTTTGCTTTATCAACAGATTACATCAAGAAAAATTTGTGGTAGCGCTGTGTTTTAATGAAAATATCCGGTGACTTTGCATTTAGTACAAGTAGCTTACTTGCAGCAATTCGATATTGTTATGAATTATTTACCACCATACAAGGAAGAACCTTTGTACTGTGTACTGGTAGAGGTGCAACACTATGAATGAGGCGTAAATCACCCACAACTAGATTAACGCGTTAAATAGGTGCGATATAGCCTTTTTCAGTTAGAGAGCACTTCTCTGAGCTGTTATACGGCTGCCTTGCTGTTAGAATTTTCTGTGCAATAGTTCGAAAAAGCGTGTTATCAAAATCGGCTCTTTTGCCAAACGAATCAAAAAGGTAAATTATGACGCAATTGAGAACATTCGGGTACATGGGAAGAACAGCAGATGCTTGAACATGTATCAGAAGATCCGCTCCAAATACTGCGTAAGCTGCAGTTAGAGCTCAATCAGCCATTTTAAGTAAATCAATATTATTTATTTTTGAATAAGTAGTGCATGACGTGACCAAACGTGCGAAGCAATGCCGGCTGCAATGACCATCACTTTGTGTCTTTTTTAGGTGGCTTTGTCTCTACATAGGTAAATTTTAATTTTGTGACGCATTCGTGCACAAAAAGGGCAAATTTGTCTTTCCGCTCAACAATTGTCCCGGTTTCTTGGTACGGGCAGCTGAGAGTTATTCCGATGGTAAATTTCATTTTTTCCTTGGATATTATCTCAAAATTGTTGATGCTGAACTCCTCATGGTATTTCGTAGGGTTATCGAGCAGAAACGTGGTTATCATTTCTTTGAGTTTGTCAAGCTTGCTGTAGTCATCGTACGTGAAGCAGTAGGGGAATGTTGCCGTAACGTGCGTGGACTTCCGCAAATTTTTTATGCTATGGTTTCTGAGCAGCTCATTTGGGAAGGTTTCATACCGGCTGTCGGACAGCAGCGTGCTGTAGAGCAGGCCGAGGTCCGCGACAAGGTACGTCTTGCCATCTATCTCAATGATATCGCCTATATCAAACGGCCTTATAAAGAACACAAAGATCAACGACTGGAAGGTGTCGCTCACCAACTTAGAAAACGCGAAGGAGAGCGAAAGTATGAGAGCGCCAAGCGATTTCAAAAAATTTCTGAACTCAGATTGCGCACCAAGAATGATGAACACCAAGAAGAACAGTCCCGGAAAGATAACGACCGACAATATACAGTCAAATTTGTAGATATTGTAGGTGTTTTGGACAAGTGCAGCATCAAGCTGCTTTTTTTCTTTGAGCAGCGAGTTGTACCGCTTGGTAAATTCTTCTCTGGTAACCTCGTTGTTTTCGTCAATGTCAAACAGTTCAAAAATTTTTGTGCCGTCGTTTGCACCGAAGAACTTTCTGAAATCACCGAGTGTGAGCACCTCCTTGTCCATGCGCATCGAATCGAAAATCACGTTGCTCCATTCTGTTTCATCTCCGTTCGGCTCTGTGCCTGTGATGTTGTTGATGTTCTGCAGGTACTGAACAATCATCTTGTTCTTCGCGATCCGATTCTTGTAGTACTGGAAGTGTATCCGGTGGTTGATGTACTGCAGAAAGGCTCTCTTTGCAAGCAACGTGGTGCACAGCAGCAGCATTGCAAAGATTATGTTTTCGTACTTTCTCTCGATATAATCCTGAAACTTGATTTTGTTGATTTTTTCCTCTTTCACTTCCGGCTCGCTGTCGGAGACCTGCGAGGGATCCTTAGGAACGATGACTGGCTGACTGTCTGGTGCTGTTATAACCGGCATAGGCGAAAAGATGTTCTTTATCGATACTACCAGCACGAGCATCACCAAGTAAAAGCCAAGACACAGCGTGATACGCAGCAGCATCATGTTCTGATCGAGAAGATACGCTAGAAAGCTTGGCTCCTTACCCGTTGGATCAATTACCCGTGCCAACATGAGCAGCATCGCGTTAACCATAGAGAAAAAGAACACTACGACACACACGTGCCAGCAAACGTGGTATAAATCGGTGTTTTTTCCGAACACGTCCTTGTTCATGTACACTCCTACGGCAAAAACGAATGATGCTACCGTCAGGATCGTTGAAAGTACGATCCAAACCAAATTCACAGGCTTCCTGCTCAAAATCCTGCCAGTTTTTTGCTCTGAATCTTCGCTGAGTATTTCATTTATATTCTTGACCCTCTGCTCCTTCAAGTTCATCGAATGGGTGGCATTGCCAACACGGCTTTACTTGCAGAAAGGAGTCATCGGGATTTGTGCACCAGATGATTGGTTGCAGCATTCGTTGAATAGAAAATGTTGAAAGAAGGACAAAGTTCAAAAGTTGTACGGTTGAGGAAGATGTGCTATTTATTTTTATATGATTAATTCAAATGGGTATACCTGACCGGTTCACAGCTTTTCCAGAAAATATGCCGTATATTGAACTGAAGCTTTATTTCGGTACGTGATAACATGCAACGAAGTGCTACACCATTACCGGGATCTGTACCGGTAGGAACATGCAGAATAATTTTTGGCAACGAAGTTAAGGCTGCAATCTTTGCGATAGGAAGAAGAACGTGATACGATCAAATTCATTTTTTACCAAAGTTGTTTTGTCTTCTACAACGGCGCGCGATGAAAGGATAATAGGTGTGCTACAGCACGTATTCATCATGTGATAGATGTGATGATCAGCATGCACTCCGTTTTACGGTACTATTGTCCACAAAATGTTCGAAACTGTCGGTAAGAGCTTTTAGCACTAGAATTGGCAATTTCTTTGATATTCTTACCAAATGAACACGCCGTTCCTGACCAAACGCAACAACTTCCCTAAAAAGATCTCATTCAACATTCTACACCACTATAAACAGTTTTGTTCATTCTCAACGGTACCTGATCAAATGTAAAAATTTAGCACATCATCTCCACTGTATCGGCATATAATGCTGCTCTTCATCTTTAGATGGATGGCATGGCAATAAAATACCAACGATTTTACACCATTTCGATTGCGCAGCGCATTAATAACAGATACTAAATTTTAGAGAAGCACGGGCAAACCACGAATATTGTTGGAGTGTGTGATGATAGTTAAAATTCAGTTTTCGTTTCCTTTTGCTCGAGCGCAGGTAACATCATCATTAGTTATCTGCATGTTGAACACTCCGTCATTTATGTGACCAATTCTGGTAATTGTTCTCTCACCATTCCTTCTAATCACATGGTATCTCTCATTAATGAAGTACTCCATGCTCATTCTGATGTTGTAATTGTAGCTGAACACTTTTCTGTACAGAGTAACAAATACAACATGCAATCCGTTGCTATGCCTTATTCTATGCAGCTTGTTCATTATATGGAATATCGAGCTCATCTCAATGCAATCATCGAGTAAAACAAAATCTATTTCGTACAACACGATCAGTGCGATACCATGTTGTTTGACCATGCTGTCCAACTTGTGCAGAATGAATGCCTCCATCTTCTCAATTTGACTTATTATTATGATAAAGGTATTGTTCAAGTGGTTGTCAATTTCTAAGATGCTGTTTCCGTATTTTTTTGTGAGTAGGTCAGCGTATCGGTTGATGGGAAACGGTTTTACCGAAATGAACAGCGTTCTTTTGCACAGCGACTCTTTCAGTACAAGGTTGGTGCGGCCACTACCTTTTTTTCCAGCAATTTCTACTATACCGTTGTATTCCAACATACCGTGGGGATGTGCAAGGATTGCCTGTTTGGCCAACAATAAATATTTTGAACAGCGGGCAGGGCGTAAAGCGGTTGGTAACAAAAATGTGTTGTTCAGGTGTTGTTGTAGAGAAGGCAAACGAACATACTATCGAAAAAGTGGTTGGCCTGTTAAACAGTAGAACGGCCGTATATTAATCGTGTGGTTGGTAGCAAAACGGTTTGAAAAGTTTTGTCACAAATTTTTTGTGTACTCAAGCCGATTGTTCATCGTATCTGTTCTTGTACCTGTTGTACACCACAAAGCATTCCTACTCATGTGTTTCCGTGTTAAAACACAGTATGAATGATCAAAATTAACATTTCCAGTGTTTCTGTTCCTCTCTGCTGCACAATAATAACTAAATCGTTGCAAATGATATAAAGAATGAAAAGACCATTATTTTCACTGTAGTTTGTTCATTTATCTCTTCGTACAGCAATGAGATTCAATCAAACATACTTTCTGGTCTGCTGGGACTGAGCGTGGCGATGGCCTATAATTCATGGTACGAATTACAGTTAAGCGGAATCAAACATATTCATTTATCAAGATGGGATTAATAATTGTACACTACGGTGTCACAACGGACTTGAAAGACATTTGAATTGTTCTATTTGGAATGGTATTTAACATCATGTTACGTAGCATAGTAAGAATAGCATCATTTTCTACATCTCACTCAACACAGATCACTCGATGGTTTGAGAATTCTACCGCATTTTTTTGTCTTAACACCTCCACTACTGCATCCTGACCGTCTTCTCGATAGAAAACGAAGGAATTGGTGCATGGCGTTTTTACGAACAGGTTGTTGCAATCCAATTTGGAAACCAGCAGTTCCATCGATTTATGAACATATTAGCACAAAAGACACGAATTATGAGTCTGTGTGATGCAAAACATTCTCTTTTCGCTGTAAATAAACGTATATTACGTATTGAAACATAGCAGATAAAGGTTTTTGGTCTATCTGTGGCTGGCGGACAAATGAGACTCAGCAGCGCTGAGCCATTCTTGGTTTTGCAAAGCATTCGTGCGTATCATTCGGCAGTATGACGTAACTGCCTGTTCTTATGAATATTCAATGCATCAACATATACCAGAACTATTGGGGTCACAGGTCCTTAACGTTAGATGTAGAACTTCCAGCATATTTATTTGATCCCTCTGGACAGATCGTAGCCTGTAATTCATGAACAAGCGTTTTATTAGCATTCTCATATAAATCGCACTTTATCAGTACGAAATAAAAAACACCCAGAGACAACAAATGGCAGAGATCCTCAAAACCGATATTTTCCCGAAAATCAACGAGGTTAAAGAAGAAAAGCGCAACATTCTCATAGGATTTAAGGAGTGTCCCTATTGTGTTCGTGCAGAGGAGATTTTGGAACTGAGAAAAATTGAGTACGTGTACGTTTATAGGGACAAAGAAAAGGAGCTTGAAGACGAGATAAAAAAATGCTATGGTCATGAAACGTACCCGATGATTTTTATCGATGGTGAGTTTGTGGGCGGATGTGCTGAATTGAAAGATAGGTACAATTGTTAGGAGTACCGCTTAATAAATAAGATTAGTTGTGAAAAATGGATTGAACGATGAAGAAAATACTGCGCTGCTCAATGCTGGCAGTTTTAGTGTAAGAACTTTTATATTGCGCTAGTGCATATGCAGAGTATTTGTTGTGCCGCACCATTTCAGTAGTATCTCTTCACTATTATATTCTCAGCAGTTTCTTATTTTGTGGTGGAGTGGCTTTATCTGCGTTTTTGGGAGTATGTTGGCTGCGAATAAGACGAAAGTTCGACAGTAAAGCTAAAACCTGTCTTTCAGAGGCAGAGATTCAGAGCTGTGATCTTTTCTTATCAAAAAACGGTAAAAAATGTTCAGAAAGTTTTCAGATTATTGATCAAAGGGGTGTGCAGCAGGAAATGTGCAGTGGTAATTTGAGATGGCTGCCAAAGAGCGGTTACGTTTCTAGAGGGCTCAGATTACTCTTCATCGTAGGAATATATGTAACATGGTTCTCTGATGGTACCCGGCCGCTAAGACACCTCGTGTTGAGGATAGAAATACATCACAAGGAACCAAGTTCCCTCACGACGCTATGCAAGGGAATATCTGGACTGATAGGTTCTAAAAAGGTAAATTTTATCGAAATTAATCAAAAATAACATTCTTGCCGTTTCTGTGACCAATCACTCGGTTTATACCAAATTTACAAGGGTTTTTGCAAGAACAGTGCTAGAATGGTTATTTTTGAGAGAATTACTCAATCAACATAAGCTCTTGAGTTGCTCGGTCAAATTCTAAGCGTTAAACTACCTTATTGTTACGATCAAGCGTCATCTTTGACACATACCCCTTTCCTGAAAACTCTTTCGATCTTATCGATTAGGGGCACGCGCAATACAACCTTGTTGCCTGATGTGGAATTGGTGCTTTTCTCAGGATTTGACCATATTATTAGCCACTTTATCATGTAATCAATGAGCAATCGGCTGCACATATCGAATGCCCACCAATGGCACCAAGTTCGAATTTAATTATTTGTTTTAAATACCGAAAAGGTTGTTTTAATTCGTCATGCATGCATTACACCAGACGAAGCGCTCTAATTTCAATGCTGAACTTTGTAGTGTTTTAAGGCATTAACTGTGCTGCACTTCGTGTGCATAGAGATGTTCATCATGTTTCATTACTGCAGAATGCCAGTCCATGTGCATTGCCCATTTGTAACAAGCTCATAAGTTAAAGCTAGCTGTTTTTTTTTCACTTTTCACCGTCCACAACGCCAGGACATAGCTCCTCGTTCTTTATATGAATATTTTAAATGTATTTGCTGAGCAGCATCTCCTGTCCATCATTTCGAAATATTTGATTGATTAACTCGTTATAAAGCGGATTGCACCGATTGTTTTTGTTACGTACTACAAAATTTGGGAACAAGGAGAGAGTTAATCATTTTTTGGGATATGGCAACCTAACACGTATGCATTATGCCAGATCGGCATCGTGCAGCACTTCCAGTTACAGATCATCTTTTGTTCGCTAATAGTCGTTTTTATATCTCCTGTCACATCAACAACACTAAATTGATATCCCGTGATGTAGGAATTAATGCAGTAAGTGATATCAATTCAATTTACGTATTTATGTGCACAACAGATATTTCTAGTTTTGCTGCTCGGCAATTGCGATTTTTTCCTGTACGACCCGTTTTTCGCCCAGCAACTCTCCTGTCTTCGCGTGTAACAGAATTTACAAGTTGAAGTTGGAGACAGAGTCTGTTGCCAAGGCGTTGAGATAAAGCACCGATAACAAGATGGCAGAGCTCTGTAACTCGGTATTCATGTATTCAGCAACCGTTTAAGCTCAAAAGCAGAGCTCCTTGAGATTTGAGTCTCAGATCCCAAATACAGCAAATATACTCTCTGAAAGGAAGATAATGATTGATAAACTATTTTAAACACGCTTCAGTATGGTTTTAAGGTTCATCTCCTTTATCATCACTCTTCATTTATTACAAACAGCGCGCTCATTTTTTGTAAAAAACTAAATGATGTAGAATGTCAAAAAATATTAACTGATACATTAAATGATACGTGATCATCGCGATAAACTAGCATTTTAACAATTTTTCCTAAAATAGAAACCATTTACTATTTCCGAGTTGATGGTTTTTAATCAACACGTAGCTATTCGAAAGATGTTAAACAGTACGTATACCATGGTTCTATATCCGATATTTGTTCCTTTGTTATCAAATCGTATTTCCTTCAAAAATTTTAAAATAGCACGCTCCCTGTTACAGCATTCCACACCCAAAATTTAGTATTTTACCACAATTACAATTTTAGACAAAAATTGCAGCTTTTTATTAATCTAGAATTTTATCATATATGTGGTATAGAATCAGAAAAATTTATTATTTTTGACCAGATCGCCACTTTCATACCATTTTTTAATGCCACAATGTATTAATCGTTTTCTACACCACTAACTAGGATAGGTCTCCTTTGATCACTGACAAATAACAATGCAAGGCTCGCTCCTACTCGTTTTTAGTTCATTCATGAGAACGAAAATAATTGTTAATTAATTTACTGCGATGATTTAATTGATGTTTGAGAGATTTTCTTGCAAAGCAGGATGTAATTCGTAGTTAGAATGCAAGAAACGTATTGTGTGCAAAAGTGCCAGCATATGTGCCGGAGTATCATTAAAGGTTAATTTTTCCATAAAAACTGTACATGTTCAACAACACACGGAGTTCAACAAACAAGCACTGCAACCAGGAAATACCTGTACCTGGCCGCCTAGTTGGTCCTTTTTTGATATCAAGCAAAAAGGAGTGCACAATTTTTTAGGTAGATAAAATAAAACTGGAAAAAGGGTGCATACCTTATGAACACGCTTGATACAAAGAACCCGGAGCAGATCGAAAGCCTTCTGGACGAACAAATATTCACCAAAATCGAGTTCCAAGAAAGAATTAATGATACGATATGCCGTGTCCTGTTTTATTTCTTTGCGGGCTTTTTCCTTCTCGTGCTCAGTCTGGTGCCGTACTACTCGCTTCCCTATTACATGGACCAGCGAATTATTAGGCTTATTCTGTATGTGTCGTTCTACGTGTGCTGGTGCATTGCCTCGTTCTTCATTGCCGAGTCGCTTATCAGGCTTGTGCGCTTAAAGGCGTTCAGCATATTCTACCAGAGCAAGTTCATCATCTTTCTTTTCAAAAAACAACATTTCAGGATGCGTGTAATCTTTACGTTCATAATCTTCAGCACGTTGAACTTTTTGTTCCACAGGTTCCTGGGCCTTACATCGATTGAGGAGAAGTACTCGAAGTTTAATCACCTGCTCACGAAAATAACGGTTATGGCCGGATTAACATTCCTTTGTCTGTTCATATCGGGCACAATTGTTGATTACCTCGATTTCTATTCGTATCAAATGAATTACAGGAACAGAGTGAAACACAACAGGGAAGTGTTGAAGCATATACAGAAGATAAATAGGGCGTTGCCCAGGGAAATCACTAACTTGGGGAAATACGCGGCACAGCTCTTCGACACCATCATGCATATGAGCCGCTCGTACAATTTTGATAGTGGTGCAGAGAACAACACCTATAGTGAAGTGGGAAAAGGAGAGGAAGAGGCGAATGCAGAGAATGCAAGCGTGAAGTCGACTAGTCCTAAGGCAGGAAAGCCCGAAAAAGAGGCGGAAGCAGAAGAGGAAAACACCGAATCAGAAGAGAAAGTTAAGAAACCCGGAAACGAAAAGATTGAAAGACGAGAGGCCAAAAAGAAGAAAAACAACAGAAACTACCTGGTAAGAGAAGACTTTGATCGCTTGTTTTCAGAACCAGAGATTTTCTCGCTTTTCGACTTCGATCGGAACAACCTGGTGACACGCCACGAATTTATCAAGCGCTACATCGCGCTTTTTGAAGAACGAGAACGCCTCAAACGGGCCCTTGAACAGAACAGCAACAACATGGTGAAGATCAATATTTTGATCTCGTCCTTGTTCGTTCCATTCATCGTTTTCATACTGCTCGTATTTACCGGTCATCTCCCATCGTTCCAAAACTCTTTCACCATGGCAGGCCTGGTCATATTTCCGTTCACATTCGCGTTCAAGTCCCTGGTAGAAGAAATTTTCACGTCCGTGATATTCGTGTTCTTCATTAAGCCGTTCGATTACGGCGACATCTTTTTTGTCGAAGGCAAGAGATACGAGGTCCTGAACATCGGTATACTCTACACCGACTTTCTTCTTGATGACAAGTTCATTACGCTGAAAAACAGCTTTTTCAATGCATCGCAGATTTTCAACCTGAGAAAGTCGGACTTTATCTCCACAATATACACGTTCAAGTTTGATTACAAATCGTTTAAAGAGAATGAGCGGAAGTTTACCGAGAAGCTGGATGATTACTTCAACGATACACCGTCTAATTCGTACAAATTAGGCAACTACAGTGTTGACAGGAACGTGATTACGATTACATTGGAGGTGAAGAATGTCATACCGTACCAAGAGATTGATACGCTGGAAGAACGAAATGATGAATTTGTGCTCTTTGTAAATAACCTGATCGAGGAGATAAATATTACGCAAATGTAAAATAGTGAGTGGGACAAGGAAATGTGTACGGTGGAAAGGACAATTTTAGTAAACGATCAATAATCACTTTTGAAAAGATACTTAATGTTTCTCGCCATCATTTACACTTTCGTATGCCATAGCGCAAACAGATACCTTCCTGATCTGTTAGAACAGGTTAATCTCACAAGTCTGTGATTGCCAGGTCAACATACGGTTGATTTATTACAGATTTTCACCATATGCGGCCCATAGTGCTACGAGAATCAACAAACCTCTCCAAACCCACATATCGTTCACCCCGGGTAACAGCCCATAGCACCGGATATTTAACATTCCGAGGTTCGGGTGGTAGGCATTCTCGATAGGGAGAAAGCAGAAACCGATCGTATTCTTTGTATCGATTACTCTCAGACAAACTATACAACGATTCACCGCATAGACATTAGCAGTATCTCATACTGCACCATGCTATTCTCTCTTGACCGAAAAGTGTTGCTTTCCTGCGTATTTATCATCAGTAGCGCATTATGTACCTTTCATAAATTTAATGTTGTGCAGTCTTCAGATGGGTTTGGACAAGATCTGCCCAGAACCTGTTTTCACACAATGACCGCCATAAATTGGCAGCAAATAAAGGGTATGGCATTCATACGGCGAAATCACTGCAAATACATCGAACCTTTTGGTACATACAGTTAATCCTTGCGATGTATTTCCGCATCTGCTACGATACATCAGAATGCAAACTGAGAAATACCTTTAAAAAACTAAAGCATGTTTCAGTAAATATGCGGTATAAGACATGCATCAGTTTCATGGTGTGTTAAGATAGGTGATAGTTTAGCAGAGATGCTTTAACAGTATAGAGGATGAAGATGAACACCTTCTGTTACAGGAAACGATTCTGATCTTATTTAAAAATATTAGGTTATATGCAACTTATATCGATTCACTTCCACGAACCAGGGCGTAAAGGATCCCTCTGTAATGATGACACGGTCACAGTAATCAACAAGAACGAGATTTTGATTTATTTTACGTTCAGATCGGGCCAACACGTTGATTCGCTTAGAACTTGTATTAGAAGAAATGTGTTTTAAGCATTGGTAGATCTGAGTCGGTGCGGGCAAAATACTTGAGGTAACAGGAACAATTGCTCACGCTTGGCATAGGTTCAGCCTTTATCGATGGTAACTGCGTTTGAAGCTGTTTGAATCGGTGGAAAACGACGAACGATGCGTATAAATGGGTGCTCTAATTCAAGCGGATTCTCCCATTGATCATCGTTGATGTCAACCACCAACAATGGTGGACTGCATCGACGAATGATTGCTGTGGCATTTTTGTTGAAAAAAGCTACCGCTTCCCTGGTGCTTGCGCGCCATTTTATTGGAAAGTGTCATCGGTTGTAGATTCGTGTAGGCCGCCACTATGACAGCGCGTTAAATAAAAGTAATGGTGCCATCTTCTGTTATTGCTAACATACCGTGAGAACAGTTCTCAACCTCTTCGTTGCAATAATCATTTTTTGTTGTTCACCCACAACTCAACAAAAGTGCCGCGGAAACGACCCCTCAGCTAAAACGGTTCGTTTCAAAATTAATAAATAAAAAAAATAAAAAAATAACCCCTATGTCAATGTTTTTTGAAATGTCGCGAGTGTACCGCGACATTGTTGAGGAGGTGGGCCGAATGTTAGAAAACGAAAGCGATGTTGATCTCAAGAAGATACACGATTTGAAAGTAGCTTGGTTGAACAATCTTACTGAACGCATAGAGAGCCACGGGGACATCGTTCAGGAGCCTGTTGTGGAGAGTGCGAGCTGTTCGGATAGTGAAGACGAAATAAAGGGAAAGAACACACAAAATTTCATGATGTGCCTCTATGACAAGGTGACGAAGAGCAAGTACAAGTGGCGGGTAAATTTTAAGCAGGGGTTTCTGAACATAGGTAATTCGGACTATGCGTTTTCCTTGGGCCAGGGCGATCTGGACTGGTAGTAGTGTAGGGTTGTTATTTATACATTGTAAGACAAAAATAAAGAGATCTTTTACACATTATCATACAGCACTTCGTCTTTTGGTATGCCTACCACGGTTTTGGTGCAGAATGCAACTTTTTGTCCGAGAAAAAAGACGAACAAACTTTAGCTCTTCATGTTCTTGCACCAATGCAAGAATCTTTTTTTTCCAATGTTGGTCTAGTGGTATTTTCTCAACTTTGCTCTTTTATCGCGCTACCAAAAATGATGTGTCGGATCCCAAATCAATTTTGTTAATGACCAAAACATTGAAAACTAATATATTTTTAAATAAATCTCTTTACAGCAAAAAATAAAACCAAGATTGAAGCGTCTCTTTAGCCTCACCTCTATTCTGTAACGTAAAGCCAGTAGTGCTAACTTACCAAGGGATCTCATCCCCAGCAAAGCATTCTTTGTCAAGACTCAAATATACCCAGCACAACCAATTTATTTACCATGTACCCAAAAAAGATACTCGTGCCCGTCCGATCACTTCAAAATAAGGAAAAGCGAGATCAGAAATCCAAACAGTGTTACCAGCTCTACAGCACTTAGCGTACATATAAAGATTATGTAGAAACCTTCTCTCTTCTCAAGCGTCAAATAGCACTTCTTGCATACCTCTCCAAATGCTATTCCGCTAAAATATGCGCTGCTCCCGAACATCACACCGGCACCAAAGTGGCACATGCTTTCGTTGACCGTCATTGTTAAGGAAATTTTGTTGATTATTAACGTGCACAGTATAAGTGCATACACGAATATGGTCGAGCCCATGATCACTGCAATGTACGAATTTGTAATGACCGACTTTTTGTTGGCCAGCGGTATAGCATGTACCGATGACTGTGTGATTGCCGAGCAGGATGCATATGAAGACAGAGCCATCAATACGACAGCACCCAATGATGTTATCAAGTATTTGTGTTCATCGAGGTCGAGTGGCATGGGAAAGAATTTGTGAGGGTGGCGGATATTACGAGAATAAACATTTTTAACCTGCACAGCAGCGAGACACCAAATTAAATATTTTTAATGGAACCGGAAGATGTGTTTTGCAATACAAGCGCGTGTATTCTGAGCTGGTAAATGGTTTTAGGGTCAAATTCTCGGTTTTTGGTCAACTTTTGCGGACTGATTGCAAACATTTCCGGCGTTCACAAGATTTTGGTAGAGTAGCATGTGATGGTCAAGGGTATAGTAACTATGGATTAAGAAATTTGCCATTAAAAGAAATCTGATGAAGGACTCAGCAAAATGACTTTTAACAAAAAAGTGAAGATTTCATGAACAGTTCTCATAAGGATTAATACACGGCCATTTCCCAGCATATCTCTCATACATCAAATTGGCGCATGATTATACGTCATCTATCAAAATTTACCTGTAAATATATTTACTGTTCACTTGCTCGTAGCGAAACAGCGTTTTCAACCGATACCGTTTCCTCAAATATGGGCGAGATAGGTGCATTCGTTGTAACATTTAAAACGAATGAGTTGCCATTATTATCGGTTCATTTCTTGTTCTCTTCCATACGGAAGAAGTAGGATCCTGAAACAGCAGATATGTTCCATCAATCTGGTATGAAACATATATTTGATATAAATTGTTTAAATAAGAACGAAAAGAAACATCTTATGTTGATATTACCACCTGTAAACACTAAAGAACGCGCTAAAATAGATCTTACGGATCTTAAAATCATTTTTTACCGTTGCAGGACTCTCGGTCTATTGAAAAACCCGCGGATCAAAAAGTATTTTACGATACTCAAGAATCACGCAGGATCAGAAAAATTCCTGATGGGACTGATGCACCTATACAAATTTATAGAGTTGAGGAAACATGAGATGAAGAAAATTGAATGCTGCTTATTTTTGAGTTATATTTCAACGCATTATGGAAAAAATATTGAAATGAGAGAATGAGAAGTGGTCACTCGGTTATTTGAGCATTTGTACCAATAACATATTTCTGAACACCTGGCATGATCAAAACGCATCATTGTAAAAACTTTTCTCTCTTTGGTAATGCTCTATAACCTAGAATTCACTTTTTGATGTATAAATCGTGTAACCGATATGGTACGTGTAAAATACCAATCAAACAATTGCAACACATTTTTTAGTTCTACATCACGTGTTGTTAAAATATATTCACCATGATTTTACCGTATTTCTTTGAATACTCCTATTTTTGCCAAACACTTAAAATTGTATAGAAAAGAACTTATTCAGATTTTTTTGAATTGATTGCATCTTTTGCTGCAATACGCGATAGAATTTGAGTTTAGGAAATTTGGTTAAATGTCCAATTTTGGTAATTAAACAATTACATACTCGCTGATTAGTAGTAATCAACGCTGTGTATAAGCGGACTATGACTCGGCTGGCATGTTCTTGCATGTAAATTCAGAACTATTTAGTAAGATATAGCTGTGAGGAGAAGAATCTGCTAGGTGAATCAGTACAGGAATAAATCTTTGATAAACTCGTTACCAATGTGTTCGTTAATTCTGAAAGTACAGTTTTTATAGTTCTAGTGTTGACGAAACGAGTAGTTAATTACGGCCATCATCGTGACCTAACACCATAACATAACTTTTAGCATGACCTTCAAGCAAAATGGGGTTCTTTTTGGTAAATGACAAACAGCTAGCATAGTTGCACTGATAACAAAACAGGCATCGGTTCCAAACTATCTTTATAAATGTACGGCTACCGCCATACCGCTTTAAGATCTTGATCTGTGCTTTCGAACAGCCATTTTCGTTAACCAACGGATCGGTTCGAATACCAAAAATTGCTTATGAAAGCGAATAATCTTCTCTTTAATCAAATTCAATTACCCAAGCTACTGCTTTTGGTCTCTATACCCAAACACATTAGTTGTTGATTCAAACAAGTAAACTGTTGTGCTATAAACCGAACATGAGTTACAATATCAACACAACATGGTAGAACTTCTGTAAGAGGCTGATACAACTGGAGTAAAATGCTCCTGTAGGCCTCCAAGTCACAAATTGTCGAGTTTTTACTGCAATCCATAATTTCTTTCGAACGTTGGCAAATTTCAACCGTCTCTTCCACCAACGCCTCAGTAAATTTGTTCAACTCAGCATCAGATTTGAAAACACCTGAAACATTAATATGATCTTGTTCGTGTTTTATAAGGCCTGCCAAGTCTTTAACCAAGCTATGTAGGTTTATTCTTGATGAATTTATAGTGTTTTCGCTATTGACACATGTTTTGGGTTGTGAACCCGAAACATTTTTAATTAAATATTGTATGTGATTAGCGTAATGCTCATTGATGTGGGAAAACAGCGACTCAAGTTTTTGATTCATCGCGATCAATTCTTCAATACTTTTGAGTATTTTGGTTAGCAGTCTATCTATATGCCCCCATTTATACTTTTCATTATTAGGTGATTGTGCAGTGTTTACTTTAGCGCATAGGTTAAGTGTTTGTATCACTTTTTCTATTTCTTTTAGTAGTTGCGATTGGCTATATCTCCAACTAGTGAATTTCGGTACAAGGTACAGCTTCCCAAAGAAAAAAATGCACTTAGGCTTCCAGGATGTAACCATATCAAATATTTTATTCAGCGTCTGCTGTGTTGGAAGCGGAATCGTTTCACGATATTCGTTGATCAATAGTTGTTGACCCGCCATTATTGGATCAGTATTTGGTGGATTCATTTCTACGTAATTGTTTTCATCGTTCTCACAATATAGACTAAGATCGTTTTTTTTGGCACTTGAAGCCTCTAGACGTGAATTTTCGCGGATGAACGAGCTTGGTTTAACGTCAAAACAGAAAATAGAACGGAAAACATCATTTTCTTGAGGATTTGAGGAGTTAGCATAGAAGGTTTCGGCGGGTGCGCTGGTCTGATTTTCCATGGGTAGTTGTGAAGCCGATCTGCCATTCGCATCCGAAGTGCATGGAATATCAGGTAAAACTCGATTACATCTTGGTGGTTCATACCCAAAATGATTATCAGGAATTGCGCATTTAGTTGGACTTGGTGCAGAATCAATACCATATCCTGGGTTTTGAACGCTTGTGATTGTTTGCGGTGACAAATCTTCTGCGGTCTGAGACGAAGTTTCTTCTGTTAGCGTAGCAGGGTCAGAAGATGTTGAACTCCGAGAATGTACACTAGATTGGCTTGTTTGTGATGAATAAGAGATTTTTCTTCTTCGAATACTATTTGTTCTCTTCTGAAAAAAACATAAAAAAGGTGACGGCTTCTTATTTTCTGTGTTATCCGTAGGTGTGCTCGGCTTTCTCCCATCAGGTTCGTCGCTTTCCGTTGGATTGGCAACATTGGTATCTCTGGATATGCAATAATTTGTTACCGCACTAACTTCCGGGATTTCGTGCTGTCCCATTGACAAAACGCTTGCAAAAAATAAATGCAGAATGTAAAGAATTTTCATATCTATGGTATGTGATTCTCTTATATATTTTTGGTATAGTCAAAAATGGAATGAAATTGAAAAATTAGAACTAAAACTAATGAAGTCATTTCGCTGTTTGCGGAAAGAATCATGTCGATATGGGCGAAACAACACGACCTGAATACATGGGTGATATGCCCTATGAAACGTTGTATTATGTAATTTACTTTATAAGATATCATTCTGTGTATATGGTCATTACCACTAAAAAATTTGCGCAACGTGTTCTCTGAAGATGCGATACATGATATTTTCGATTTTCTGTACTGTTTGAGCGGATGAAATCACGTTTTAGCTGCGAATTGTAAAAAAATTTGCCAGATACAGCTCTTCCACCACTCGAATAAAATGATGGTATTTTATAGTAAATGACGAATTTGGCAACAGATTACCATTCATGTGTTGGAGTATCTTTGTGTCCATTATAGAGACTTCCTTTATATGACTTATTAGTTTTTTTGACATGATATGAAAGAACTATTCAATTTTGCTTTTGTTCCGGATAAAACTGCACATATACGCCACGTATGCTTTCCTAGTACTATTTTATCTGTGAATTGTGAAGTACAGCTGAAGTAATGGATGAGTTTAGTTTACTTTAATAAATTAAATTTAATAGTGTCAGTGTACGTGGACCAGAGAAATTGAATATGTGATGTGTTATATGCTGGTATGGCCGTTCAGCTGAAAAAATGCAATTAGAACAGAATTAAAAATTGTGTTCCATTTAATTAACACCAAGCAACACAAAGGATAGAAAATAAAGGAGTCATATGGAACGGTATTGAGAACTATTATGGTAAACTTATGCGAAGAACGGTCCAGATGTAAGAACTGATAATTTGGAATCATTCATGGATAGCGTGTTATACGCGTCTTAAAGTTATTGCTGAGCATTTTAATATAAAAAGTAAATGAAGCAACGGGTAAACATGATTTTACCTTCATTACAAATATTTTGTGAAGAAGCACCTTTTTAATCGCATGCGCTGAAAAGACACGCCATGCACATCATTTTTGTTTCCGCGATAATCGCATAGCAACGTACATACCACTTCGCTAGAGGTGTTCAGTGACAGGAGCATTACGGTGTACGGTGCATTCTTTCAGCACAAGTGTTTAATTCTAAAGTGGTGTTTTCAAGAAGCTAAAATGTTTTAACTTCCTTCTTGATGTAAAAACTCAGTAAAGTTCAAAAAGCACTACCAGAAGAAGCGGTAGACAGCAAATATAGAAGTTTATAAAATTTACATATGAAGCTTTCAAGTCAAGCTGTCAAATATCTGCTCTTGCAAACTAAGCAAACATAATAAGCAGTGAAAAATGAGATTATAATACATGGTGGAGCTATGTTTTAAAAAAGGAAAAATACGGTTGACTCAGTGCTGTGCTTTTCTCCTTACCTAACAATTAGATGAAAAATGCTTTGTTATTTTTGCAAAAAACTTACGGTTGAGCAATAAGAAAATAAACATAATATTTATGATACTGTATGAGTGATATTTCATCCTTCATGCAACTCTTTGTTCAGATATGCTTGTAAATTACCTTCCAAATCAAACATAAATTATTTCTACATCAAATTATCAGAAAATTTTTTCCTTGTCTGCGTTATTGAGATTTGACATACCTAAAAAATAGTTTTTTTCATTGAAAAAAAGATTAGTTTATCAAAAAATGAACATGAAGAAACGCGAGGGAAGGTAAAACTTTTAAGTTACTCCAATTACTATTTTTGTTTTTTTCTTCGTTTGTAAAATAGTACTATTTTACAAGATTGACCAGTTCGTATAAATAAAATAAATGCTGGCCGACATCATCTCAAACTTTTTATGTTTATGGTAATCCTTGTAATTTACCAGATTTTTTGATCGGAGTACTTCGTGTGTTGCAAGTTACGCGTGGACATGAAGTTCTACATTTTGAAATAAGTTAACTAAACTGCTTTTACTGCATTTTTTGAACTACACCATGTATTAAGCATCAAAAAAATGTTCAAAACAACGGCAAAACCGTTTATATTCATATGATGAAAATGTTTAATGATATCTATTGTCAACTTATAACGTTCATCAAACGGCATTTTCAGGTTTACTCGTTTCAAAAAAAATAAAAAATTTGATTGCGTATAAAAATCGTGTTTTTTAAATGTAGGAATAAATCGCTCATTCGATCGAATACCAGGTATAAACGCTGAACAATAGGCACTTTTTACTCGCATGGCACTTATATTACGTATAAACATGATCATTGTAAATACCGATCGCGCATTGCTTTTTTTATATCAAGTATGTTATCTGCTGTCTGGATTGGCCATTTCTTTGCTTGCAGCATATAAAACACAGAATATTTGTTCGAATTAAGTTACTTTATGATGTGATAATCACGAAAGTTGCTTGAAAAAATGTATAAATGAACTAAACATAGCTGATATAAAATATGAACCGGGCTGTGTTTACGGTATCTCTAACTCAATTAATCATATAGTACCTTCACTAGACTAAAAAATTCAGTATTGGTCGTATATAGTAATGATCAAATCAGGTAGTTTCTGATACAAATGTCGGCTTTGCCAATTGAAATATTTTTGCAGGAGAGGTCTCGTATTGATTACTTTATCTCAGTTATTTGGCGAATCAAAAATACATATCATGTTCATTTTTTAGTTAATGTTCAACCATGAAATATTATGGTGAATATAGAAGCAGGCCATTTATCAGCTGCTTCACTACTCGATAAGTGTTTTAACACGTTTTGTGCTTTAAAAAATTAGATATGCGTAGAAAATCGTGGTTTTCCCAAAAGTCGTTTATCTTCTTCTCATTTAGCGAAAAAATTTAGAAATATGGTCCGTTGGAACCGACTAAGACCATAAGTCTTTCGTTCATAGAGAAATTCAGTGCACTAACCTGTATAACAACCCAACACGCACCCAAGGTATGCTTCAACCACAGCTGTAATCTGCGCGACACTCCCTTCCGAGAGCAAAAAAGGTAAACTGTTCGTAATAGTTCTCTTCGTAATTTATATATCGTGAAACACGAGAACATTCATGAGCAATGGATGTTTGTGCTAGCCTTTTTTTTTATTTTACCTGGGAATTTATAAATTTTTATCAAAAACATATTTGACCGCATGTACTGCACACACTACCCAATGTCATGACCTTTTGTTAATAAAGTATTATAAAAACATAGTTAAGAAAGCGTGAACGTTCACGACAGGGAAGTGTGATCAAGTTCGCCCAACTTCAAGCCGCATCTGTGTCTGATACGATCAAAAGTTATGAACAGATCCCAAGTAGAACACGAAAAAATAGCTGATGAGCCAGACATTTAACTAGTTTCAACAAAGATTTTATCGACAAGTATCTTGGAGGTATTAGCTAGCCTTGGCTGAATCACTGCAGGATGGCTAAATGTTTGTTTGGCTGAATAAATGAAGATGATGCAGTCGGTATCAATTTTGAAAAAGCCTTTGGCAGTTCATTGGAAGGGTTCTCCAGGTCTTCATGATGTGGCCGCATAACCGATACCTATTTGAAGATGCAAAGCAAAGGCTACACGTAAAATCGTAATATCAGGTGTGCAACCATCTCAAAATCCCAAATCTATTAATTTATTGTTTTAATTTTCCTAAGACGTTGTGTAGAAAAATAAAAGATTGTGCTAGCAAAGTACCACAATTTGTATTTTCGTTTAAATCATTTTTATTAGGTTTAGATAACGCTTCTAAAAACTATTTCGTCCATTATTTTGCTAAAAAGTCCGTTTAACGCATCATTGTGCGAATATATACTCGAATACAAATCCATTAAATTCCTGAAGCTTTCACTAAATTCGGGTATTCGACGCGATAATATATTTAATGTACAGATTTTTGCATATTGCAACCTATTTGTACTCGCAATCTGGTATAATTTACTAAAATAAATGTTCATTTGCAAGATATGCATTGTCAAAATCCCTTTTCTTGGTTCACTCTCATACCACGTTTGGTAGTCATTGTAAATTTCTCTAATTATCTTTTCTAACATGTCACACTGGTCGAATTTAACTTTGGATACCGAATCTTTATATATGTTTAGCCTCAACTCTTCTGTAATCTGCGCCAAGGTGATCTCAATACTCTCATAGATACGAAACGAGTCGCTGTACAAACCATCAAGCTCGTGATTTTTTTCCACTAGCAAGTCTAGATGTGCAGAAACCTCTTCTATGGCTCCGACTAGCTCGTTGATAAGATGGTGTTGAAAGGAATTCTTGCTTGTCACAGCTTTATTTTCGGAAACTGATACTAACTTTCTGATCTTTTCTAAGGAGCCTAAGAATTTATACTTGTTAAATCTGTGCTCCCGACCCATGAGAAAATATAAAGGATAATGTTGGTTATCAAATATACTAAAGTACGGTTTGCAACTCTTTAAAAGCTCTATAAGCTGCTGTATCTTGACTTGAATAATTTTTAAATTCGTAAGGTCCTGCTTCTCACACAATTTTGGCTGTATAACCAGTATATTCCTATCAGACCGTTTTGTACTGTTTTTAAGCATATTTGCAACATAAGATTGTATTATTTCTTGATCGGTTTTTCCTAAGTCTTCGTTTGTTTTTTGTTGTTGCGCAACGTGTGTTGTACTAAAATGTTTTGAATAACAACTTTTTTGTGGTACATCATTATTGAGATACTTCCCAACATCAATGGTATCTTCGATTTGAAATTCATCATCGCTCTCAGGCGAAGAGCAAAATGAGTGCTCATAAACATTTTTTCTTCCAAGCACATATTCTTCATGGCCTGAAGCAGCATGTTGTGGAAAATATAATTTTCTTCTTAGTGAACGCTCATCCATACTGTGAGGGCGGGCTTTGCACTCGCTCTCAACCGGCTGAACAATAAATTGTTCTATTATAAATTCTGATGTACAATCCTCGAACAGATCGTCGTGACTTTTGGCTTGTCTTCCTTTAAATAGCTGCTTAAATGCCTGTAAACTTTTTAATCTTTTGTCTCCGTTTGGTAATGGGCGCGCAGACACACTATGATTCAGCATTTTTGGCAATATTGCAACGGGATTTTTCACCAATGTTGCTTTGTTCAGCGACTTACGTTCTAAAATTGTTTCACACCGATCGTAAGACGGCAAAACAGTGGTTGATAACAATTCAGGTGATGAATCATTTGGGAGGGATAGCGGCCGTTCATTTTTCCGCGCATTATGTGTTCTATGGCGGTGCTGACACGCTTCCTTTGCAATATCTGTCGATGAGTAAGACACTTTGACATCCCTGTATTTCATCGATTGTTTTTTGCTAATTGGCCCGTATGCCGCTGAAATACATAACAAGAAAGCAAGCATCATGGCATGTTAGCGCACGTTCCTTTTATACTTTGCCACGTATCGCATTATCCATTTTGAACACGGCGATAAATCGGGAAATAATCGATTAATTTATTAGATAGCATTAGCCGGTATTAGCGAAAAGAAAATGTTTGATAGTGCCATTCCAGCGTATTTTTGCGGTCCAGTCCCATTTACTGGTTGTTATCAGTCAATATGAATGAAAATAAAACTTTGATTATAATTGGCTAGTTTTATGGAAATAAATTATTTAGCTCTCCCAAAATAACAATTTTTCGCTGCTTATAAATTGAGACAAAATGGATGAAACACTGCTATTAACTCGTTTACATGTAATTTGATCAGCTATATTTACAAGCAGTGCATATAAAGACACTTTTTCGTTAACAATTATTCTCGCCTTTTACTAAAAAAGTATAGCAAGCGAAGAGGACTGAAAGAAGTCTAATAATTCTTTAAAGGGATATAAAATATATTGGATAGATAAGCGATATTAGTGCTATTTCTAAAACTTGGACAGCACTTTATGTAAAAACTATGGGAGCGTTGGTTGTATGCTCAGGTAGTAATCATTTCATGACTGTGGTGAACTCAAATCTGTTTTCAAATATGAACAACTAGTTCAAATAAATGTACCGCATTTTATGAACACTTTTATTTAATATTAGACCAATTAATTGAGCTATAAATTAAATACCAAATGTAGTAAAATGGAAGCAATTCAATCCGAGAGCACGCCAAAGAAACTAAAATGTTTTTTATCTCCAGAAATTGGATGAAAAGTGTACTAAAGCAGGTATATTAATGTTACTGAGCAAATTTTGTTCACCAAAATGATAATACGCTTCACTGCGGCTGTATAAAATATTTTGCTTGTTATATACGTGTTGTTTAGCACCAAAACTAGATAAAATGTCTAGAAAACAACATATTTTCAGCTTACTAAACATATTGGAGTATGTTAAGATAGATAGAGTGCACCAAAAATTATTAATCAAACCGCTTGTCCATATATTGCTTATTTGTCAGATCTAAAGATCTTTTTTACAGATTTTATGGTTCATCGTGGAATGGTAAAGCATGTTATGCAGATGTCTAAGTATGCAATTCTATGATATGTTGTTGTTCTATGTGCTCTTCATATGCATTTATGTTGGATCAGCTTCTTTTAGACGCATCCCTCACCGTGGTTCACCGTTTTTAAAATTCAGTTATATACTTTGGAAATAATCTCTGTTAAAATAGCAAATATCCATCAATAAATTACACACAGCCGTTGACCCGGTTGCTTTTATTTTTCAGATCTACCGGTTTATTCCGCAATCTGTAGTTTATCCTCACCATGTCATGGTTAACAGCCGTTTCGTCAGGCTAACATTCGTCCACTCGCCGTATACTTCACATGTTGCCAACACAACACGAAGAATTTTACGATATTTAATTTACTTTTGTTCTGATTCCATTCACTTATACCATATCCGATTATATTAAAGAAATATCGACTTAACAGTAGTTCGCAGGTTTCTGTCGTGAACAACAGCTTATATTCTTTACTCTTGTTCATTTAAATCCCTTACTATACAAATGGTGTGATAACAGTTCTACACAATCGCACAAGTCCGTTTACTCACGTATGAAATAAAGTACCAGTGCTGTGATATCTGGTCATAACAGAATAAATGCATCGATAGTTATGTTTGTTTGTATTTTTAAAAAGAATGAGCAATTTCGGCCACAGAGATTCAGAAATCAGTGCGCAACCATTTATCGTACACTCAAAGATCGTAGATAGTAAATTGTCAAAAATCTCAAAATAAAATCTAACCCGTCAACTACAAGTCATCTGTCCTTCAGTAAATTATTTATAACGCAAGGGAAAATGCGCTATGCTTGTATTCTTAGCCTACATATTTGCCTCAAGTAAACCAAGAGAATTGCTGACACAGAATAACAGCGAGAAAAAGATTCAAAAAACTTCCTCTTCACGAAATACTTTACTGAAAGCAGAATATCTACGAAACTTTAATTACGTGCACAAGCGTGAAGTGCAGCAGAGAAACGTTTCCAAGCATACTGGCAGTAGTAGAGCAAATCAACAACACACGTTATTAAACCAAAAAAGACATGTCAGGAACACAAAAAATGATCAACCATTACCTGTTAACCATCCGCTGCTGCTCAGCATTCACAATTAGTGAACGGCGACTCGTCAAAGTTCCCCGTAGATGAGTTGATTCCGAGCATTGATTGCGAGATTGATGAGCGTTATGTGGAAATTTTGCGCGAGGATGGTCAATTAAGCAGCGAATTATTTGATAAATACAATGTTTGATTCGTGTTAAAGATTATCATCATGCCCTGTGTGGCTTGTCATATTTGCAGCATTGCAATCTTTTTTTTGTGCAAGGACTACCGTTTTGACTCCTCATTTACAAAACAGCTCCGTATTTTTGTGTAGAAAAGCGCATTCTCAGCGTAATCTTCTTCGTTGGTGAACAAATTTATTCAAATTTGGTATGCTGCAAGAAACAGCCCTGTCAATGGACGACAAAAAATTTAGGGAGCTTTTACTGCAACGAGAACAGTTAGATTACGAGCTGAGCATTGTGGGTAAATACGACGGACCAAGCGTGTATACAAAGAGTGGAGATGTATTTATTCCCGTGTCAAGGAATGACGCAATCGATCATCTAGAAAGAAAGAGAAAAAACATCGTAAAAAGAATTAACAAATCAACTGAGGGAAGGATTTGAACCCCTTAAAATGGACGAGGCTGTGAAGCTGAACTTGGAAATATTTGATAAAGTCGAAGAAATTGGCGAATTGCGAAGGACGTACAACGAATTAAAAGATAAATACAGCGATATAAAACGTAAATATAGAGAAAAACATTTGATAGAAAAGTATTTGAGGGATAACACATCGAAGGAATAAATGATGTTGGTTTTACACGATTTTATTTAATTGCATTTTTGAGATGGTTTATTTCCTGTGTCGTACTCTATTTCTGATGTGCATAGATGTGTTGATGTTCAAAATACACACATCAAGTGCTTTGTTAGCACATCCTGGACAATAATTTTTTGGTTTGGATGCAGCAAAAGATAAGTAAACGAGTTCACGTGAAAAAACGCAACAAAAATGTCGCTCTACATGGTATAGTACACTTTAAAAATCAGTAAAAACGACCCTTGCATCGTTTGAAGAAAGTTACAATCCGAGAGCAGCCTAAAGTATTTTCTATGTTTGAGTGGATAAAACAATTTCGCTACCTAAGAAGGATACTTTATTGAGGCAGCGATTCCAACAGGTTTTATCACTCCACCTAGCTCTGATGCCAGTATTTTAATAATTACCAGAGGGTGTTGACCACTCACACCGATCGATTACATACTAAAATTCGAACACTTCTTCCTCTTCTATTTTCTCTTCGACGTTTTCCTTATCATAATGCAGCATCTCCTTGACAGGAAATGGTGGCAAACCACCTCGCTGGTTGAAATGCACATTTTGTGATAATCCGATGTACGCTGCATAATGTATCAGCTCATTCTCATCAATATCGATGCTTCTGTGCTCTTGATCAAGGTCTGCCTGCAGTATTGTTTCGTAAACACTTTTATGGTACTGAAATATTTTGTTCCTCAAATCTTCAGGGCGCACACTGTTGTAAATGAGCGAGAGATTGGTTTCGAGCTTGACGAGCGATTCTAATGGTACCTTATCATCCAAGTACAACTGCAATTGGCTGAGAAACCTGCTGCTTTCTCTCACAAAAATTTTTTTCATGAACTGGGGTACAAGAGTGGCCGGTATTGGTTTCAAGCGAGCATCCAAAATTATGATCGCTTGTAAACAAAGGGTCTTTCCATTTTTCTGCCACCAGAGAACCTTTCACATGGATAAATAATAAATTTACTTGTTCTTGAGTTACGACCTTCGCACGGATAGCACGAGTTGGTTATGAACATTGCGAAAAAGTGTCATATACAAGGATTGAGCCCGTATAGAAATAAATATGTGCTCCTATACCTAGAAAACGTGCAATATCGCAGAATATTGGTATAACTCAATCTAAATGAGCCAGAACACGCATTTTTGATACCAAACTTGCCATCTGTCAAAAGATACACCATGTTCCACGTTTTGAATGTTGGCAAGCCATACATATCATTAAAATCATAATATACCAACTAAAGATAAAAATTTCGCTTGAAATGTGCGCCTGCTACATCAATAGTCCCATAGAGCGGATACACATCTGCTTTGATATCAAGTAACACGGGGTACACGTTAAAAGGCGCCATGCACACAAAAGGGTGTACCTGTTGGTATTATGAAGATAGGTGTTGATTTATCTATCAAAATGCTTCCTTCCTCTGCTGATAGGCCTTCTCCTAGTGTGAGCCCTTGTTATGATCTTTCAAATTTTTGATATCGTATTGACAGGAAAAACTTTAAAACGCGGTTCGATTCAAGTTTCGATAGAGAGGCGCATTCCGATGAACGTATCCAAGTGTTGAGAAAGAAAATATTAAACTATTTTTGATTAATGACTTGGTGTTAATGTGTGATAAAGAACGTGCAAATGAAAAAGGTAAAATATGAACGTACGTGCCGAGCTACAACTCTGCACAGTTTCGTTGCTCAGGTGCCTCTAAAAAGCAGGAAAATAGTTTGTATTGCTTTGATGCTCTTTATCGAGAGTGAGGTCGGCAGTCGTTTTGACTCTGTTATGATTTATGAGATGGCCTCGATGCAGGTTTCCACCGTCGAACATTCTTAGACACATGTTTGCCGGTAATGAAGTGTCTACGAAATTTTATCATAATCACGGTGATAGACACATGATCAAATAAATACCTTTTTGGGTTAAAACACGGTGAAAATGTTTTATCAGGCACGTTCATGACCGAGATAATACTTTTCACGCTTTGTGTGCTCTACGACTGCTTTTTTTCATCAATAAAATTCCAAATTTAAGCGCTTTGAACTGGTGAAAAATGCCTGAGTGCTTACCAGACAAGAAAATAAGTGGTACACCGAGCTTGGTACGTGCACTTTTCCCTTATATTTGCGTGAGAGGAACATTTTTGGCTAGATCACTCCTTTAATGTGGATAGACATAAAAGTAGTAAATTGATCAATTATTAGCCATTTCTCGTTCAATTCATAACGATTCTTCATAAATAAGTATTTATGTACCATTGTCCTCGTGTGCTTCTTGTGCATGATAGAGATGTACATATTGATCCATGAAAACAATCAAAAAGATCCCGATAGTACTGAAATTGAGTATCTATAACTCATACAATATGTGCGACACTGTTTTATACCGGGTGTTTTTATTGAATAAAGAGTAGAAACCGCCAAAAAGGTAAAATGAGGCGAAGATCGCCTGTATATGTTACGTAATAGCGTACAATGCAAAAAACAGTTGCTTTATCACATCCCATACAACCGTTTCTGTCTCAGATGTAAAACATATGTTTGCAACATTTAAAATATTGCAAGCCGTGATGACCCCATAAAAATGGAGAAGCAACATATGCTAGTTTACGAAAATAACGAAAAACTGGTCATCAAAAACGTGTCAGAGGATAATGAGGAGACACTTACGTTGTCGAAGGTGCTTGGCACGGGCAGCTTTAGAGGGAACAACGAGAACGATGTCTTTAAGTGCAGCTACAGAATACTAGGATTGTATGGCATGCTGTGCTTGGGTGAAAACAGGTATGTGATTCTCGTGACAAAGAGTGTTAAAATAGGACACGTTGCGAATTATCCTGTGTACGAGATTAAAGAAGTGCAGATAAAGGAGCTGCTGCGCAAAAGCAGCAAGGGCACGAATGATGCCTTCCTGCTGAAGAAAGCGCTCGAATTTTTCAGAAATCCCGGAATCATGTATTCGGAATTTCCCCTCTACAGCAGCAACATGGACCAGGAAAACACCGATTTCATTTTCAACCACAACTTGATCGGTATGCTCAAGAGCCATGTCAAGGGCTCTGTCTCCAAGTACGTGATCCGATCGATCTACGGGTCATTCCAGTACATCGATGTTGAGCGGTTTTCGATTGTTCTTGTGTCGCGCAGATCATGGAAAAATGTTGGTGCGCGATTTATCCGGCGCGGCTTGAACAGAGAGAAGGAGGCAGCCAATTCTATAGAAACAGAGCAGTATGTAATAATGAAGGTCGATGAGAAGCCCACCAACTCGTTTTTGCAGCTGCGCGGTTCGATACCACTCTATTGGAAGCAAGATCTCACATACAAGTATCGACCGATCATAAAAATTGTGAAAACTAACCCACTCAAGGAGTATGACACGAAATTGTGTAAAAAGTACAAGAACGTGTTTTATCTCAATCTGATACAAAACGTGGGATACGAAAGTGGCTTGAACAAGGTCTATGTCTCGAAGCTTGCAGATAATTGTTTAAAGTACCTGCATTTTGATTTTGTCAGGGAGAGGCTCTTTGTTGATTATAACAAAAAACTGCAGCTGCTGTGTTTGATAGCACCACAGCTGCAGCGAAACAGCTTTCATGATTCCAAGGGCAATCAGAAGGGCATTATCCGTACAAACTGCGTAGATTCGCTCGATCGAACCAATGTTGTGCAGTTTTTCATAGCCGAGGAGATGCTTGCAAGCCAGCTCAAGAGCCTCAAGCTGAGAAAAGATGATGTACCAGAATTCGAGATGAGGTACAAAAACATGTGGATCAACAATGGAAATATGCTGTCGTATCAGTACTCGGGCACGAACGCGCTTGGCGCTGAGGTTGTGCTTCACGGTAGACAGAACTTAAGAGGGGCCCTTACAGATTTCTATAACTCAGGGGTGAGGTACTTTCTCAATAGATTTTATCATGGCGATTTGCAGACATCGTATGATATCATATCAGGCAATTACAAGCAGCTGAAGATAGCCAAGCGCAAGAGATACTTCAATTTTTCATATTTCTTCCTCCTTTTCTTTGCCAGTATTTCATACACCTCATACTACATTTTTGATACAGTCAATTTTCCTAGAGAGTTGCTCGTGTATTTTTTGGTATCATGCTTTGTTGTGCCTATTCTATATCCGTTTATTGCTAGGTATTGCTTCAATTACCCATACTTTGAAAGCGATTAAATGTGTTTAATGACAACTCAGGTTTCTTTGTTGGGTGCGTCTTTTGAGGGAGCAGTATGACATTAAGTGATCAAAAAGTGTCTGACATAATTTAATTTATCACTTGACAAAACAAACCAGATTTGTTCTGTAAAAATGCGGGCATATGCTTTGTTTGATGTTGTTTGCGCATCACGAAAGCGGCAACATTTTCATATTTACTCTGCGCATGTACCTAAATACATAGGAAGATCTATCCGTTTTCTTGGCTGCCACATTTACATAAAAAGAACAGCCAATATCCACGGTTTAAAGTCTTTCTTTATCCGATTTATGTCAATAATACAATGAATTAGGAATATGGTGCGATGAATAGAACCTTGTACGAATAAATCCCGCTAAAGCACTTTTTATTGGCAGTCTACGGAATAAACTTAATAACTGTTGATGTTGTAGAGAAAATCATAATTGGTTAGATGTGACGTAAGGAGCACTAAATTTTTACGGTTAAAATTACGAATATTTGATTTAAGCAATAAGTAAAGCACTTCCTCGACCAACACCTCCTTTCATATTACAATTAAGTAAAGTTTTCCTTCAAAAATGGTTTTATCACGGATTTGTTCATTATTTGTTGTACGATACGAGCATTTGTAAAGATAGAGGTGTGATACTAATCATCATAAAAAAAGATATAGCAGCGCTGCGTAGAGGAACAAAGAACAGATCAACAGCGCCTATAACACGGCATCGTCATACATCAGCTGTGAGTTGTACCTCTAATCAACAATTACTGTAATTAAACGTACTCTGTCAACATATGACGGTTCAGCAATATTGCTTGCAAAACAAAGTACTAAGCGGCTCTACTGCTCATCATTTATGTGTTTTGTAGCAGCAAATTGATCAGAATATCTATTTTAAAGGCTATTACCGTGCACAGTGCTCACGGTCAAGTAAAACAAAACGTTATTTGATTACTTGGACATTTTGAATGCTGTAGGATTGGTTTAAACGGTTATTTCAGCAAAAAAGTTCTAAATCTGGTGTTCAAAGTCGGCAAGTTCAATCTTTTATTACTTACCTGCTCTCAACCTACGGTAAAAAAGAATATAATCGCTTAAAAATAATTTAACCGAAGTAGTAATAAATTTATTATTAATTAAAAAGAACACATGTAATTGCTGTTTGCACTTACTTTTGAGCACTTTGTAGCGCTCATACTGTTTACTGATCTTTTTGTAGCTTTACCTTGGTTTGTACTCCACGATTAAAATTAATTTTGAGCTGTTCAGGTACGACCAAAACATGTGCAAGAATTTTTGCCGTTTCACAGCATGTGGATGCTTAAGCTATTAGTAAATTATTACTGGTATTATACGCGTAAATGCGCTACATATCGTGTATACATGTTCAGCTTTCTAGTAGTCTGCGGTACTGTGCAAGAATATAGCACAATATTTGTGAGTAACCTCACACCGTACTTAATGAAACACATGTTTATAATTGTGCTGTTCTATCCAGGGTTATACTTTGCGAAAAATACTGTTAAACAGTCCTTTATGAGATGAGTACTGATCAAACATAGCACCTTCCTTTTGCAAACCTACCTTCCATGGTGATATCAACAATAAATAAAATAATTCTGCCGTTCCTAAACGGTGATCAAAGCGATCAACACAGTAAAATAATCGTCCATTTACCTCAACTATTTTATTTAATTATCGTTACGCTCGTTTATATTTTCCTTATTCTGTGGACAGATTTGTCTGCGTGCAGCGTAACTAAAGGTTCCCTTTGGTATGGTCGCATTATTAGACACGTACGGACTGGCAGCGGTCCTGCTTTTATTTAGCTGCGCAGGCGTAAACTCAATTTTCTGTTTCTCGGCCATCTTTGGACCAATCAATGGCCCTTTAAACTCTCCAACCTTTCTCAGGCACCTGCACAAGGCATACAAGCAGATCCTAACCTGATTAAAATTGCTTCCTTCATACAAATCATTAATGTCAAAAATCTCGTAATCCTCAACACCGATCCTCTTAGCTGCCTGTATAAATGCGAAAATATTCTCTCTTTGCAGAAACGCACTCTTTTTATCTGAGTAACCACACGAACCTGGCTGTAGCTTATTCATCAGCTTGCACAGCACGATGCCGTCCCTGAGCGATTCCTCCAAATCATCATGGATTGTCTCTTGGGTGATACATTCGATCCATTGTTTTAATTCCGTGTTTTGCTGCGACATTGAGGGGGTGTCTCGGTTGATTTAAATAAATGACAGTAATTAACAGAATTTGAGGAATGCCGTTTTGAACAACGGCTCAATAACAACGTACAGTGATATGTGGGGGGTGTGAGCATGCCTCGTGAGTCCTGCGATCGTTTGCATCTTTCTTTTGCCCTAAAAAGAAGGTTTTACAAAAATACGAACTTTTACGGAATGATCAGAATTATTGCAGAGCCGACCTCTGACAGCACAAAAAGCAGCATTTACCAGCAAAGAGCACTTTCAGAAGAATAAGCTTGTCTTTAGATATCGAATAGTGCATTATTGTGATCTGCTCAAAATAAGGCAAATCAATTAAAAACGTACAACACACAATAAATTGTATTTCTGCTTTGTTTATCTTAAACAGCGGAAAATAAATTGGAACAGTAATACGTGGTGAAGAGCAAAATATTCCGCTCGCCATAACATCTGAACATTTAGACAGATGAAAATATACCGAACGCGTGCAAGGTTACAAGGTAAACTCGACCAGTCACACTCAAAATAGCATATTTGTTGTATGACCAGCAAAACCTGCCATATCATATTACTAACCCGACAGCATAATATGCACACCGATATGCCATGATATCCTATCATCACGAATTATTTACCTCTTCCTTTTATTTCCGTAAAAAATTCTTCCTTTTTACGCCATCACCTGCTGCCCGATCATCAGCACTACTTACAGAGCAAATGATGAACAAGTGATTGATATAGCACGCTTATCTATGTCAACAGCCGAGTCATAACATCTACACGCGTTCAGCAACCGTACCTGTCATTTTAGTGAAATTTCCATAAAAAAGTGTTAAAAATACGAGAAAAAAGTGTCTTGTACACTCTACATGTTTTTACCACACCATACATATCACACATAAGAAAGCATGACTTATATTCGTTCATATTCTTGTACAACTTGGCCGTCTGCCCGTAACGGGTCTTGGTCGTACAAATGCACCTTCTCCCGCCATTTCGTAATTTCACCCCTGGTCGCATCTTCCGTTCTCATCAGGCAGTTAATTCGGATACGTACCTTGTTATGGCGGTACGGAACAGTGCTTTATAAGATGCAACAGCACATTAACCAAGCTTTGACACTGCTGTTCTACGATAAAGGCCTTTTTCTTCTTTTAAGGAGAAATAAAACTACTTATGAATGCAGTGATAAGTAAATTTATTATATTAGGCAGTACGTGCCGCTTCATCTCGCTTTTTGTCTTTCATCGCTATTTTTGCGTTACTTGCTTGATCATCTCCCACAAATAACGTGCCATGAATAGTTTGCTAGAACGATTAAGAGAACAAAACAGAAAAGTATGTTTGGTTAAATGGTGCTGAAAACGGATTAAAATAAGTATATTTTGAACAATCAGAGAACACATCATAAGATACGTTGATACAGTACATCAACACACATCATCATTTGTACAAACGTGTTCTTTAATTTTTTTGAATATGTCATTTGTTTAACTCCTTGCGCTCGCTTAATTCTACCGACATTTCATCTCTCAGCATTTAATACGTTCGTTCTTACAGCATATTCTCAATCTTGTGCTTAATGAAAGGTTTTTTGACGAAAAGAATTGTTGGTGAAACGCGAACTGTGCCCGATTGCATGCCAAACAAATCTAACTGATCAAAAAATATTTATTAGCAATCCTGTCTAACATAGCACCTAATGTAACCTGCCCATTGCCAAACATCATCTTTTCTCTGCCGTTAGAAAGACCTTAAATTCTTTTTTGACCTGCTGAGAGCGTGTACCGTTGCAAAATTACCTTTTATCACTATAAAAGTGGTACAAAGCAACGGATTAGTGCGCTTTTCTCATAAAATATGTATCTTGTTAACTGCACCATACCTGGCAATGTGGTATTAATTATACCATACTGCCGTATAAAGGAGACGTAGTTCATCAACAAAGTACTAAATTTTATTTTATCGTTATTAAATATTTGATTAAAATACCAAATATCATTTTCTCTTCGCGTAAGTACCATCAGGATTTGCACAGTTAGACCTAAGTTTAAGCACCCATGTGTGTTCAGCGCTTTCTTAGCCCGAATAACTTTGTTGAAACAATCAAACCGATTTTTTATTCAAATCACACTCCTCAGTCTTTGATCCTCATTTACAAATACAACGGTTTTTTTGACCAGAACCGCACAATAAGTTAACACGGATCGTTCAGTTATTGTAACTTGTCCAGCAAGAGTACGATTCATCCAACCTATGTTGTTAATGTCTAAAGAGATAATCGTATTCTTGCAGAATTAAAGTTAATCTGGCTGATCAGCCTTTGCTCTCATGAAGAAGTACCACACGGTTGTCGTCCTGTATTCCGCACGCTGATGAATAATGAGACTTTGTGAGTGATGCCCCGTCTTTCACAGCATGCATTTAACTGCGTGTTCATTTTTAACGATATCGTGCAATGCTCACAGAAATGGCCATTAGAGCATGAGATTGACACGTTTTGAGAACGTGTGCTTGCATTCCAAGCCACTATAGACAGATGAATGGATTGCAAACAGACAACTGCAACCGCACCATCATAACAATGCAAAGGTATGACAAGCTGCTCTCCCATCACTGATACTCCATCCACTTCACAAAGTAGTAGTAGCGGCTGTCCTTCAAATGTTCAAAATGAACTGCGCTCAACAGACCAGGACATGCATGCATTACATAACCTAAGAACAGAACGCTTTTATACTCATCATCCAAACGCTCAAATATCGCTCGCTCGATCACCGGCATCCTTTTTCTTATGATCTCTGCCATTTCATCGTCAGACCCGCAGCCATTTTCTATGAACTGTACCGATCTGAACCGGTCATTAAACTTGAAACTGAGCAACGTCTCATAAACAGTCGTACTCTCGTTTTTCATCGTACGCACAAATTCTTCAATAAATGTGAGTTTATGGCACAGTTTAAACCGCTTGAAGTGCGTCTTTTTCAATTTTAATCGGAAAGGTGCAGCATAGCGCACTTTCAGCTCATCAGGAATGTCCCAGGATTGTACATCGGCTCTACTTTTGGAAATGAAGGCATCACCTGAGAATAAACTGACCATATCGTTGATCATATCTACTTCTGCGTGAAAAATATCATCGCAGGAACCGAAACAGTCCATTTCTGCACATACGCGATGCGTATCAGCACATAAACGGTCTTTAGTACCAAATTCATCCTTCTTTCGTGCGATCGTGTCTCTCAGCACTGTGTACACGTGCAACAGCCTGAGAGCACCCTCACAATCGAAGGGATCCTTCCACTCATCCGAGTACTCTTTCGTCAGGAAGCAGCGTATTTTCTCGATAGGAAAGAACACCCGCTCATAATACGTGCACACACTCCCCTCAAGCACCTTTATAACGCTGTTGAGTCGTTGAATGGGCAATTCAAATACCCAGTCGGTGTTGTACGCACCGGTCTTCATCTGTTCGTACACAAGCATGGCGTTCTTGTACAGTTCAAGATTGTTTTGCACTTCTTTGCGTGCCTGCAGGTATAGATGCGAGTTTTTGCTCCGCAAGTTTTGTTTACGCTCGAACAGTTCTTTCATTGAGGGGGGCCAGCAGGAGTAAAAGTGGAAATAGGGCACTAATAGCTGCCATTGAGTGGTGGTGTCTGAAATGGTGTGTAGAGAGTGTATGGCAAGCAGATACCCACGGTAAATTTATATTGGTGTAAAAAAGGTACTTTATCTTCCTCTAGCACAGCTACACTATCCAAATATACGTAGGTACATTTGTAAATATGATAAGAATATTCTTTGATAAGCTGTGGTATTTTCGTAATGATACGATTGAAGCGATCAAGCACAGCCTCTCTGCACCAAAAGGAGCTTTTATATTGCACGGCATGTTCTGTGCACCAGAACAAGTGTTTGATGGAGGTACCACGTGCACATGGTAGCACCGATATGCCAAGGTACGTGTCTGTGATAAGGCACTTCGCCTATTTAATACAGTTCCATGATCAATCGTGCAAATTTAGCGCGCATAGTTGCTAACAAATGACCTCCTCGTGCTATCGATAGCTAAACAATTCTTCCTGGCAGATTGTTTCTTCGTTTACGATCCTTACCTAAAATCATTAACATTCTTACAGTCAACCTTTTTACGTTCTTCAAATGTTTTACGTAATTTTGGAGAGGTACAGTAAATCACTCTGTGCAGTTTGCTCTCCTGTAAAGCAAAGCTTACATTAATGTGAAAACATAGTGCAACTATTAATTGATAGTACGTAAGATAATACATTATTACCGTACTGTGGATGGATCCTATCTTATGAATCGATAGTACACAGGATAGGAAGCATCCACAGTTATGGTGTACAAAACCTAAAAACCTGTTAAATGCTATTTTATCGCAACATTTCATTTACATTACCAGATTATACTGGTTGTATTGCTGAACTGATAATTTTATTTTGTACTAGCTGTGCTATTTCCATTTATAGAACGGTAAAAACTGTTCTTTCCATTCAATGATACTTTCTTCTTTTCATATGTCGTATTATGTTTTTTCTATTGTTTAAGATTTTATGGTAGGAGTTAATTAATTAGCTACTATTCGGTGATCGTGTTTTAATGTTGTTAGCAGATAACAATTGAGGGCGTTTCGGAAAGAATGAGTTGTACGACAACTTTAGGCCCTTTATTCAGTGCAAATATATGAAACAAAATATTTTTATTTTTATCGAAGGGTCAAATAATTTATTCCACAGAACTAACCAATCATATTTCGAGTTGTCTTTTTATTTATATGAGTGAATGATGATTAAATTATTTCAACATTCCTGTGCACCAATTGATAGTTGTTAAGCATTTAAATTTTATTACTCTCGGCACTCTTCACACCATGCCTGTGCAAAACGCTGCTGCTTCTCATAATACCATTACAAACATCTTTGCTTCGTACTGCATCTCCTGATGAAAGTCTTAAGCACCACCACCATGTTAATGATCACAGGACACAAAAGCGGAAACCAAATACCAAAATTGAACAAAGGTGGTAGGTAGTACCTAAAACCACCACCACTCCTAAAATCTAAACTGCTCAACATCGCATCTATCCGCATGTCATTCATCTCCGAAAAAATGAAAAGAGCATGCACATCACGTGCATGCAAAAAATGCGAGTACCGTATCACCTTCTTCAACTTATGGTAGTAGTGCGTGTGTGCTTCCATTGCACCAGCATCGTAAAGCTCGTTGAACCGTATCTTTAACTGCTTTTGTGCGTGCTCTGCCGCTGTTTGTGCGATACGCGGTGGTGCGAAGTGAACAGTGATGATTAGGACGATTGAGCAGGTGTAGAGCAGGGATGTTGTGAATGGATTCATGGTAAAGGGCTGCGAAAGGGGAGTGTGGCGTGAAACACACGTATAGGGATAAATTAATAATTTGTTGTGGATTGTGATTATTCCTTCTTGACACGGTAAATGATGAATTGAGAGGTGTGATTGATACGCAAGCACACTCGTACAGTAAAACAAAGCATATACGTTTTATACGGTGTGTTACAGGAAGTACAGCACTGTTTGAGTGCACTCTTCACGTTTTGTATCGCTGGTCTGTTTTAGTTTTGATGGCTCTTTGATTGGAAACATTAATTTTTGTTTAATATCGGTTTAAAAGTATGTGAGCGATGGGAACAAGCTTGCCGATTCATAGCTTATAAGGTAAATATGTGCAGTATAACATAATGAATAGAGATATAATTAAAAACCATTTCTATTTGTATGATACCGTACAACGTTCAAATAGCAAAGATACACCACTACTTACACTGAATGTACGTATCACCATCCATTCGTCTGCTATTATACTTAAGTGCCATTTTTTTCGTAGAGAGGATCAAAACTTTGTTCCGTACTAAACACACCTTTTTCTTTAAACGCAGTTTTATGACACAGCTACGACCCCCATATTCACAGATAGGGATGAATTAAATTATTTTACGGATGGTGCTCATCGATTAAAACAAATAATTTATTTATATGATTGGAATGAAGGGATGATGATTAAATACTTTTACTCTTGCAGTCTTCTGTTACAGAAACGGGCTAAGAACGGATTCCATTCCAAATTGTACTTCCTTGTTTTTTACAATTATCGCTTCAATTGCATCCTCACTTCAACGTTAGAAAATACCATCCTTAAAATTTACTGTTCCTGTTCTTAAATGGGATATTGAAGGGTATTTATGGTAGTATTTGGTACGAATACATTTTTAATACGTGTTGATCTATTCATACATTAAACTTACATGATAATGGATCAAGGATCAATCAAAGAACAGTGCAAGACAGGTAACGAAATAAGGGAAGTTCGGTAAAACATTATTTCTAGGGAAAGAATAATTTAACGACTCATTAACAAGCACACATTCTGTTTTACCGTTGACAACAGCACAACTGATGGCAAAAAAACATATTTTAGTGTAGCAAAGGGCACAGAAGCAATTTTATATAACAAATTGTTACTTTCTCTTTATTTTTACTGTATAGCACACAAAAACGACAGAGTAAACCGTAATATAGGAATTGTTGTGTAGTGCGCAAGCGTGTTAGATGAGCTTAACTTGTAAAACTAGTTACTTCAACAGTAAATAGATCATTTCTGATAGCAATAAAACTTTTTTATATGTAAATGAAATAATAGATAATAATCATAGATATATACCTTTTGTATTGGTGATAACCTACTTTATGTTGCGTTTTCTTCTAAGTACTAGTTCACATTTTTTGTCGTTTTTAGATCGCAATGTTGTGTAGGTATTATCATTATATAGATAATATCATCACTTGTATCATTTCATTCGTTAATTTCCTTTATTGAGCTCTTGATACGTTTGATTCCACGCCATTTTTTTTATTTCGTTCTATCCTCAACCTACAATCCGTTCACTCTCAATTCTTCCCATCCCAGTATCCACATCTATTCATCTTTCGATATAATTCTATTATTTCCATACACTTATATTCATTCTTTTCATCCTATTATTTCTATACATTCGTACTTATCTCACACACTTCTGCACACTTCTATCCCAAACTAATTATGTTATTAAAGTTAATTTTTTAATCTTCTCCTCCAACCCTTTTAAGCCCCTTTTCCAACCACATCCATAAATTCCCCAGAGCCCTTCAAGAAAATCCATACCAAACCAAAAAACAAAATAATCAAAGCTTAGATAACAAAAAAATGCACAACCAACAAGAAACATTAATACTAGAAGCCCGAACACTAGTAATGCCCTTCATATACTTATACTACACGGCATGCATCCTTTCGCTAGGCATAGTGCCCATCACGATGCGCATGTTTCCGCTGCTCAAGATAAAATGGACAACCTGCAGGAGTTCTTTAGACCGTTGCACACACGTACTTGTACAGAGCAACACAGGATTTGAGTTTGTTGAGGTTGATGTGATAAATTTGAAAAAATTTAGGAAGTTCAAGAACAGCGTGTATGCTGAGCTTAAGAGCTACATACATGATGATACGGTGCGGGTGCTTACCACCAATTTTATGAGGTTTGTTTATGATTATGGCAAGGAGTGCTTTGTACGGCCAAGCGGCCGTTATAGCATACCGCTCAGCAACCATATTATGTATGGAGAGAATACGCTTGCTACACGTACGTACACCGTGTCACAGATAGTTGTTAGGCATTTCACATCTAATTTGTTTCTTTACATCCTGGTGTGCGTGTTCATATGGTCACAGATAGATTACCTGACATATTCTGTTATACTCCTGGTGATGGCCCTGTATTCGATCATCAACGACGTGATCGTTGATATAAGAAACAAGAACAGCGTAGACCGACTGTCCAGGATAAAGAAGAGTATGAGCGTGTTTAGGGATAACCGGTTCAGAGAGCTTAACACAAGGAATTTGTTCCCAAATGATATTGTGGCCATAGCACCCGGTGAGATAGAGGCGGATGTACAGATACTTTCTGGAGAGGTGATAGTTGATGAAAGCTTTCTTACAGGTGAAAGTATACCGGTGTACAAGAAGAAGGGCGGTATTGTGCGCGCAGGCACCGTAGTGATGGAGTGTAGAGAGGACAACGAGCCGTTCTGTCCGTCAAGCGAGTATGAGATGGTGCGGATTAATGTACTTGATGACAGGAGTGGTAAACGAAGGAGCGTACGGCAAGGCACTGCGGAGAGGACCGGATTGGATAGGAATGGAGTGAATGAGCATGAATTGGATGGTAACGAGGTGAATGAGAGAAAAAAGCAGGAAAGGAGTGCACCAGATGAAAACATGGTGAGCAAAGAATCGAATGTTAACGGTGAAATGGAGTATGAGACGGGAAAAGACAAACAAACAGAAGAAAATATGGAGTATGCGGCCGTAACACGAGATACCACGGGAATAGCCGGCAAGATGGCACACTCAGACCGAGGTCATCCCAGTCCATACCACAAGCACGTAATAGGCCGTGTGATAAGCACCGGATTCAACACCACAAAAGGCACTCTCATCCGAAACATTCTGCTCCCCGCCAAGCCCAATCTTAAATTCTTCAATCAATCCAAAAAGTTGTTGCTCATCATGTTCTGCATAGGTACAGTAATCAGCATCCTATACTTCCTATTCTCACTGTTCCATGAGATAAGCGTAAAGAATTCGCTGTATTATTCCATTGATCTGATAGTCACCATAATAACGCCTGCCCTGCCAGCCGCGATATGGATCGGCATGAACCTGTCGGTCAAGAGTTTGAAGCTTAGGCGTATCATGTGCAACGATATAAATCGGATTAATACGATCAGTGAGATAAGCACGGTCGTGTTTGATAAAACAGGCACGTTGACTGAGGATGGATTGGATGTACACATGATTGATGTAGAGCGCGGTGATGAGGATGAAGATGTAGAGATTGATGATGTAGCGGGGAGTGCTTATGATAAGTACCATAGTGGTAATTACTACAACGCGTACGGCAATAATGGTAGTGATTACGACGCAGTTACCGATCTTAAACGCGCAAGCAACCTCAGAAATAGCAATGATGCATCGAGCACTGATACGGATAATACGAGCACCGTGGTAACGATAGCCAAAGGGCACAGTGCAGGAGGTGATAATAACGATGCAAGCAGCAACGCTCATCCACGCGGTACAGCACCAAAAAAGTTGAAAAACAGCTTTCTTATGCTCATAGGGATGTCTACGTGTCACTCTGTGGTAACAATAAACAACGAATGCCTTGGCGATCCTTTGGACGTGAAAATGTTCAAGTACAGCAAAGCATCGATGCACGAGAACACGGTAACAGTGAACGATGATGTGCCGCATCGGTGCAGGGTGCTTCATATCAATGAGTTTGATCCTACGAGAAGACGTATGAGTGTTGTTGTTGAGTTTGAGGGAAAAAGGTACGTCTTTGTGAAGGGGTCTGCTGAGAGCATAGGCGGATTGTTAAGAGATAAATCTGAGGTGTACGATAAGAGGAGCAATGAGCACGCGTTAGAGGGTTACCGTGTGATTGCCATGGCGTACAGGTGTATCGATGAGGATTGCGGCGGCAATCGTAGTAAAATAAGGAAAGAAAGTAACGGCCACGATGACGATTCTCTGTCTCGTCCAGTTCATCGCGAGCAGGGTATCAGTTCTGGTACGAGTGACCGCGATCAAGACGGTAGCCGTGATAAAAACAGTCCTGGTAAAAGTACCAACCGCGATGAAATTGCTAATCGTGACCAGAACAAGCACCAGAATTACGGTCAGCAAAACGAACAGAGCCTTACATTTCTTGGTTTCATAATATTCGCCAACAAACTAAAACCAGCAACCATCCCCGTAATACACAACCTAAAACTTGCAGATATCACCTGCCTGATGGCAACCGGTGATAACATCCTCACAGCAATATCGGTGGCAAAAGAATGTGGAATGATAGAACAGGACACACCCATCATATTCCCCGTGTTGGAAGAAAAGAACGAAATCGAAAAGAATGAAATGGAGTGGTGCGTGATAGGGGAGGGCAGCTACTATTTCGATAAACTGCGGCGGAAGCTGTTCAAGGAGAGTAACGAGGTGGAGTACGTGATTGCCATTGAAGGGCGAGAATTTGAGGAGCTGCTGGAGGATGAGCAAATACTCGATAAGACGATCGTTTACGCGCGGATGAACCCCGAGCAGAAGAAAATGCTGTGCAACCGCATGGAATGCATTTTTGTGGGAGATGGTGCCAACGATGTAGGGGCGTTGCAGAGCAGCACGGTAGGTCTAGCACTGAACAAGAATGCAGCAACGATGAATAGCGCGTTTGTGAGCGATGTGCTGGACATATCGAGCGTGGAGGTGCTCATTAGGGAGGGGAGGTGTGCACTGGTCACATCGTTTTGTACGTTCCGGTTTATGCTGTTCACATCGCTCAACCAGTTCATATCGTTCATCGTGATGATGCTGTTTTTCGTGTTCGCGAGCGAAGTGCAGACGATGCACTACGACATCGCCATTGTTATACCCGTGGCGTACACGATCGGTTTGTTTAAGTGCTCGCACACGCTCAGCATGGAGATGCCGCGGTGCGAAATACTAAGCGTGCGCTTCGTGTTCACGTTTGTTATGCACCTCGCGATTGACAGCGTGTTTTTGTTGTGCTGCGCGTTTGGCAGGCATAGCGGCACTGCCAACCAGTACGAGTACAAGACAGCGATGTCCACCCTTGTGTTCTTTATGACAGCCGTACAGGCCGTCAATAAAGGAATTATACTCACGGATGGACAGCCGCACAGGGAGGGTAAAATGCGTAAGAAACCGTTCGTGTTGGTGATCGTGCTCTCGTACCTCGTTCTGATCGCTGTATTTGTTCTAATGCTGTTCAATGGCACGTTCGTGAAATGGTATGATTTTGAGGTGCTCACCCTCAAGGAACGCGTTCTTCTCGTGGCAGGTATTTTTTTTAACACCGTGATCAGCTTTTTGTTTGAGTACGTTCTCAAGGAAAGGATGCTGATGGTGTTCTGGGGGAAGGAGGACACGGTAAGCGAGTATGATGAGTAAAGATTGTTATTGATAGTTGAGTTGTATTGCTAGGATTGGTTGATGTTTTATAAGATTGGGAGAGAGGATCAGTTGATAAGACCGGTCATGCTCGTAATCGGTAGTACTTGTGCTGCCCATTCTGATAAGACGTGCCTTTTATGTTTATATGAGGTGAACGGACCGCAATAAGTAATCAATAAACATAATTTTGTGAAAAAATAGGGAAGGGCTCAAAAACTAGTACCAAATTAAAAACCTAGTCTTTACGAAGATTTGTTTGCTTGCCATCCCTCATGTCCACAATTTAAATAAAATTAGTGGTTCCGTGTGGAGTACCAAAATATTGCCGTTTCTTACGGTATGTAGCTATCACTCTACTATTAATGTAGCTGTGCTGCTATTAAGGTCTGTTATCACATCAAATATAGTTACATCTTCTTTTAAATTGCTACCTGTATTGAAAATGATCCTTCATATCGATACTGAACACAACATTTCTGTTGTTCAGAGGTGTGTTTCACCACACAGGCAGTGATCAGGTACTTTTACCTTACAATGTTGTTTGAACTATGAATCTCTCATATCAACACTAAACATAACCATCAATCTCAACATAAATATTAAAACAGGTTTGCCCCTCCTTAGAGTTACCATACAATAAGCCATCTTAACTCCTCACCATTGCTCAATCAATACGTTCATAACCGCTATTTAATTAACCTAACTGCTCGCTCACAATCTCCTCCTCAATACTTGCATACGTATACTGCTGATATTCATTGAGCAGGTCATTCATATTGGACTCGGCTTCCGTAAACTCCATCTCATCCATTCCTTCCTGCGTATACCAATGCAAGAACGCCTTTCGCCTGAACATAAGCTGGAACTGCTCGGCTATCCTCTTGAAAAGCTCCTGTATGGCTGTGGTGTTTCCAATAAAAGTGGCAGACATATCAAGCGTGGACGGCGGTATGTCACACACGGCTGTCTTGACATTGTTTGGTATCCATTCTACAAAGTTGGACGCGTTACGGTTCTGTATGGTGTGTAACTGTTCGTCAACGTCCTTCATAGAAATATTACCGCGGAAAATGGCTGCTACTGTAAGGTACCGGCCGTGTTTCGGATCGGATGCTGCCATCATGTTCTTGGAGTCAAACATCTGTTGGGTAAGCTCACTCACAGAATACGATCGGTACGATGCCATCCCTTCAGCTATTAACGGTGCAAAGCCTATCATAAAGAAATGCAATCGTGGAAATGGTATCATATTGACGGCCAGCTTTCTGAGATCAGCATTGAGCTGACCTGGAAAGCGCAGACACGTGGTCACACCACTCATCACAAGCGATACTAATCTGTTAAGATCGGCATATCCCGGATTCTTAAGCTTGAGGATGTTAAAACAGATGTTGTACAACGCTTCGTTATCGATGCAGAACGTTTCATCAGCATTCTCAACAAGCTGGTGGATGCTCAGCGTGGCATTGTATGGCTCAACCACCGTGTCGCTCACCTTAGGTGACGGCACCACGGAAAAAGTGCACATCATTCTGTCAGGAAATTCCTCACGTATCTTTGATACAAGCAATGTGCCCATACCAGCACCTGTACCACCACCAAGTGAATGTGTAATCTGAAATCCTTGCAAGCAATTCGACTTCTCGGCCTCGCGTCGCACGCAGTCCATCACATTCTCAATCAGCTCCGCTCCTTCTGTGTAATGGCCCTTTGCCCAGTTGTTACCTGCCCCACTCTGTCCAAACACGTAATTGTCAGGCCTGAAAAGGGAGCCCAACGGGCCAGAACGCAACGTATCCATGGTACCTGGTTCAAGGTCTACCAGCACAGCACGCGGTACATACTGCTTAGTGCTCGACTCGTTGTAGTACACGGATATGCGGTCGAGCTGGTTGTCTCTTGTGCCGGTGTACTGGCCCAAATTATTGATGCCATGTTCTTCGCTGATCACTTCCCAGAATTTTGTGCCGATTTGGTTGCCACACTGGCCGGACTGAAGATGAATTATTTCTCTCATTGAGGGTAAAAATTTTGAAAATTTTTATGACCGACAAACACACTCACAAAATGACAGGCAGTGGGATTGAGAAGGAGTTTGGGATGTGGTACGAAGTGCAATGGCAAAAGGCACAGCAATGCATTGAGGGAGTGTTATTGCATATGTATCCAGCAATGACAGGTTTTGACCTGAACTATGTTTATGGGAAGCCATGGCCCACTTATTATACTATGATCTCAGCACATGGATAGGATGGCTGTGTATGAAGATAACGCAGAAATAGAAAAGCTGTACGTGCCAATTCTACTGCAGGGGATGTTTTTCATAAAAGAGACGAGAAAATAAAATTTAACATATGCTGTGAACGAATTATCGGCAGGATATAACGGGTGTTCAGCACCTGATTGTTGCAGCAAAGAATAATTTGTGCAATTGAGAAATTATAAAGTGATACCTACCGGGTACTGCACTAAATTGTGCTGTGAATGCAGCGTTTTTAATCGCATTTACGCTGTTATTGTGTATTTGAAATGATGCTAGCCACAAATGAGTTTCTGCAGATGGCTAGATATAATAAACGGTGGTTGGGATGCAAAGTGAAGGAATTCATCGTTCATAGCACATCACCAGTATTAACTCATGTTGTATTTGCGTGTTTTTCTTTTTTGACAGCTTCATCGTGATAGCACATCAATGAGAGGGAGTAATTCAAAAAAGCAGTGGTACCACGAATCGTTCATCTGCGTGTGATAAAGGGGAGATGAACCGAAACAGCACTATGTTATCAAATAGAAAGGCAGCAAAGAGGTAAATTAGGTATCCAGTACACAATATAAGTAGATCACGCTTTCGTGGTATGATGATTAGCAACACAGGAGTAGAGTGATAATTATCACAAAGATAAAATGTTCATTACGTAAATATACAGGTGTAACACACCTAAACAACAATTACTGATATTACATTGTATATGAGGTGCAGAATTGTACGATAATGTAGCAATTATGATAACGTTCTCTATTTTTCACCACAGATGACAAAATGTACGTAGAACTGCGGTCTGTAAGGTAACAAATAAACAATTTTTAGTGAACAAAACCATAATAATGCATTATTAGTAGCAGAGAAAGGATCGCTCATTCCTGTAAAAAGAAGCATACCAGTGCTATGATATGAATAATTAATATATTATATTTTCTTCACACGATAGGTCGGTTTGGCCGAGTGGTTAAGGCGCTAGATTAGAAATCTAGTGGGCTCGTTCCCGCGCAGGTTCAAATCCTGCAGCCGACGTGCCTTTTGTTCGTATCAAAAATGTATTATCGATCAATTACTCCACAACCACAGAATACAAATCAATAAATACAGAGTTACGAAAGGCTACCGCCTCATTTCCAGTTATGGTAATCAAAATTTTATTAAGCAGAAATATATTCTGACAGGATGAGAAGTAAGTCTGCATACGATAACACACATCACAACTTGCATGTACAATAGTTCCTTAACATTCTATGATATCCTCACGGTTCTGTTCACAAACATAGGATCAAATATCAATTTTTATGCTTTCGCTACACGAGACGGAAATTATCACGGCGTATTCCGCGTAGGATTTAGTTAATAGCTATAAAAATGTCAAAACTGCTAAGTAATAAATCATCAAAACACATGATACAGAGATAAGGCATTGAATACCATTTTAAAGGACTAAAGATCAACACGGAACGGCTATGCCAGCACAAGTAAGACTACTCGCACACATACTGAGTTTTTTCGTGTTGCAAATGCATTCTCATCTTTTCACGGAAAAGAAATATCCTTGATCGTACGTGTTTACTCTTCGGCACCCGGAACAAATTAGCAGAACGGTTGACCAAAAGATTTGCTTCAAAACACAAAATCGCACCCGAACCCGGCAAAATGAAGCCATTTTAATACGATGTCACAATGAGCAGCTCAAAACACTGACGTAAAACACCAGGAACATTGTCAAACACCATTTTTATAATACACTTTAATTATACACGGCTCAACAAATATAAAAATAACCGTGTCATCACCTTTTAGTACGCCGATGATTCAAACGATAACAAAAACATGCTCGCAACAAACGAATACGCTAATTTGCCGATCTTTTCATACATATTTGTGTTTGTAAACGATAGATTGAAAATGCTCTGACTACTAAGAAACGTAAGCACAAATATCATGAGCAAAACACATGCCATCGGCGAATTACCGCTGTAAAAGAGTGCGATGATCATCGATGCCTTGATGATGGTCTCGGGCGTTATAAACAAAAACACCCACTCGAATCTTTTTAAGATTGTGTCCTGGGGTGCAGGCTCTGACTGTGGCGATAAATAATACAGACGGCCGTCTCGTCTCACAACCTTTCTTGGATCAACAGCCATAACCTTCCCTGTCAGAAGATTTCTTACGCTAACATTGCGCTCTATCTGCTGCATTTCTATGTCGTCCTCCTCGTTGTTCAAAGACGAGTTGGACAGGGGTGTGTCTTCAAACACGATGCTCTCGTGGGTGTTAGACTCTATATGAACATCTTTTGCTTTTCTATCCTCGGTGCCGATCTCTACCGGTTGCTTTTGCTCAGTACCATTCGACTCACTCAAATATTGAACACTGGCATCCGCGCCCTTCTGGCACTCCTTCTCATCGATCGTATCCTCTATCTTGCTGTGCTCGATTATGTAGCTGCCGCTCCGCTCTTCGCACTTACGCACATCGAACTGGAGAAATACACTACCAGTCGTGTTCAGAATACTGATCGGTATTCTGTCGGATATCTTCTTTCCATTGTACAATATCACAAGCCTGTCCTTAATCTCAGATACGCTGTGCTCCCTCCTCGACCCGTCCAGCCTGTATATCTTGATGGCTGCCTCATTATCAACCATTTTCTCTACAATGTAGTTTTTTATGTCCTCCACTGTCTCATTGGCCGTCATCTCTGTTTCGAAAAGAATTTCTCCTCGAGGTGAGCTCATGGTTATTTTCAACATGAGGGTGCCAATTTTTGTGTTTTATATATTAAAATTCTTATCAACGAGTTACTCAATTGGTTGAAAATTTTGCAGAATATCGAATTGGAAGGTTATTTCTGATGGTGCTGGTGTATAATCTGTTCAGTGATGTAATTTTGTGGTACTGTAGCGTTTTGTACTCCTTTTTTGTATAAAGGGGCACAAACTGATAAGTGATCTGATGAAAAAATAAAATAGATAGTGATTGGTGAATAGTTCTCCTTTTTAAAGAAAGAATCATTTTTAATCAGTGCGTCAAAGAGGTGTTGTCGATCCCGCCATTAGTTACCGCCTTATATTCACGAAGGTGATCAAAACGGGAAATAGTGATAGAGCGGAGGCACAGGATTGTTCAGGATATATTTATCACAAAAAGCTCAAAAAACGGGTTTATTAATTTATTTGAAAAAGGTAAATGAACCAATAATTAACTGAATTAAATTTTTGGAGTATATGATGTAACAAATTTGAGTATTGTACAAAAATAATATTTTATGAGCACAATTAAATGAGTAGAGAACGCATACATGAAAAATAACTATATTTGTTATCTTGGGAAATTCTGCACATTTAAGTGGCTTTGAGAAAAAAAGCAAACAGTTTTAACACATCAAGTAATGTTATGTAATTCGTATTGTAACCAGATTTGATATGTTCCTCTTAAAGATCCTAAAAAGATTGCGTTGCATGTGGTACACAATTCACAAACATTTCCCATAATGTAATAGATGGTTATTGTTGGCTACAATATATGGCTGTATTCGTGGTCTGATTACTCTTTGTCGCGTAGCAAATTTCATTTGGGAAAATATCATTCCAATCGAGATTACCTAATTCCGACTCGGACTTGTTAGGAATTACGTGGTTTTACATTATATCTGCTCCACTGCATTCTTTGATATTCGTTAATCAGGACAGCACATAACAGTTAAGTAGGAACCCTCCATTTTATTGGTTTGTAACACATACATCTATTTGTGGACGAAAATTTTATTTTTGTTCGCCTTTGATCATTTTTACCATCCGTGTATGTTTCTGATTGATCATTTCAGAGAAAATGTGTGATATGACGGTAAAAATGATCCTTAGCAGAAAATATGAATTGTGACTGAATAGGAATACACCAAGGAAAAGAAAGGTTGTTATGTAAGTAAAAATTTATAGATCATTCTACATGTTTACTATTGCAAGTGTTGTATATTCCATTAACACACGATCAAAAGTAACTTATTGTCAGGTTTTTTGCTCGAATTTATTTAATATAAGACCAATGCTTTTCCATGCGCCTGCCCAACATGTCATGTGTTTTATGATTGTTACCGCTTAAAGAAGCGAATAAAAGGATAAGCGGCCGTATTTCTTCTGCACTCGTGTTCCAGAAGGAAAGATCTTTGGTGCTCATTATTTTTGTGTCATTTAATTTTAAGCAACAGAAACTATGTGACAGTATTAGTGAACATCTTTCATAAGTATTTCTGCTACAGAAAATTTAATAAACCTTCGAACATGGTATGTAAATGAATGGTAACCAGCCACCATAAAATATTGTAAGAATACCTGCAATAAAAGACATTTTCTCCTCAGATTAGATTGTTTATTATGATGCTAGTCATTATAATCAATATTTTTTACGGAGGAGAATTAGTGTGAGTGCTTTTCCCACCGTCATTTCTTCGATTGGTGCTATGCCACTCTTAACACAAGTCAATCATCAATTTTAATTTGTATATTCCATCGGTTGGCATACACAAGTCTATATAAAGAGAGTCTAGTGTTTTATTTTGCCATTGTCCTTAGCATTATTATTTTCTTTACCAATTTTCTTCAAGGATTATAAATGTTATCGAGATACCACACAAATGCAGCACCGATCTGTTATAACTTGTAAGTTATTTTGATTTCACGGTTTATGTAAACATAGTGTGTTGTGGCTCATCTATTATGGACTGAAAGAGCATAAACAGCAGTACATGGGTGTAGGCATCAGGAAATAACGTGATTATAAGTAAAAGTATGTTCAATATATAAACATTACATTTACTTAGTCAACTTCATGCTCGGGCACATCGTAAATCTATTTGTGCGTTGTAGAAATTTATAACACTCTGCAAGATTCTGTTTTTGGATAATCATCAGTCCCTATATTCACCCTTAAAGATTTTTATTGGAATCAAGTCAATTTCGTTCAGTGATCATGTAATTTTAATGTTGTCTGCAAATGATAGCTCGATGCGTCTCGGAAATAATAAACTGCATAACAACTTTATACTCTCAATTTTGAACAAATATCATATAAATATGCGAAGCCAAACAATTTTATAGCAGATTTTGTACAATTGATTTTTAACTACAAAACAGTTGGTAGAAAGGAATGACCTGATGTTTTAGTCACATTCAAAAGCTCTATTTTAGTATACTATCCATTCATACACCCGTTTTTGAAAAACGGGATAGCGCAGCTAGTCAAAGCATAAAATCACAAGATTGAGATGTGATAGATGATCATGACTGAGCAGAAGAGATATCGAGCATAATAGTACGTAAGTTATGATGAATATGTTGCAATAATAATATTTTGGTTGAGCGGCGAAATTGCGACAGGGTACATAGTAACGTTCTAGTGGCTGGTTCTGTGCTCGTTAAATACAGTAAACAGAAAATGTCTCGGTCTATGCTATAATTATTCATCACTGCACTGATCACGTAGTGAATCTAAGGTATTCTTACCGACTGTTTTTAGTCATTACCAACGAGAATAAGCAAATCTTGAGTGAAATTAGTATTTATTACGATTTTTCTTGTCCAAAAATGAGAAGCGATGAACGAACGTAGAATAACGAAGATAAAGCAATGTGATATAGGTGATGAAATACACCACATTTGTTGAAAACAAGCGAGAAAAATATATAAAAAAGATATGCAAGAAATTATTGATGATGAAAGAGATAGCGCAAATTGAGCTTCTCACAATTATGGAATTTGTAACGATTTTGTTGAAGAACTGTGTGTATTTCTGTGATATATTAAGTTGTTACAACTTAACATCAGTAAAATGGCTTAGGACAATCCACACAATATATTTTGTATTTGCCACAAATATTTATTATGAACTGTAATGATAACATACAAGTGCGCAGTTTCTTATTTCTTCACTTTATATGTCATTTCTCGTGATATTAAGGTAACACATAAATTTTTATCTTTAAATCTGTAAAGTACTTAATCATATCAACATTCGAAAAAATGGAGGATTTTTGATTTAAACATCTGAAAAATCGCAGTAATAAAAGAAATACTGCCTTTCTTTTTTACCTAGTAAAAATATGATTTAAAATATTACGTGTTAAATTGATTATAATTTGTTGCTTTGCAGTAATAATTCAGATTAATAATGTTAAAACATTACTGCTCTGTATCAAAAGTAGGTAAACTATCTTCCAGCAATGAACACAGTGGACAGATCAACAAATCTATAGATGAGATGAAAAGGGCTCTATGAAATATTTACCAAGTTGGAAAATATTGCGCATCATATAAATATGGTTCTAAGTATTTGTATGTTAGTTAGTAAGTTAGTTAGTTTTATAGCAATTTAAATGTATACATTCTAATTGAGTGTATGCTCAGACAATAAATAAACATTTTTAGTGACAACAATAATTTTTTTAGTATAATTTATTTACTTATCATCCAACCAACAGCAACAATAATTAGACAGAGATACTTTTTAGTTTACTAGGATAGCGCATTTGTCTCTCCAATTATTCTTCAGATAAATTACAGTGAAATGTCGGTTTAACTGAACATTTAAGGCGGAGACACAGAAGCTAGTACCAAAAGAAAAGAAATGGAGAGCGGGCATTATGGAAAAAAGGCCTAAGATGAAATGTACTAGATCCGAAAAGATGTAGTTGTGATTTTTACATTTATAAAAATGCACATAGAATGTGCCTCTAGCCATCACCAAAACATCCTTAAGGTAATTAAAGTGGAAATAGTCCACCTCAGAAAAAAAAAACATTTATCAATACAATAAACAATATAAGTACATTCACACCTCATTGTAAGCTTCACTTACTATCAACGCAACCTTCACTAATTTTTTAACCATAATGGCTAATGCTATACTGTAATAATTTCTTTTGCTCGCCGTCATTCGAAATGTACTGTAAAGCATTTAATATATAACCCAAATATCAAAACTTGTTGTAAATTGCTGCAATTTATCCGATTTTATTACAAACATTGTTTATTTACCTTCCCATATAACAACATCACAATGACATGCTCTTCTGGTTTGCTGAAACCGGTCGTGGCCACTTATTTTTGGTTCATCGAGGTGATCAGTGTGTTATCTCGCATAACATCTTCGTATGCACTTTCATCATAACAGAAAGATATGTCCAATTGTAGCAGTGACCTTGACGCTCAATCTGCAACCTGTGTGACATCCCTTCTTAGGAGAACCTCGAGGGACTCTTCTTCAAGGTACTTGCAATGGAAATACACAATTTGTATCTGTATGTTGCGACAGGAAATAAAACAGACTTGACCGAAAGCATCTTGATGGATGGCAACACGAACTTCTGTGTGAAGAAAGGCCTAAATCCATAATATGCATGGACTGCCCTCTCCCTACTGTCCCATACTACTACATGCGCGTTAAGATCCATCAAACGCTAAGTTGAGATGCGTTTAACTATCTGCATCGGAAGAGCCTATCAAAAAGCATATATCATGTGCTTTTCTGGACCAAATATCATTATTTAGCATTTATTGATGTTTAGGGACATCATCCACCATTCGCATGTTGTCTTATTCCATACTCAATTAATACCGCCTCGACAAGCAGACAAAGAAGCTCTATTCATTCTTTTATATCACCAGATTAGCATAATATCTATCGCCTTAGTCTTATCTGCCATCTCGTGATGCAGAATAAGCCTCGTCCTAACATATTTCAGCTTTCAGGGGCCGATGCGATGTGCTCAATATCTATATTCACAACCGCTGAATAGTGATTAAATGAATTGATACAATACGGGACATATTGATTGTCCATTATCGAAACACTCGGAATTGCTATCGGATCAACCTTGAGAAGTAAAAGGACGGAACCAGACTAATCTTTAGTGCTGAGGTGAAGCAAAAGTAAATAAAAGTTTTTTTAACTATAATTTTCGCTTTTATGACATGATAACCTTTATTGCAGCTTGTCATCATAAGTGACGTTCAGATTACATTAGCCAGATATCAAAGTTATTGGCGATGGAATGAACCAAAGCGTTGCGTATATTTAATGTATTTTTACTGAATTATTGGTAAACCTCCATATCGTGATTGTAAGCTTGTTAAATAAAACACTCGTATTTTTTAAAAAACGTTACAGTATACACTACATTTAAAAAGTAGTACTAAATTGTTTAAATTGAATCATCGATGGTCAAGTAGCATTATTAACTATAGATCAATCTATAGTTTTGTATCATCCACTGGCTCATCCAGATAGTAAGATTTTACCGTATCATTATAATCGTCATCATTACTCTCTTCATATACTGTCTCTTTTTCTTCTCGTTTTGATTTAGTACCAAAAAAACTATAAAGACAACATAGAAGAATTACTATAACAATAACAAACATGCCTAACCGTGTTAATAGAATAAATGAGATCTCTTTTAAATCTCCGTGTCTTACATCATTTTCATCCCTACCAGTGATGAAGCTTACCCAAGCAACTGATATATCATAATCAGATAACGGTCCATTGAAATTATCTCGCAAACCTTCTTCACCTATAAACCATGCCATAGGCATTTTATTTTCAACGGTATAAATATTTAAATCAGGCAGCCTTTAATTTATTCAGTTATACATGTCCCTAATTCGAATTATTAACTATAATCTGCTTAATAATGGTAAATATGAGGATTTCATCAAACAATAAAGTGTATTTTAACGATTTGTGGTGTTTACTGGTGATAAATAAATATACTTATTGTTATAAAAATTTTTCGATAACTACCATATTTGTAATTATTGTTGAACATAAGCTACATAATTCGGTTTTTGTGGGACAGGTGTATAAATAGTATCTAGGTAGATAAGAACGAAGTTGTAGTAAAAAGTCTTTTGTTTGTTCTTATTGTAAAAAGAATTTTACTGATATGATCAAGATCAGTATATTTACTTCCATTCATTCCAATAGCTCATTATACACAACATTTCTTGTGTATACTTTACCATTCTCACGCTTTCCTTGGTCTCCATTGTCAGCAACATACACCCTTAGACCGTTTGCATAGCGCATTCTCGACAGAGCTACATACAACTGTCCATGCACAAAGACTGGGCTGTGCAGATAAACACCTACCTTGTCAAATGACTGGCCCTGTGACTTGTGGATTGTCATCGCAAACGAAAGAAGAACCGAAAACTGTCTTCTCTTGAGTGAATGCTCGCCGTTTTTGTCGTTGAATATCATCGTAATCTCGCCCGTTGCGGGAACATTGTACCTGTTAATGTCGCGATGAATGTTCTCGTTAGACATCACATTTACCATCAACATGTTTCCTTCACGCACTGCACTTCTCTCAACCTCAGCAAGATTTTGCATATGGATTGACTTCTCTTATTGTCCTGTCAAGATTGTGTAGTATTGCTCTATTACACTTCTCATTTGCAGAGTTTCTCGATCTCAGATCTGTGGCATCGTTTGTATCAATCACATATAACTGCGAGTATCTCCTGTTAGTGTTTTCAAGCGGGTTTATGTTGTATGTGTTATGATAGACCTGACCATGCACCTTGAAGAAGTACACCCCTCGTGTGAATTGCTCCACATTTGCACCCATTGACGCAAACAACAGGGCACTGTTGTACGATCGTATGTTTGCCTTGAAGTTTTTATGATCGCTGCTTGCTGTATCGGTGAACAGCGATCTGAGATACTCTGGATAGCTATCTCGTGGTGTGTGGGCCAGCTTGCCGAAGTGACAGCAGCTCTTGTACGCACGTCTACGGTGTGCCTCGTCTTTAAAGTGCACTGCCGTACAATTTGCACAAATATGGTTGAGCTCACCAGCATAGTGCTCGGCTGTTTCACTTTGTACGTGATAGCCGTTGCTATCAGTACTCTCATCAGATTCATCGCCACCGGCAAGACGATCATCTGATGACTCATCATCGTGATGAGACTTGTCACCACACTCACCTATGAAGATGATGCTGTCCCTAAGATTTAATGCTTTTTGACTAAGTATTTGGCTCATCTGAACAAACACACTTTTCTGGTCTGCTGAGACGATCGTGGTCACTAGCCCTTGGTTCATAACTGAAATAGTGTGCTATCTCACTCAACACCTTCATTTTAACATAAATATGTACTGAAATCGCGATTCTGATCCTAATGTAAGCTACGACTTACGCGACACTATTTCTCAAGAGCACTCTGAGGAACTTTTTTTCTCGGGATCTGCAGATAAATGTGATCCGTGGTAATTTAACACCCAGCAAAGAAGCGTGCTCAATACTCAACCTATTATTATTATTCTCAGAAGAGATGCCATATTGTTTCTCTCTCATACTTTCACAGAACGACCATTTTCTCATGTCAATATCTGTCAGGCAATAGACAAACATGAATGTGCTAACATGCATTTATTAATGTAGAACATCAGTTGCCCGATTAACAGCAACAATTTTCTAGAACAATAAAGGTGAATTGATAAAATTAACATGTCTAAAATTGCTTGTCACGTTTTATCGGTGCATGACAGCTAGACTATCTCACAACATACGGTACGAATTGCTTTCTTGAATGACATGTTATCCGTAGTATGTTCGAATAGATCACAACATCATACCAGCTTTTATTTTTGGTGAATGCTTCATTACTGTCAAACATGACAGAGCAGTTATCTCAACACAAGCGGTTTTAAATCGCTTTACGAATCAACAAAGATCTTAATTGTTCATATCAACAAATTTTCTGCAGCAATGGCGTTGATCATGTGCAGGAGACACAATCCATTGTGTTTAGATTGATAGCATCTTTCATGCTATTGATACATCTCATCAATATGTTATAGATTGCTTGAATACCATGAACAATGAGACCTGAGATCATTACAATCATAAAAGAGAAATGATCAGCACAAGAATATCGAAAAATAACTTAACTTTTACTTATGAAGCTCGAAAATGGTTTGTTCCTCATTGCAATTATCTGACCACTCGCATCTCTCCTTGACCAATCTACACTTCTCAGAAAAAAGCTTATAAAGAATATGAGCCTCTTCTCTAGATATGTAGGAACTTTTATAACAGAACACAAGTACATCAAGCTGTTTGAACGTCTCAAAAATATTTTTGATCAAGTTATTTAGCAGATCTGGCGAAAGTTCTGATAACTTATGAATTGTTTTTAATTTTGTACAAAAATCTATTGGTGCTTCAAATATCACCAGTTTCTTAATACCTGCGAAAGCTTTAAAATATTGACATAAAATAAGTTTGATTAGTTCTTCATAAGCTGAATATATGCTAATATGAAGAGTGTGGAATTTTACATGCACTACATTCTTACTCACCACTAAATTCTGTTCGTTGGCGTCAACTTTTGCAGGTTGGCATTTATCATCATTTTGATTGACAAGGCTATAAAATGATGACTTAATGAATCTACTGTCCACGTAAAATTCTTTCAGCTTGTTCAAAGGTTCTATTAACCTTACCAATTCACTAATGGTCAGCTTTGAACTAACGAAGAGTTTTTCTATTTGACCTTTCAAGTTGCTTAGTCGTCTCCGTAAAATTTTATGACCAAAATACCGATTCTCAACAAGCATTTCAAAATGTTTCAACGTTTCCAGCTCAGTTATCATTTGCATGAACACTTTATCCGCACACAAGCAATTTATTCTTAGCGTTTCCAACTTTTTCATTTTTACTTCAATTGTGCTTTTATCCTTCAACCTCAAATTACCACCGACAGCATCAATTTCTAAAACTTCAAGAGCGGCAAAGTCTAGGATAAATAAATCGGAAACATCACAAACATTCTGCGTACTTCCCCTAATATAACAAATAAATACTAAATGCTTAAGTTTGCTTCGGTTAATTTTTCCTAAAAACTTGACAGCGAGCTCTAAATTTTCTGTATCAATTACCAAATACTCTAGTCTAGCACTATAACACTGAGAAGACGAAAGCGGCAGTTCAAAATAATTCTTACCTAATGATAAATGCCGTAAACCATCTACTATTTGGTCACTGAGTATAACTCTCGCATAATCACCCATGTTTACCATCAGCTTGCGTAGTTTTATGCACTTATTTAGATTGATTTTGATCGCCATAGAGTACTTTCGACCTGAAGCATACGATGACCGGTATTCCACACACCTCTTGCATTTATTGAAGCAGATGGTCTTATATGACTTTGCAAAAGTCACCTCAATCTCTTTACGTTGTTGCACAGTATCCCTGAAAGTGAGAAAAACACATCCAGTAAAATTTAGACTTTCTAATGTCCTGTTACCCACCTTCTCTAAGAACTTATCAGTTACACACATATGCTTCACTTTAAGTGTTCGTAATTTACGAACCTTTTTGAGACTAATGAAGTCTTGCACTGTTTTACAAGATTCACCGTTCCGATGTGCATGTAGATGCGTCAAGTTCAGAATATATAAATCGGTAATGAAATCAAATTTCTGCATTGTATCACCAAGATCGACATCATACAAATTTTTTGAGGAACTACGAACAATAACTGTCAAATATACACGGTCGAGTTCTTTAAAAACACCTTTCATCATCTTAATCTTCTTCTTGTCAATAAAAAGCTTCAATCCCCCCATTGGCTCTGCATTATCTTTCTGTTGAGCAGAAAAATACAAGCAGAACTTCTCTGCTTCGTAGACAAATTGTATTGCCTTTGGAAG